AATCAATGAGGAAACAATAGTTGAATAGTTGCATAAAGGAATCCAAGAGCCTCCACTTGTAAGGGTCTCCTGAGACTTCCCACACATAAAACTCATGCACTTTGCCCATTAGGTAGTGGGATAGGATGAATGTGCATTTCTTAGGCTCGACCTGGCTGTCTGTAATGTATGTGGCCCCTTTGGTCACAAACCATTGAAAGGCATGGACATCATCAGATCTGTCATATTTATTTGGCAGGATGGGTTTGAGAGCTGTCTTGCAATGTGATTTTGAACACTTCTTAGACTTGCATTTCTTTCCTTTACCACCCTTATGGCATCAAGGTCTACTGTGTCAGTGGCTCGAGCCACTTGATGACCCACCTGAGCTTGATGATGATTTACTGGTTGTTGAAGAAGAGTCATCATTGCTCAAGCTGGAAGGGCTGGACAAATCACTACTAGAGTCTGATGCCATGGAGTCATCACTAGACGAGTCTGAGGTGCGTCTAGTCTTCCTTTTACTTTTTAATTTTCTGGAGCACTTTTCATCCTTTTCAAGATGCTTGAAGGCGAGTCCAATGTAGCTCTTTGGATTGATCTGTTTTACAGGTTCCATGGCTCTCAGCATTTTCTGCCATTCATGTCTTTTGTAATCTTGATGGACAACTTTATCAACCATCTCCTTTATTGGGTTTGGGGGTTCCCTTGAAGGTTTAGTCACCTTCTTCTTGTTTTTCTTTGAACACTTTGACTTACTCCTCTTAGGGATCTGCTCATCTCCCCCACCATGTGGCTCCAGGAGTTCATCCTCAGTGGGTTGTGCAGTGCTTTCCAGATCATTCCCCTTTGATGGTCCAGGCTGGTTTTCATCACTTTCATTTGCCAATCTATTAGCAGCATTCCATGATGCAAAGGCCATTGTTGCACATCTGGATCTATCTCACTCTCGCTGAGTTTTAGGTTCCCCCAATTCCTAGGATCAGGTCCCTTTCCCTTGCAATCACCCTTGACAGAGGGCTCATCACTTTTGGACAAGGTTGCATCAGAGTTATCCCTTGTCATTGACAATGACCTCCTCTGGATTTTCTCTCATTCATCCAGGGTCAGTTGCTGTTCCACCCTTTGGATGGCATTTGTCTGGTCTGGCCTTAACATGCTGTAGGCTCATTGCTCATGCAACTTCTTACACACCACTTCTGTCCAGTTGTTCTGCTCCACTTCCATATCACTCATTGGGAAGATGGATAGAGTCGCAGTGGACGTTATCAGGTAAGACATCATTCATACTATGAGTTTCTACTAGGACTCTAATGGTATGAGCCTGTGAGGCCTCCAGAACTCCAATGTCACCAAGATACACCAGTGAGCTAGTCCTCAAGCCACATAATGTACCTACATTGTACCATATGACAGGGCCAGCAGAGGCTGACAATTTGCCATGTCCCACAGGCCAGCAGAGGTCAAGCCCTACAATGAGACATCCCCCTGCTGTATGGACCAGCCCAGCTTCTATTATCAAATAACACATGAGTAGGCCACAATCAAATTGTCCCTGTAGTACCTGGAGTAGCCTAGTGTAGGATGTCACCTATCCAGTGGCATGCTGCAGCATGTGTAGATCAGCACTGGAAGTTGGCCCAAGACCTCAGCATGCTTCAGGATAGCTCAGCAGTGTAATGTTGTAAGATTTTGGAGCACTCCAGGGCATACCATGGCCCTCTGGGGTGAGCTGTGGCATATGTTCCTAAGTGAGCTGTGGCAAGCCAGCCACTCTGGAGCAAATAGTGGAGCATGCCATTGTCCTCCAGGGTAAACTGTGGCATGCCAACCACTCCAGAGCAAATTCCAGAGCACACTGCAGCACATGTGCCAGAGTATACCATAGCATGTGCCACAGCATGCCAGCCACTCCAGAGCAAATTCTGGAACACACTACAGCACATGTGCCAGAGCATACCATAGCATTCCAGAGAACTCTGGAGCAGGTCATGGCCCTCTGGGATAAGCTGTGGCATTCCAGCCACTCCAGAGCAAATTCTGGAGTAAACTGTGGGACATGTGCTGGAGCATGCCATGGCCCTCTGGGATAAGCTGTGGCATTCCAGCCACTCCATAGCAAATTCCAGAGTAAACTGTGGGACATGTGTTGGAGCATACTATAGCATTCCAGAGAACTCCAGAGCAGGAAATGGCCCTCTGGAATAAGCTGCAGCATATGTTCCAAACCAAGGTGTGGCATGGCAGACACTCTAGAGCAAATTGCGAAACAAACTGTGGCACATGTGCCAGAGCATACCATAGCATTTCAGAGCACTCAGGAGCATGCAATGGCCCTCCAGGGTAAGCTTTTGGCATATGTTCTGAAGCAAACTGTGGCATGCCAGCCACTCTGGAGCAAATATTACCAGCATACCCTGCATGCCTACCCCTTGCAGATACTACCAGAATTGGCATAGCTTAAAAGGTTGGCATTCAGTACCACAAACTAGGATGCAGCACTGTGTATTTGGAAGCAGTAGCAGCTGGCAGATATGGCATTCTGCATTATGGCACATTGCAGCATGCAGCATAATTCATGGGGAAGTTGTGGCAACATGTACTGCAGCACCTGGTGGCACCTGCTCTGTAAGTCTCTGGATGGTCACAGCAGCCAGCAGATATTGCTCAGCACATGCCAGTAATGTGGCCAAGTCAGCTAGACTTGGCAGGGATGCCTGGCAGCTGGTGGCATGGGCATGGCATACAGTAGCAAACACCTGACTGGCTTAGGATCCACATCAAGGCTTGATGTGTGGCATGGATGGTTCTGCATACAGCAGCACATGGTTGGATGCAGAGGAATAAACTGGCAGTTCTTGGCAGCTGATGGCATTGACCCAACATACCACAGCACACATCAGGATTGAGTAGGATTCATGTCAGTGCATGGCATCCAGCATGGATAGTTCTGTATACAGCAGCACACAGCTAGGGTACTATAGATATGGACATGAAGCATAGCATGAATTGTCTGTATACTGCATATCTTACCACCAGTATAAGATCATAACCTATACTTCATATGATCACAGAAGGGTGGCTAGTAATATTGCATTGATTTCATAGATTTCATTCAAACCAGGATTGTGCCAATCAAATACTGGATGCCTGAGGCATTAAATAAGGACCAATACAATACAATACAGGGTGCCATGGGTGATTTACATGCCTGTGAGAGCCTGCCACACCAATGGAATGTGCATCCAATCACTTTGAGGGACTCCAAGCCAGTTGTGAATATTGTCCTACATGTAGAATGCTAGTGAGCAATGGTTGCCACTCACATCATTCACACCATGCCACAAAAGCTGGCCAGAAAAGGCTACAACAGTGCCAGGCCAGTAATCACATTGAAGACCAAGAGAGGGAATGTCAAGAGCACATTCAGAATAATTGCCAACACTAATGAGCATGTCATACCAGTTGGCATGGGACTGTGGGTTACAATGGAGGGGAGCTGACCAGTTAGCAATCATGGAGATGTTGGTATAAACTGTTGGCCAGTGTCAGAGCACTGCTGACATTTTGGGATCATTCATGGTAGACCACTCAGTCAGCTGCTGCATGGCTTGGCAACTGGCATTGTACAAAGGAGGGTGCATAATTGAAAGTGTTGCAGAGAGAATTGCTAATGGCATTTGGACAGCATGGATCCATTTCCAAGCAGCTGGAGCCACAAGGTCAGCAGATATGGAAGGCTGGTGTGCCAGTGTCTACAATGTTAGCAATGAGTATTTTGAGATAAAGCATGAGGATGACCCTCACAGCATGACCAAGTTGATGCCAGGCCAGTGAAAGCTCTAAGCAGCCTGCCAGCAAACAGTGATCCACTGGAAAGTAATCAGGTGATGTTTGCCAGGAACCATTGGATATACTTTGAGCCAACATATTGGAAAGTGGGGGAATAGCTCCCACCATCTGGTCCTTGGTAGGGTTGTGAACTGAGGACAGGAGGATACATCACAATGCCTACCTGCATTGATTGGGACATTGCACTGGGTAGACACCACAAAGCAATTGCATCCCCTTCACCCAGAATGATTGCAGGAATGTCCAAATACCCACTCAGATATGGTGGGTGAGTGGAAAGGATGTGGGCCTCCCAGTTCAAATTGAAACCTGTTTCTCAAGGTGATAGGCTTTCCAACAGCCTGATTAATTCAATGCTGGAGGGAACTGCAATGAATGTTAGCGAGACATGTGGCAGCACTCTTAAAATGGCATACAGGGATTATGATAGGCCTGGGCCAGTGTTGCTGCCATTTGATTGAGTGCAATACATGTCTGGACCTTGAGTTTGAGAGGTTGTGGTGGGACAGCAGCAGTGCAAGGATGTGTCTCATGGAGAACTCAGCAGCACATGTACTCTGCAAGCTGGTCAGAAAGTAGATAGTTGGATGGGAATGTACCAGTACCAGACATTTCTAATGTGATCAGGTTGGGGAAGTTAAGGGAATCCACTGGCAACAAGCGGCATATCATCCAGAGATGCAAGGAACACATGTGGCACAGATCCCTCTGGCCATGGCAATTGTGTGGCCAATGTTGTCAGCAATTGTAGTGACTAATGTGGCAACATTGAACTAAATGCAGCATAGAAGCTCTCTGCAGCAATGAGACCACAGCCTCATCAGCATTTTGGAATGCAGCCCAGCCAGAACACAACCTTGAATAGCTGTGAATGCTGCTGAAGTATACATTACAGAAGATATTAGCCCCTTCCACACATTCCAATTGGGGGTTGCACATTTCTGATACTGCCAGCAACATGAATCAAGGTCCAGATTACCAGCTTGTTTTGCTAGCAGCATCATTGAATGGGCAGTTTTGGAGCACTGTGCCAGAGATGGTTCAATGGTGCTGGCACATCACAGATATCTGACTGTGAACCTCGTGGATGGCTTTATAGACTGCCAGCCTAAGAATGATGTTGACATGATTGGGGCTGTGGGGAGAGGAGTACACAAACGACCCAGTGATCATGGGAATGCCCCTATACATTTACTGGCATTGATTCTGATAAAGTAAAGCTACCAGCCCCAAAGGAAACTCATTATAGATGGTTGATAATATGTACAGTGGCTGTATGAACATTCCCACACCTTTGACACTGACTCCACCCACACAACCTGTAAAGCAAGTTTAGATTGGGTAATGGCTTCCAGTGATGACATCTGCTCCTATGAATGTAAGATTAACTTGGAAAGATATGATAACTCCTGATTGATATCCTTCAAGCCTTCTGTGCACATTGCATGTAGTGCAGTGTGTTTGGCAGTGGGTGATGGATGTGAATTAATAAGCAGGGGTAGTGAAATGCCACTGTTCTGATACCACAGGTGAGTTGGAAGTGAGCAAAAGTGTGCCACCACTTACTGATACTCCTGTGAAAAATTCTGCAGCTTCTGCAATTACATCCTGCAGCAGTCTCCTCTCATATCCCAATTCCACTTCACCACTGTCATTCTGCCACCATGCATGGGCCATGGTAGTGGCCAGTTTGACATGGCACTCCTTAATCCTTGTCAGGTGGGGATTCAAGCTTTTGATGAAAGCTAAAATGTCACAGGGACTCTGATCACCATCATTCAGGTATGTTAACAGCCTGTTGGCTGTGAGTGGCTCGATCAGGGTAATGGGATGGCAAGATGCCATGCCCATCAGATGCTCCATTGTACCCTGTACCACTATCAACCATTGCACCACCACAGGAACAGTGGCTTACTGCTTCTGCCAGGAAATGTTGATACCAACTAGTGTGCCAGTATTCAGACCAATCCAGCTTCTTCATGGTGGCAACAAGGCAATGAAACCTCATTCCCAAGTACTGTATGGCCATGGAGAGTTTGGCCACAGTGAACATTGATGACATGACTTACCAGCATGAAAGATGAGATGTCATACTATATAAGCATTGGCCAACTTTCCCATGACTTTGTGTGGTGGCATGCATCTGCTGTTAAAGCAGTACTCATTAGCAAATGCTTAGCTTGCATTTAACTACACCAACCAATATACAATTGAGAACCCTGGCATCATTTGGGAGATCTCAAGAATGATGTCATTGCAGATAGCTAGTGGTCTCTAGATGGAAATGGTTCACAGAAGACATGCTAATCTGCCATACATCTGGCATTGCCATGCAGCATAGCATGCTGGCCCAGCCTGTCCCTTTGCCAATGTGGCAGCCTTTCTGCTGGTCCAAAAATCTTACCTTGTTTTCAAAGAAGTTTTTAGTCCACTCCTGCTTGCATTTCAACAGCTGAACCTCCTCCTTCCATCTGTCCCACAGTGCTCTCATCCAGAGCCAATTGACCCTGTAAACTAGAGAAGATGATAAGTAATTCTCAAATGCTGCTGCCATGTGATTGCTCCTCTCACATTCTGATATCCAATCATTAGTGGCCATGTCCCTTGGTACATCCATTGTCCAGATCCAAGGTAGGGTATTGTCCCTGTGACCTCTGGCATTTGGGTCAGATACTGCCATGCTGATAGTTAGGTTGGAGTCATTCAACTCTTTGTATTGCTCCAGGATATCCAGCCCAGCCCCTAACCTGCTCATTTGAATGTGGCACTGGTGGTACACAGCAGCATGATGTTGCATGGCTGCTTCAGCATTGGCCACCCTTCCCCAGGCATGTGTGGCCATGTGGTAATTACTTCCATGGCAAATGTCAGTTCAAAAGATGACCACCTTCTCTGCAAGCACAAGCCACAGTTCATGAAGACAATCATTGGCCTGTCCTTGCCACAGTTGCAGCTCCATTAGTGTCACATACCCCAGGCCAGATCATTCAAAATGATCTTTGCCAACATTGGATGGCAGTGGCAATGCAATGGTTTCTGGATCATGCAGGTTAGATGACTGGAACAGCTCAGAATCCTCAAATCTGTCCCCAAATAGTTTTTCAGCAGTGTCAAAAATGCCATGTATATGGGACTGGAGATGATCATGGCAATGTGCAATGGTGAGATTTTGAGCTTCTGTTGCTCTTGAGCTGATGTGCCAGCATGCCACTGCAAGCTGGATTTGTGCTTCCTCTATCTTCAATGCCTTTGCAATCCAGGTCACCATACCCTGTGAATGCCCTGGCTGAGGGATGGCCAGTAAATCTATCTCAATTGCCTTTGCAGAGGGAGCTTCTATACCACTCAGCCCAAATCCTGTCCAGGATAACCTTCAATACCTACCTTTCTGCAGCCTGACCTCATATATATCCATGGCCTGTGGCCTTGACAGCCAGTTGTCCAATGCCGCCACTTCTTCCCCCCATGATTGGCTGATTGCTGGTGGGACATTACCATTCAAATCAGCAAACCTGCCTTCAACCACTAAATAAGATTCCTCAGCAACCTTGAGTTTCCACTTGAGTCTCATTGCTGTAGCCTGTTAGCCATGCAACTATGTCTGATACAAGCACTAGACTTATGCATTCTGACCATTTTCAGGAAATTGCTATCATTCATTTGGAAATTAAGTACCTCCTGCTGATGGGGAGTAGCCATGCCTCTAGCAGATGGGGAAATGATATTCAGGGAGGACCACAAGGTTTCCATGATCTCCCCATCCACCTGGCCAGCGCCCACAATGAAATTGGGAGCATATCGTGCAAAGCATTCTGTGTGGGGGCCATGAACATGCCACAACCCAGTGCCAGGGCAGATCTGCATCCCATCCAGCATGAATATATAGGCATTGGCATGTAGCCATCATTCTAAACCTTTGCTATACTGGCAGTTAATATCATAGAAATGTATCACTTGCTGGCCAGGGACTGTGCCATGCCTGACAGCATGCACAAGTGCATAGTCCATGTTAACCTGCCTGTGATGTCAATGTCAATATTGTCATACATTGTTACAAGGTTATTCATACTGTTCACCCTTCTGGAAGTCAACCATTTCATGCAGCACAAAACAGCCATGCCACACACAGGCATATCCACCTATTCCCATAGATGCAAGCTGCTGCCAGTTGGCATTTGCTTGATTAACTGCCCAATGATTGCTGCAATCCAAGATCTTGTAGTGTGATCAGTCCATTGGGTAATACATTCCTACACATCACCCACCTCAACCACATTTTTAGTGTGACTCAAATATTCCTTGTATGGCTGTGATGCAACCATGTACCCCTTTCCATCCATCAACCAGGCTTTGCTGCCAGTGTCCTTTGGATGCATATGCTCTGCCTTGAAATTCCCATCCATGACCAAGCTTTGTGCCAGTGTCCAACTGGATTACACAGTGTATAAATGGCTAGCAGTGTTCATGGTATCACTCACTGGGAATAATCTGTTGCATCTTCAGGAATGTTGATGCCAGGTTGGGGACATGCCAGACAGAATAACACTAATTCCCCAGGGCCAGCATCTTCTGTGCTCATGTGGGATCCCTGCCATTTCAGTAGTTTCAGGAGCCGCCACATCCTAGCAACTCTCAGCAGTTCCCTGTACCTATCCTATCATCCAGCTAAGAGTTGTGTTGCAGTGATACAATTCAACAAATAGGATGTACTGGCATTAGATGAGGAAAGGCATTGGAGGTTATGTGGTGAAGTTTGCTGTAGAAATTCATTGCTGAGGTACCACATTCCACATTGTCCTGAACAAAGTCATCAAGTACTTGGAAGGTAAATGCAGTCCTTGTGGCCTTTGTGGTAGCAGGAAACATCCCAGCCTGCATCAGCTGTATGTGTGAATCCTCTGCCCCAGGGCATCTATAATACTGCACATTGCAGTAGTGTATTCCATTGGTGTGCATGACAATTAGACAGCTTTGGTTCCTGAGGGCCTGCAGATTTGGTGGACAACCATCTTGATCCACATCCTCCCAATCATCTTCCTCCTCAGTTGTGACTTCATCATTTGAACAACCACTGGCTGGGCAGTGCTGCCCACCATGCCCAACATGCAGTACCAAACCAGCCTGAATGGTAAATACAGGAACAACCATCATGATTCAGCTGCTTACCAGCTGCAGGGATGATTCCTCAAAGAATGTTCCATTCCATTGTTCCACCCTGTGGAATGGCTGGTGCCTGTGTTCTGCCTGGCAACACATGGTGCAGAAGACCAGCTGATGGGCACACTCAGTGCACCAGAAAATTCAATCTGCTCCACACAGGACACAATCCCTTGGCTCAGGTGGGGCCTCCATGTCCAACAGGATGGCTAGATAATGCCATTGGTGTGGCAACCACTGCTGCAGATAACTATTCTACAATTGTGTGACACTGTCATTGCAGGTTTGTTGGGCAATGCAGCATTCCACACACCTGACTTTTCTGAGGTTTAGAAGGTGTTGCAGGCAATACATCATTATTGGAAGGCAGTTGTTCACCCACATCATCCAACAGGCAGTCCAGGTGATCCAGGATAACAGAGCCAGGCCACACAGGAGGCTGAGTTGCATGGCCTGGCACCTGCTTTCTGGGTGCTACTTTTACCATCTTATCCCTATATCCTCGGGTGGTTTTCACTCTTTGCCAGGTCACCTGGGTCACTCTTGTAGCAGGTCACACTGGTGCAATCTTTGACTTCCCCATGATGAATGTTGCAATGCAGAAGGGTTTTGATCACAACAAATACATGCAGCCAACATGTGCTAGCAAGGTCTGACCACTGACTATGGTAATGCTGTCTTAGGATCTGGCACATCATTTCAGTGCTGGCACCTGCACATTGCCTAGAGATCAATGAAATGAATGAGCACTTGCAAAAAGCCTTGTCCTACATCATGCCCATAGTGCCTATACCATCCATAGCATCTCAACACACATTGCCCAATTACCAAAGATCTCAGATCCATGAAGTCTGAGAGGCACTACCTTTGCACATGGCTCAGGGATGGAAATCTCATGATTGACTAACAACCTTGGCCATCTTGGGAAACTGTCCAATCAACTGGCATGCAAGAATGGACTAGACACTGAAATGTAACCTTCATTGACATGGGAGAATGCTGGAGAAGTCTATTCTCCTCAAGAGACATTGTACTAGCTGTCCCCTGAAAATTTGTGCACAAGCACCTCCATCCTCAATGGCATCCAGTGACTATGAAAGTGACTCTTTCTCCAACAACACTGACCCCTCCCTGCCACAAAAGGGGACTGGTCTTCAGCCAGCCAAAATTGAGATTCTTGAGGCTGAGCTAGAGTCTGTTATGCCCAAGTGTGGTGACTTCTTCAAATGGAATAGGCACAAAGTGCACAAGGGGGAGACTACAGGCCAAATGTGTTGTAACCCCTATGGCTCAGTTATTGCTGAAGTCCGACAGAAGTTTGCTCTTCTGGTGATCTGCTGGGGTAGTCACATGGAGAGGGAATGAGGACAAAAGCAAAGGGATGAAGCTGAGTTGCAAGCTATTGAAAAACTGAGGATACAAGGTAAAGTATGCAGGATTATATACTCCTAAGTACAAGTACTGTACCAGTCATGACAGAATGCATCGCAATGTGTATCCACAGTAATCAACAAGACAATCAGATAAATAGATAAGTAGGAAAGAGTCATACAGTGTCATATGATGGGGATAGGCAAGGGAATGAAGGCTATACTGGCTGCACAATCAATGTGCAGCAAGGAGCCAGACACCAGAACTATAGTACAACATCTGAGCAATATAGATGAGTCAGAAAAGAGGAAATGTAACATGTTGTCCATCAGAGAAGGTGCAGAACACTGGATCAAGCACAGGCACAGTCTCAACAGGTATTGGAAATACCTTGACAGCAGGAGATCCGAGTGACCCTTGCAGCATCCAAACCCCTAGGATGGTGACAACTACAAGAGATGCGACAAGACACATGATGCACATGACCACAAGGAGTCGGAAAAGGAAAGTCCCCTGACATGGGCATAACATCACCCCCCCTCTAAGGTCCTCAGACCCTTGAGGACAATCCAGACACATTAGCAGGGCATGAGGAAAGGGGTCTGTGAGTAGTGTAAATGTGGGAGCAAGTACGTGAGGAGATGGGCGATGAAGGCGATGGAGTTGGTGGTTCCTTGAGGGCTGGAGTAAAGCAGGAGCCATGTTCATTGTGGCATGACCAATGTCCCAAGTAACAACACTGGAAGCATGCATGCTGATAGAGGACATGGTCCATGGGGACCAGGGTCTGGCCTCCAAGGTAAAAATGAAGCTGGTCGAGAGGGTCAGGAATGAAGGGAGCCACAGGCAGAGGGTCAGTGAAGTGGACAGCATTATGATAGTGCTTGTGGAGTCTGGCCCATAATGCATCCTGTAACAGCACCTCCGAAGCGGAATTATGAGTCCCTGTTCCAAGTCAAGCACCAACCTCTTTATACAAGTCTCCAGAGTTGACATGAGTCAACTCTAGTGCCTTCCAGGGATCCTGTGTCCTCTGATCCATCACAACTTCTTTCTCCAGATTGCAGGAAGCTGATGATTCCTCTTGCTTCAGGCGAATCTGATCAAGAAGTCAAGAAGCTGGGGGATCAAGGAACTCACTGATCTGTTGATGGAGAAGGTGATGGTAGGCACCACCAGTGATGGCTTCTAAAAGTCCTGACAAGCTTCTTTCCAGCATGTTGATCATGATTACCTCTGACAGGGGGGTGGTGCCACTGAGCTTTTGAGTGCATATCTTCAAGACAGCAGAATTGATCATGTCTGTTGCTCTGTAGATTTCAGACAGCAACCCAAAATTCATAACCTGTTCTGGTGAGCACCTGTCAATGTTGTCCCCATCATGGAAGACATCAAGTGCCCTAACAACGTCCAGGTAGTCAGCTGCTGCGATTGGTAATTGAGGCTTGTCATCCCTGGCAAGGGCTGCTGAAGCAAGGAGGTCAAGGGCTGCACAGTGTGCACCATTGGAGTAGGTGGCGAAGGTGGTGCATAAGTGGGGAGATTGGGGAGCATCGGGGGCATCAGCCTGGGCTGCTCAACCACTGGTGTCATTGTCAACTCGTGCCTTACCCTTTCCCTTTCCCTGCTGGTTACTGTCCCCACTGGGGAGGACTCTGGCCTAGGGGGTGGGGACCCTCTTAACTGAGAAGGACATGTGTGGATGCAGTCGGAGAGGGCAGGCGACAGGGGGTGATGTTGCATGAAGCTGTGAGATGGGGGATGAGGGGTACAAGTCAGAAAGGCCAGTGGCAGTCATTGGAGGTGAGGTTGGGGCATAGACAGTGATGGGGGGGATGAAGAGGTCATCCCTGTCAGCTGTGGGGTCATAAACAGATTCTGCAAGGGGGAGGTCAGCATAGTCATTCTCAGTATTGACAGAGTGAGGGGAGTCCATTAGTTCCTGAGGTGTCAAGCGAGTTTGTACTGGTCGAGTGCATTGGAGGCATGATCTTTTATATGTTCCTCCAGTTCCCAGGTATTTGATGAATGAGGGAACCCTTTCCACTTGACCAAGTACTTTCATTTACCTCTGTGCCCATCAACCTTGTGATTGATTATTGACTTGACCTCCCATTCAATTTCATCATCAACAAGCTCCAGAAGCAGTGCAGGTGGAGCTCAACCATATGTGTCATTTTCCTGGTAAGGGTAGATTTGAGAGGCATGGAACACAGGATGTACCTTCCAAGTTGCTGGAAGGTCCAATCGGAAGGCGACCAGGGAGACAACCTGAGTCACTTTGCACAGCCTGAGTCTTCTGGGTGCAATCTTGTCACACTGGTCTTTGATACACAGATGTCCAGTATCCAGGAGGACTTGCTCTCCAACCTTGGGCAGTACGTAGGACCCTTTTGAATGCAAACACATCAGGTCCTGTGCTTTCTTGTGTGCAAGAATGGTGACATCTCAGTTCAAGGCCAGCCTTTCTAACCTTTCATCAACTGAGGGAACTGCAGTTAGCCAAACTTCCAGATAGGGTGATGGGTCATAACCCAGGAGGAGTGAAAATGGTGTCATTTGATGGACTGAGTGGACTTGGGAGTTGTGGGCAAACTCCACAGACAGAAGCTTTGCAGCCCACAAGTTTGGCACCTTGGCACAGTATAGCCAAAGATACCCCTCCACTTCTTGGTTGACACATTCACTTTCTCTGTTGGTTTGCAGGTGGTAACCTGTCGAAGTTTAGGAGTTACCCCTATCACCTTGTAAAGTTCTTTTGTAAATGAAGAAGCAAACTGCAGTCCTTGATCAGAGATCACCAACTTGGGAATGCCAAAACAGGAATAGATGTATTGATGGAAGAGTCAGGCAATCCCGATGAAGTCAATTGTTTTATGACATGGCACAAACAGGGTGGCTTTCATAAGACCCTGATCGACAACCGTGAGAATTGAGTCATATTTTTGTTCTCCAAACACTGGGAGATCCATGATGAGATCCATTGATATCTGCTGGAATGGGAACATGGTCTTGGGCATATCATGTGGGACAACTGGCAGTGTGGGTGGGTGAGTCACTACCTTGGTGGTTTGACATGTTGGACATCCTGCCATGTAAGCTTGTATATCCTTTCCCATACCTTCCCACCATACTTCCTTTCACATCTTTGCAAACATAGCCTTTTGGCCCAGATGCCCCACTGACTTGTGATCATGATATGAGTGCATACAGTGTCAGCAGTCTTCTGGGGGAATGTAGAGACATGTAGTTCCAAACTGTTTTGTTCCATCTTCCACAATAGTGATGTTGTCCTTAGGTTCTGAACCTGTCAAATCCTTTGGTGTGTTGTTCTTGATGCATTCATACAGGTCCTCGGATATAGCATAAACTCCACATGCTCCTTTTACAGGTTTCCTCAAAGGGCGAGCATCAGGCAGCCTATTCTCCTTTGACTTTTCCTCAGGCAGGCAAGAATACAGCTTGGAGTTACTTTTTGATCACTGTATCTGGGCAGGAAGACATCCTACTCTTGTGAGGCAGTTTATTTTTAGTTGTTTTTGTATTTTTGTAATGGAAAAAGAGGGCAAAACAAGAGGAATTTGGGAACCCACCCCCTCCAAAAGCCAAAGGTCTGAGGGCAGGACCATGGCAACCGGGGCAGGTTTGGAAGACTTGTTTTTGCCGGAAAGAGTGTTGGCTGGGACCTGTAGGTGACCAGCCTGCCAGGAGAACTGGATAGGATATGACTGGACAGTGGTGGCCCACTGGGCTTGGCATGGGGTGAGCTGTTGAGGCTCACAGTAGTACTCCAAGTTCTTATGGTCAGTGAAGACCACAGTTGGTTCAACAGGGGAGAGGAGGTAGGGGTGGAAGGCTTTGAGGGTGCAAATGACAGCCAACATTTCCAAGTCATAGACTTGGTACCATTGTTCGGCACCAACCAGAGACTGAGAGAGGTAAGAACATGGATGCCACTCCTTGTCATCTCCTTTCTGGGCAAGAATGGCCCCAGTACCGAGCTTCGAAGCATCCATGAAAAGAGCAAAGGGCTTCGAGAAGTCTGGAATAGTGAGGACCAGAGAGGAGCATAACAAAGCTTTTAGTTGTTTGAACACAGCACTGCATTCTGGAGTCCACTGGTAGGACACCCCTTTCTTGGTAAGGTCATGAAGGGGTCATGCAATGCTTGAGAAGGAGGGGATGAACTTGCAATAGAAATTACAGAATCCAAGGAATCCACGAAGCCCAGTAAGATTGTCAGGGGCTTCCCAAGTACTAATGGTGTCGGTCTTCATTGGCGAAGTCTCCATACACCCTTTTCTGATAATCATTCTGAAGAATTCTATTTCTTCAGCCTCGAACATGCATTTGCTGATTTTGAGGTGAAGTCCCTCTTTCTGGCAGATCTTCAGGAACTCATGAACACGTCCTCAAAGTTCTTCCTTTGTCTTGGCATGGATGGCAATGTCATCCATATATCCTACTTGTTTTCCTCATTGAGAGTCAAAGGTTTTATCCATATATCTCTGGAAGGAAGGAGGTGAGTTACATTGCCCAAAGAACATTACTGTGGGTTCGAACAACCCTCTCAGCATGATAAACACTCCTTTCCACTTGTCTCCTTCTTTTACCCTAAGGTTGGTAAAGCCCCAACAAATGTCAAACTTGGCATAATATTTTGACTTGACAAGCTCATCAAACAGAGCTTGTGCATTTGGCAATGGGTGAGCATCCAGGATGGTAAAGGAATTGAGATAGTGGTAATCTTGAATTAGTCACTTTTTACCATCCTCCTTTGCTACAAAGAACACCAGTGGAGATGAGTCAGCAAAGAGGAAATGTAACATGTTGTCCATCAGAGAAGGCAGTGGAACACTGGATCAAGCACAGGTGCAGTCTTGACAGGTATTGGAAATACCTTGACAGTGGGAGATCCAAGTGACCCTTGCAGCATCCAAACCCCTAGGATGGCAACAACTACAAGAGACATGACAAGACATGTGACACACATGACTGTGAGGAGTTGGAAAAGGAAAGTCCCCTGATGTGGGCATAACAGAGTCATGGAAAAATGCTGACCGAAATAAGAGGAGCTCCATCATGTTAACCCTCAGAAACAAGATAAAGAACCTTGATGCTAATGTGATGCTGAAAATGCATGAATGGGTTCAGAAGAAGGTGTGCCACACCTGCCATTGATTACCTGGCATGTCCTTACCATTTCCAGGAAATTCAGACTTGGTTGTACAACCATGGCCAGAGCCATAGTCAACAGGCTCTGATCAAATATGGTGGCAGTTGGACACTGAGGAAGGTGGTCATGCACCATCAAAAGAAATCAATCAACAAAGTGTTGGAAGAAGCCAGGATCCACAGAAATGATCAAGTCTTATTGGAAGGCCATCAACACCATCATGAGGTCCCTTACTGCCAAGGAGATACAGGAGGCCAAGGCATTGGCCAAAGAATGGAATGAGTGGCAGCCACCTTGGGATGTTCAGTCAGAGTACATACCATTTGGCAATGCTGCCCATCACTCACAAGAAACAGAACCACAGAGAAGAAAGGCTGTAAATATGCTGAGGAATTTGCTAAGGAAATGTGGAAGCAGTGTGGTGCCAGGGTGGTAGTGATGGCAGCATGGGAAGATGCTGATGGAGAGGTGATAGTTGGAGCATGAGGAATTTGTTCTTTGTGCAGATGAGTACTGCCAGATTTTGACCAACTTGTCCAGACATGATTTCAATGATGAATTGGGTAATGGCAAATTATTTGAGGAGTTGGACAAGTGCCAGAATATATTCATAAAGTATGCACAAATGGCATTTGGGAATGGTGGCACCGATGCCAAGTCACCAGACAAAGATGCCACTCCATGGTCAAGGCAGAGAAAGAGCAATGGGAAACCTAAAACCATCCTGCCAGTCAGTGAAAACAGCACACCATACATCCCAAACATATTGGACATGCAGGCACCAAAGTTGAAGGATATCATGCAGACATTTGTGACATTTCACTATCATATGTATAACAATAGGAGAAATACTGTTCATTGACATGCATTACAGGGAAGGCCTGTGGGAATTCACAGGTGACTGTTCCATGGAGTGCAATAATGACCAACACTGCACTTTATATTGCACCACAGTTTCTGCCACCTGAGGTTCCCTTCAAAGAGCTGAGTCAACTTACCCAGGACAAGTTGACAGCAATCTTGGAATGGTGGCAAGAGCAAAAAGAGGGACATCCCAACAATATATTTGGCTTCAAGAAGTGGAGAGATGCTGGAGGGTCCCTCCAAATGCTGGTAGCAGTGGCTGACAGCAGTGGAGTGAGGATGGGTGTGAAGCAGGATTTGGATGGGAGCCCAGACCACTTGGCAGGCAAAAGGACAATGGATAGAATGATGCAGTGTGAGTCAAAGTGTGGTTCAGTGGTGAAAACCAACCAAAACCAACACAAAAGACAAAAAGAGCGAGTGGTGGTGTGCCTATGCAGTACCTAGATGGTAGAACCTGTTCTTTGGGAGGGTTTTTGCAAGCTACAACACTCAAAGACAAGTGCTGAGGGTTGGGGGTGCTTCTGATGAAGAAGAAGCAGGAATGCAAGAGAATGTGATAGGGTAGACTGCTGTCAGCCTACAGAAAGATGGATGACAACTTAATTCAATGTCCTAAGCTGCACTGAGCTCAGGGAGGGCTTGGAGCAAAGTATATTGATGATAAACAAGGATAAGCAAAGTAGACAATAGTTAGACCCTTAATAAAGTCTCAACTATTGAAGCTGCTGAATGAATTACTGAGTGATGATAAAATGCAAGCAAAAGGGGCTCTCTCTGACATCTTCTTTTTTTGCTATCTAAGTACAGTGATTTATATACAGTACAGGGGTGTTGCCCTTTGAAAACAAGGTGCAAACACTTGGTAAGTGATTGGTAACTGATGAGTAAGGAATGTAAGTGATGGGTAATCATCTTGGAAAGCATTGGTAAGCATTGGTAAGGATTAGCAAGCCAAAAAGCAAAGAATCAGTAAGCAAAGTCAAAAGATTGGTAAGTATCCAGTGCTTAACTCACTCACTTTCTTTTTCTCTGGCACTGATGACTTGTTCTTGTGCGAGGGATGACTGCCAACATTCCTGGCTGTCCTTCTTCACATGAGGGCTATGGTCTTCATCTCCATTCATCAGCTGTATCCATGTCCACCTCACCAAACACCTTTGGTGTGTGACAGCAGGGCAGGAGGAAGCAGTGACAGCAAACAGGTATGAAGGAATGCATCTGGAACTTAAATGTGTGGCAATATTATCTAATGGGGGACAAAGTTATAGGGTCTGATTCTGACAATGAATCCAATCTCTGTCAAATACCACCAACATTGCTGTCAAACAGAAATGATGGTACAGGCACAAGCATGGTGGATGAAGATGCCACAGAGGCAGTACCATTGCTGGATTCCCAGTGGCAGATTGCCAGATGCCAAGTGGCTGAGGGTGACACCTGCCAGCCAATTGGTAAGCCAGCAGGATCACAACAGCCAAATATTGTTAACATTAATGGCTGACATGTTTCAGCCATTGGCAAGGAACCACCAAATGCCTGGCAGCAGGTTGTGGGCAGCAATACAAGCCCTGTGCAACCAATGCCAGAAGGCTGCTGCATTGATTCACCTGATTCTCTCTGCCCAGCAGATCCTTTGGCAGTGCCAACAACTATCAAGAGAGGCCATAAACAGGAAGATTCAAAGTGCAAGTTGCCCATTCCATCAATGAGTCAGTACTTGTGCCACAGTCACTGAATTGTTGATTCAATTTTTCTCTCAATCCTAGTACCCATGCACTGGACTGGCATAGACAATGCAAGGGGTATGCAGCAATCAAAACAGGTGCAGAAGGCACCAAAGTGGCCCAATGACAATGTTCCTACTCCTACTCCCTCCAAGAAATGTAGGCAATGTTAGCATTTGTATTTTACATGGCCATGGAATGTGATACTACATTTTGACAATCAATAGCTACAATTACAATAAATCCTCATCCAGTTCCAATTCATCCTTGCCATCCCAATCACTGGTCATCAAATCTTGTATATATTGCTGAGTCCTTGCCAGCTGTGCTCTCCTTGCAAGCAACAGGTGAAACCAGATGCTTGATTCCACCAATATATTGCTGTAGTGGTTGTAGGCCACAATGATTTGCCCATCAGTGGTGGTGTTAAGATGGGGCAGGTGCTCATCAGCTGGTCCCATGAGAAGAACCACAAGCCACTGTGCTTTTTCCACTGCTGGATGATTGATATATATGCAAGGGATATCATAAAACAACTTACATGTTGTAATTGGCCCTTCATCATGAATTCCTTCCTTGTATACCAAGTCACTGGCAAAACGTTGCAATGCCAAAAAGCAAGCTAATACACTTAATACTGGCAGCAACAAGAGATGACATGGCACTCACCAGCAGTGGCATTGGTGGCCATAGGCTGTGGAGATGGTTGCTGTGATGTAGCTGGGATGGGCTGTGGCTCAGAGGCTGCCACACCATCTAACTGCTCATCCATATATGCATGATCCAGGGGAGATGGTGCAGTTTGTGGAATTTGTGTGGATGCTGGCAATGATCTAGGTGGGGGTGAGACTGCTGGGGAAGATGTTGGCAAATCCCAGCTAGGTGCAATGGCAGCCAAGGATGGCATGGAGTGACTTGCTTGCCATGCCTCCCATTGTTGATCAGCAGCAGATGGCTGCACCTCCAGTGAAAGTGGTGGGGAATCCCAAGATGGTGCAAGCATGCTGAGCAATGGCTGGGAAGGGCAGGCATTCAGCAGCATGGAGGATGATGGCAATCCTAGCTGATGGCCCCAAGCTGTGGCATTCATGGCCACTCCAAATGGTAGAAATTGTGGTTCATCTACAACCATATCTGTATTGTCAGTGCCTGGCAATACCCAAGGTTTATTGTGTGGGGAGATGACTGGCAAAGGTTATTGACAGTTGTATGTTATAATGACTACTTACATTGAGTGTCTGGACTGCCCAGCCTCCACCTTACTGACTTTTGCTCCATGATATTCAGTGATCTGTAGAATGTTGATAAGTTGATTGAAATATTGTTCAATTGTGTCACAATGTCAGATTTGGCTATTTGGGCTTGTTTGTCTACCAGCCAGTGTTGATGCTGGCACAATGGTTCATGAAAATACAAAATGCAGCTGTGCTGTCAACACAATTGTCAACTATCACTTGACTGCACCACTCTCACACCAGTACCCCACTTCCACAAAAATGTCCCAACATGCTGAAGCATCCCAAACTGCTGCCACCACTCCCTCTGTTGCTCTCCTGCATGAAATAGTCACTAATTCTGCAGACATAGTCATGGCAGAGCTCTTGACACTCCATGACCACAGGAACAAGCAATACTGGAAAAGAGCTATGCATGTCATTTGGGAACAATTGGTTCATGGCATGCCGATCTATTTATCCTGCAATATTTACAACATTCCAGACCTGTGTGTGCCCTTTGGTTGAGGAACTGCCCTCAAAATTCACCATCCCCACCCACATCATTGCCACTGAAATGATTATGAGAGATCTGGTGGTGCTTACAGCATTGAAGGAGTGGCCAAACTTTGACAAGATCAGAGATGCAATGGATGCCGATGTTGCAGACAATCTGTGGTACCAGATTGGAAGGCCTGTCAATAAGGGTAAAGGGAATGCAGTTCCATTAGACCCACTTCAGATAAGTGACAATGCTGCCACCATCACTGACACTTTGGAAGAACCCTGTGGCCAATCAACCAGTTGCGCTGCTCCTACTGGCACTCAGCCCGGAAGTTGAAGGCTGCAGAAGCATACAAGGTCAGTGGCAGCAAGTGATGCTGACATTTTGATGGCAATTGCTGGAGCATCCACTGGTCACAGCTGCTCAGTTGCAGCTCTTGCAACCCCTGCCACTGGCTATATGCCTGTTGCTGAAGAAGACTGATGCAATAGGTGCATGGAGAAAAATCTGCCATGCATGGTCAAGCCAGGTTCTGCATGTTGGCAGTGTAGCTGCCAGAAGTACAGGTACAGTATCTTTGCTGGAGTGAAGGCCACACAGTCACAGTCATGCTGTAACTGAGGTGCCTGATGCAGCAGTGGACTGTCCCCAAACTGTCACAGCCACCTGTCCCCCCAGCTGATGCCATCCTCAAAGCCCTTCACCAGGGCCATCAGCTGCAATATCCTTGGAACCCACCACTCCTGCATGGCAGACCTGGAAGCAGCAGGCAGCCACTAGAAGTATGACACCCACCACTGGCAAGACAACTACCTTGGCCACTCCAAGCTCCTGCAGGCAAAGTAAGTCCTCCATTTCTTTCATTCCACTATTCTTATTTGAGCCTAACATAGTTTTTGATGGAGTGGTCATCATCACTCCATCCTGGCAGCAGTCAGGTCAGCAGACATCAAGCCTGGCATCCCAGGGGGTGGCAACATCCCAAAGCTGTCTCACTACCCCATCCCACCCAGTGACCCCCAATGCCACCCCCATGGAGTGTATGGAAGAGGAGATCACAGCATTGTGGCAGCAGCATATGGAGACAGCACAAGATCTCTTAGATACCTGCCATGAGCTTGCTGATACCCAGCAGGCCCTTGCAGATACCCAGACCAAGTTGCAGACACTCTGCGATCTTGTCAAGGCCTTATGCCAGCACCTGTACCCATTGCCACACTCCTCACCTGATGCACCTGGACCCTCCTGCCCCTCCCCCATCGGCTTTGCAATTACAAGTCATCAAGCAGTTGTTCCCACTGATGGTGCAAGGATACTTGACCTTGCACCCACTATGATGGTCCAGGAGGTTGCAATTGATACCAGCATTCTCCAGAACCTCCCAGGTGATATGCTTTTAGCCCCTTCTACTTTCCTGATGCCCCCCCACCGTTTTGCATACTCATCCACCCCTGGTGTAGGAGAAGCCCAGCCCCCTATCTATGTCTCTTTGGGGGCAGTTGCTGACCATGCCAGTGGGGACAATGCCAATGATGAGGATGCCACTAATTGGATGGACACAGATTAACATGTCCATAGAATGTACTATTACTGTTTCATTGTTGCTATTCCTGAGAATCATCATCCCTGCCCACTTTTGCTTTACATGGTGCAGATATGGTCTCTCTGGTGTGTGCCATCCCATTTGAGTCTGTCCAGGCAACTGGCCTTGCAATTTATAAATCCACTGGTACAGCTTAGCTAGTGCACACTGGCAGCACCCTCAAATCATGCATGGTACTTGCCACATATGTCCTGCACAATTGCAAGGGTTTAACCCTCTGACCCAGGTTGTGGCCATGCAATCATGGCCTATGCTGCTTAATGCTGATGCTGCCAGTGAATAGCACTTGATGTTGCCCATTCCTGTCTATGCCACTCAATGCTGGTGACACCCACCCCTGCCACTACCATTCCCATGTATGCTGCCACTCATTCCCCTCTATGCCACCTGATGCCATCAACACCCACCCCTGCTGGCACCTCACATCCATGCCACCAGCCCATTCCTGACTACGCTGCTGCTCATCACTGTCTATGCTGCTCAATGCTGTCAACTTCTGCCCCCTGCCACTACCTCATATCCATACTGCTACCCCATTCCTGCATATGCTGCCTGATGCCATCGACCCCTGCCAGTACCTCATATCCATGCTGCCACCCCATTCCCCTCTATGCCACGTGATCCCACCAGCTTCTGCTCTGCACTAGTGATTATTGCTCCCTGCTTGCTACTGCTGTGTCATGCCAATGAGTTCTGCTGGCAATGCATCTTGCACTCTCCTCACTACCCCACCCTGTCATAACCATGCATTCACTCTAAGTCCTTACTCACTCCACACCCTCTTCCACTGGTCATTCACTCACTCCGCACCAACTCTGCCCAACTTCTGTCAGTTATGAACCATCTCTGCTCCAATGGCTGTTGGACTTGTGTTGCTCTCTTACCAGACCAAACAGACCATTCTCTGAGGGGTCATGTGACTACCTTTGGACTCCTCCCTGACAGCTCACAGTCAGGTACTCTGCAGCACATGCACCACATGGTCCAGCACCTGGACTGCTTCCTTTTCTGGATGTTCTATGCTACCCATTCATATGTCCTCCATCTACCCTTCATTCATTGTCTAGGAAGTTTTACTTGAAAATTTCTGGGTCTCCATATGTCAGTTCCGATTCCAGTTACTGTACCTCTGTAGTAGTATAAAAGCATGTATCATACTCCACCATTCCTCAGTATGAATATTGACTTAGTTCCTACTCCCTCTGTCTCCATCTTCTGCCTGTCAGAGTTACCTCTGACTGTCCATCTGTACTCCCCCTCTGAAATACGAGGGCTGAGATCATGCAAGGGGGTAGTGCATGAGCTAAACCTGACACCCTCACTTCGCTCTGCCCTTACCTTGGTGGACTTCATTCTTGCCAACACTCTGCCAGTCAGAGTTCTGCTCTTTCTGTCAGACTTGCTTCTGAACCTCTCCCCAGACCTCATCCAGCATTGGAGTTGGCTGGAGTGGGCCTGGACTTGACACACCCTGTCTCTATATGCAAAACTATGCTGATGCATACTAGTGTATGTGGCCATATGCTTTTGCATCTTCACCAGCTTACCACTTACCACACTGTCAGATGCAAGAAAATGCCACTTTTGCCTCAGTCATGCTCAGATGGTCCTTGCCACTGGTACTTGCCACTCCAGTAATCCACTTGGCATTTGGTGCAATGGCATATCATGTTTCCACCATGTGCCAAGAGTTGCTGCTGTGTGCTGCTGTATGCCTGGACATACTGTGTTGTCATGTTGGGCCACCCTATATACACAATGCAGATCTAGTCTGGGCTATGCTATATATGTCCCTATGACATGATGATATTCTATTTAAAGCCTCTCCATGTGACACCTAAAAATATAATTGTAGCTGATTCTGCTGTCATGCATGACAATACAATTGTAGCTGATCCTGAATGACACATGACAACATAATCATAGCCAATCCCTATGTTACAGTGACAACTTGTAGGTCAGCTCAACCTCTGCTGGCCCATGTCACACAACCAATTGTCAACCTCTGCTGGCCATGTCACACAGCCTAACTAGGTACATGGGCTCCTCAAGCTGGGAATGTCAATGGTAGCACCTTGGGACACTGGACTAGAGCTCCTCAATCCAGACCTTACCACATTGCTATAACTCTGGATATTATCAGTGATGGGCTTTTCAATTGGGGTAGAGTACTGACTCCTGAGCAGGGTCAGCTTCAGTAGAGGGGACACACCAATGATCTCAGCACCAGGCTGAGTTGTTGGGCCTTGGGGTAGGGATGATGCTCAAGTGCAGGTGCCTCAGCATGTAGTAGAATGGGTATTAACCATTTCTTTTGTTAGGTGTTTTTGGATACTTACTCGAGTGCCAACAGGGGATCAGCCTGTGGATGGTTGAGAAGGTATTGAAGGGGTTTGTTTAGAGTTTGAGTTTTTTGACCATTTGGGACAGGAAAACAATATGTAATGGCGATGCGAAGTTATAGGACTTGCAATGACACCACACCAGGGTTCTTCTTAAGTACTACTCATTTCCAGAGTGAAAGGTCTGTTTGATTCGAGGTAGAAAAGAGAATCCCCATACAGTATGCTACATAGGCCATTTTATAGGCTAGAGAACAGGCACGAAATATGTCAGAGTACTGCTACAGGTAAAGTAGGATCAAGAAACCAATGAGACAATAAGTAAGACTGTCATAGAGAATTCACCATCTGAACATGCAGTCGACAGCGTCGGACCGAGTCCTTACACTACCTTTTAGGTACTGCTTGATTCATGACGAGCAATATGTCAACCGTTACAGAACAGGTGCTCCTGGACGCTACAATATAAACAAGAGCAGGTTCTTCTGATGTGATGGATTTTAGCAACCAGGGGTTAGTACGACGAGTACATGTATAGATAATAATGCATGAAATAGAGAATCTATACATTGCATGGATGGTTGTTCTTTTCTGACGCTGACAGACTCTGCCGAAGACAAACCTTGTCGAACACTCTGCTTGCATGTACAGTTGTCGCCGAAAGAGGGATCCCTAGTGTGCGGGAGGCAAAGGTCGCCACAAGGTTAAGCCGACCAAGTTGGCTTTTCCACGCAGCGACATGCTCACCGCCAGTAAGAGTAACCGTTGGTGCAGCGTACTTCGCTCTGCTGTTCTCGACTCTGACAGATAGGAAGAGGTATCAACGTTCAAATAACCACGAAACGAGCGCAATGGAGGAACACGCCTGTCCCGGTTTCAAACCTTTCCAGGAAGAAGTGTTCAATAAAACGTAAATACGGACAGAGATAGGGTAAACGGTGAACGATGGATCGACATTAGGTGATATTTTATAGACCAGCAAATGACAACGAGATTTCTTATCACAGTTAACGCGATCGCGGGCCACCGCCGCGTACGGCGAGGCGAGTCGGAGAGGTGGGGAACCATTCCCAAGTACTGCTGGTAATCAGCGATGTTGGTACGAGACTGTATAAGAGGGCTTTTGGTATCCTGGCTAGGAAGTAACTGACACAAGCGAGCTGCCTACGTTCGAATTACGTAATTGCACTCTACATCCGACCACATTCACAGTATGGCGAGTGAGAAGGTATGCACGGTATTGTCGAGGTTGGCTGAGAGGGTGCCCCAAGTACCGCTCTACATCGCTGGCGCTGTGTCTCTTTCAGTCGTCACATGTTTACTTTTCCGTAGTCGGCCGCCACGACGAACCCAAGCCATCGCTGTCAGCAAGGAAAAAGTCCTCGTTCTCGGCGCCACGAGTGGTGTTGGACGTGTCATTGCTCAGCAGTATGCTCTTCGAGGTGCATATGTCTGTGTGGTGGGTCGCCGAGAGGACAAACTCAACGAGGTTGTGCAGGAATGTGTCGAGCTTGCTGCTCGGAATGGGTTCGAGGGTAGAGGGCTAGGAGTGAGAGCCGATATCTCCGATGTCAACGACATGATCCGAGTGCGCGAAACGGTGGAAAAGGGTGTGTATTCCGTGCTGGTTCTGAGGTCAAAGAGGATGATGATACTCAAGCGGCCTTTTTCAGCATGGAGCGGCTTGGATACCGTCATTGTCGCTGCGGGAGTTTCGACTCTGCAGCCTCTCATGGCTGTCGCCGGAGTTGAGATGTCAACTCCGGATATCGTAGGATCTCAGGCGAGTCCGGAGGGCATTCAACACGCAGTTAACGCTGCTCAAGCTGCCGTCAATGGCAATTACCTCGGCTCCCTTGTCGCCGCAGTCACTTTGGTCAGCTAACACCCTTATCACCGCTGTTTTCTCGCTGCTGACCTGTTTCCTTAATAGATCCCTCTTTTGACCTACACATCCTCCTCTCCATCTATACTGTTGTTGTCTAGTGCTGCAGCAGTATTACCCCCACCTACCCGGTCCATCTATGCCTCAACGAAGTGTGCATCCCTTATGTTGTACCAAGCCCTTCAAATTGAACATCCTTCCATCAAATTTACATTTTTCTTTCCCGGCACTATCGAGGGTGACTTCCGTGCCTCTGCGGTGGACAACCCACCCGGTTGGACTACTCCGCCAAAAATTCACGAAGATGACCCAAACAAGAATGGTTTGAAGCGGGAAGTGGTGGCGAGAGGGTGTATACGCGCGATTGACAGAGGAGAGAGGAACGTGTATATTCCTCGCCATTACAGGGTTGCACACGTTCTCTATTGGTTCTGGCCTGCGTTCATCGAATGGAGGACCAGCGTGAAATATAACTTCAGGTGAGCAGGCTTGGCCACCTGTCAGACGTCCGTGTGTCCAAGCATTTTCTCTCTACAGTGCTAAGTAGTACTTGGGTGGCCGTGGATACGTCGATGATCGATTCAAAAAAACAGGGGCCATGCGGGTCACGTGTGCCGCGTTGTATGTGCTGTCGGATAAGCTCGTGTTGCGTTGTATTCTAGCCAGTAGTAGTGTAGCAATTTGCTTGGATGTCCTCGAAGACGCCGTACGTCGTATTTGGGTATGGGTCCCTCATATTCAAGGTACAGTGCAGGTGGCCAACGAAGGTGGAAAGTCTTGCTGATATCACTAGCCACCCCCATACATCATATCGGAAGGTAAAATCAGTCCACCACATATCGCTTTAGCGGACGAGTTTTCACGACCATCTTGCACTGATCGTCGCGATCGTCAGTGCCAGGATTTCTTAAAGGTTACGTGCGGCGGTTTGCGCAGAAATCGCATGATCATCGTGGAACGCCAGAGGTACGTACACTGATGTTGATGTTCTACACTCTACACACTTGATTGTCTGGTCCGTTCCCTTTGTTCTGTTGCTGTAAACGTACATACCTCAAAGAACCCAGGCCGAGTCGTTACCCTGGTCCACAAAGAAGACTGGGATCACTTTTCTGGATCTGTGCGTCCCTGTTACTATCCCTCATATACATATCGTTGGTGATACCATCATCCTGCATATCCCGCACGCACACACACACACACACACACACACGCACACACACGCTGCACACGCTATCGTACCGATCTTTTCGCCCGTTTTGCTATTGCAGGATGCCTTTCCCGATGAAGATGTCGTTTGGGGCAAGTCCGCTTATTCTGTTGTGAACCGAAACGCATGCTTAGTTCTGCTAACCTGGATATCGAACATGCGCTCTGCTGTTATACAGGTATCGCGTATACCGTAAATCCTCTCTACGAATCTGAAGTTCGCGATTATCTGGGTAAGTTCTCATGTGCTCAAACTTTCTTTGTAACAAGCATTCGGACGATTGGCGAACCAATGCATACATTTATCATGCGCAGATTACCGCGAAAAGGTAAACACCCTCTTTTAAAAAAAAAGAAAATAGAAGAGATATTTCATTCCCCCTAGGATGGGTATACCCTAGAGACACTCGATGTATATACCATAGAAGACGGGGTCGAAAAAGTGATCGTCCATAATGTACGTCGATGCTTCCTCTTACACCTGCATGCATCCCTTACTCCATTTTTTGTATTTTTCAAAATTAAAAGGCATATGTCGGTAGATTATCTGGACTCATGGCGTGGTCGGCATTGATTCTTTGGACTTTTCACTAGTGTTATGTCGGCCATCCAGATAACCCCTCATTCGGTGCGTGATTTTGTACAGTAACCTTACTTCCGAACTGTACATAACGGCATCTTCAGTGGGTTCAGAGCCTCTGGAGGCTCTCGCGGATCGCATCTGGAGATCGGTCGGACCGTCGGGGAGAAACAAGGTGGGTTCGGGACACTGGAAACTACCTATACATGCGAACGACCTCGTCTTTTCATACAGGACTACTTATACCAGCTGGCAGATTCTGTCAGGAAACTCGCACCTGCGTCCTTCGACTCTCATTTGTTTGCGTTAGAAGTAAGACTCGCATCACGCTCTCAGCTCTCAGCCCCTCTTACCACCCTCAACGTAGGATAGAGTTCGCGAATTGGATGATAAACGCGCCAACGAAACCCAAGAATAGCACCGACAGACTCGATAGCTAGAAACATGCGTAGGCTGTGAAAACAGTAAAGCGACACAACGGATATGTGACACGACAACTTCTATGCGTTAGATATTACAACCCCAACCCAACTTTGCAGTTCGAAAGATGATTCGCGACCGTATTGTCAACGGAGACGTGTAGATAATAGGTCAACGTTTGAGAGATGCACTGAGCGTCCCGTAACCGCTACGCGGGGGCGTTCCGGCCTGAGGAGAGATAGGAAGTAGGGGTGTGCGCAGTTCTGCTGGTGTCGAGCGCGCCAGGCTACGGTCTCGTTCTACGATACTGGTGATAGTGGGGCAGAAATTAGGCGCACCCGAACACGACATTCGTTTACATTCATGTCACTCACCCTCGCATCACTGCGGCGGTGGTCAAGCGCTTGGCTTGCCTCTTGCTTTGGTTGTCTTCATATCGATCTGTCTCGTCCACGATCTCTTCGGATATGATTTCCTACGAAAAGTGTCAGTTCTTGAAACAGTGCACAACGAGCAGTTGCTAACTTCGATGACGTCTGCGTTGTGGTGTATGATGTCAGAATTGCCGGAGTAGGGTAAGGTTGTGGGACCACGGACCTTCGAGTGTGATCACACCGATAGCACCACCCGCTATGCCTGGCGTATGACTGATCAAGAGCAAGTGCGCGCGCCCGGTTTGGCTGCGGGAAAATGTTCGTACACAGCGCCACGACCAGAATGAGAACGAGATCTCACAAGTAATCCAACGCTTGAAAACAATTTATAGAAGGATGTGCTTCGGGAAGAATGGAGAGCTTAAAGTGGGATACTGGTAAACATTTCGACGGGTCATAGGTAAGGAGCTAGATCGTAGAGTTAAGCACCGTTTTGTCAAGGAAAGAAAGACATTCTACCTTCTTGACGAGAAGCAAACCTTGGAAGGCTAGTGGATCAGCTGGTTCATGAATCGGGATTCGAGAATATCCACTCGTGAGTCTGCAAATGAACGGATTAGAAAAAAGGTGCGTATATGGGGTTCGGACGAATGAAATTACATTGCTTCCACTGTTGCGTGGTCCAAGATAGTATCCGAGCTCAGAGTCACCACATCCTGGGGAAATGTTTGCGTAAGCGTAATTGGACAAGGACACTGAAACGAAAACGGACACAAATTGGCGTCATGATGCTCTCCACATTCTTGTTGTTGAGCTCCAGTACCCCGTTGAGTATGCAGATTTCGTCGTCTCTCAGAGGTTCTTCTCCTGTGCGATGGAACTGAAGGAAAGATTTCAATTCCGCTTTCTTGTAGGTGTGCGTCTCGCTCTTTCCCAACACGCGATCAAGAAGCTTGGCAATGGGATAAGCGACGGGAGCTGTAGCCAAAATGCAATGCAGTCAACAAATTGGAGTTAATGATTACACTCACATAGTATATACATTAGGAAAAGCACGAAAGGCGCGCACCTCGCGCCGATAGCGAGTCCGTGTCGTACGCAGACCGCTTGTGGAATAATTCTAGAATTTGCGGAGAACCCCTCATGAGATGACAGGCACAGACTGATAGCGTGACCCTCTTACTCGCTACAGGACATGCGTCGTTTTCTCGGTGTTCAGTTGACCCCGGTGTAAACGTGTCTACGCACCCGAAAATGACTGACGTACTGGTTAGCGGGTCGTATGGTGTGCGAGGATGTTAGGACTTACCAATGGCTGTAGTAGAGATAACCACAGCTGCTATACCCCCACCGATCTGAAATGTGGGCTGAGCATGTGGGTCACACGACCAGATGTATGCTTACGGCACTATCAAGGAAGATAGGTAAACTCTCGTTGATGACCTGAGCATGTGATGTCGGTTAAAAGTGTTCGGGACACAACGGTTCGGACATACGACGTTGCTAAGGAGCAGGACCTGGCACGCGAGTGATAAGTAGAAATGCAAGGGTGAGCACGGTGCACCACTCACGACCAGCACCCAATGGCGTCCCTTTTGCAAGAGCTTGTGAACTACAATGGATATGAGAAGGAATTGCATTGCGAAAGCGACATTCCACGCGCCTTTCTGAGCGTTTTCCCGTTCGGCGATGTCATCAGAGGAAGTTGCGAGGACGCGGAGATGAAGCTCATCAAGACCCATAAGCCCGAGTGTAAGCCTGACGAAAAGTGAGCCTCGTCACGCGAACGATACAGAGAACATATTCGAGACATACCCGGAGAACACTCCACCTGCGAGGACGAGAATCGCACTGATAGCAATCTTGCACCAGAATTCTGGTGAGTCTACGGGCTCATGATGTGTAACCTTGGGAGACTGAACCAGCAGTGAGCGAGCTGCGTCGATGAACATGAAAATTGGTGAATGTCGGTCTGGATTCCCGATCGGCTTTTTATACGTTGATTGATGGGAAAACAGGAGTCGAGGACCGGTTCGGGTGAGCAAAACGACTAGGTTCCGAATTACGTAACTCGAGGAGGAGGGTCAACCCTTATGATTACCACATCGGGTAGTCAACCCCTTCCCATCGCCTTTTTCTTGTATGACCACCTTCTTGAGGGCACTGAGGGCCTGTCACTACAGACCACACAGGCTGACGAGGGGTGTGGTCATTGCGATGTCTGGGCAAGTGAGACACCACTCGGTATCGGACCAAGAGGACACTGCACCGGCTGAGAAACGACCGCGAGTGGATGTCAGTGAAGCCAATTTAACACCTGCGTCTACCAGGGCTACTTCTTCTATTGGTCAGGGGCAGAAGAAACAGCATGCACGAAAGGAGAAGAAAAGAAAAAAGCACGCGATTCCGGAGCCGTGCTCGACTGAAGACGTGCTCTGGCATGACGTCGTCTCTCTGTTGGGATCAGAAACCGTCGATCAGAAAATTGCGCAGGGTGTTGAGTGGGAATCGCCATTCGACTTCAGGGAGGAGCTTGAAGTAACCGTGTCCGCGCTGTCATCCAATGGTGCGTATATATATTGTACCTTTGACCAAGCCGTTGACGGTCACGTTGAATCTGCTGCTGACGACGGCCGACTGTCTTGCATACCGCAGGTGACGCGTTGGCAATCGGACCGGACCCGCGCAACTCATGGGTGATTGTAGTCCCGTTCGCGCTGCCAGGGGAGAGGGTACGCGTGCGGGTATATCGTAGTTCGCGGCTACACTCCTTCGCAGATTTACTCGAAGTGGTATCCCCGAATCTCGAGTTGCGGGGCAACAGCCGGGTCAGGTGTAAATATTTTGGCAAGTGCTCGGGATGTCAGTATCAGGTTTGTCCGTTTTTTCCTCTTCTTGAGTTTGGTATTCAAGTGAACAGATGTTATCATACGAGAGTCAACTCGACATCAAGCGCAATGTAGTCATCAAGGCGTATCAGAACTTTTCCGGTGTGTCTCAGTTAATTTATACTCTTTTCCGCTCTTAGATACGAACTACTAGGACTAATCGAATCCTCAATACCAACTGTTCTTCCGACAATCGGCTCGCCCCTACAGTACAATTATCGTACTAAGATTACTCCACATTTCGAAGCGGCTCCAAAACGAGCCCGACAAACAGAATCCGCGGACGCCAGCACTTCCAAACCAGATTGGTTGAAGATCGGATTCAACGAAATCGGCAAGAGGACTGTCATGGATATCGAGGTCAGACCTCTTTCGCGGTGTCTTTGCATGTTGCCTGACATGTTTCAGGAATGCCCAATCGCTACCCCTGTCTTGAACGAGGCTCTTGGTCGAATACGGAAAGATATCATCGGGTGGGTGGCCACGTTCTGTCACTGCAGCGCTGTCTCATCGGCGAACAGAAATATATGGTCATACAAGAAGGGCGTTTCGTTACTGTTGCGGGATTCAATAAAGGCGAACCCAGCGAACGAGAAAGCTATGTCGAGTGACACAGACAGCCAATCGCAAGAAGAGGAAAGTCATATTTGCATAACCGATCCCAAAGCGATAGTTCGGGAAAAGGTCGGGGAAAAGTATTTTGAGTTCCCCGGTCACTCGTTCTTCCAGAACAACAACTCAATCCTTGTTCCCCTCACTGACTACGTCCGAGATGCAATCTTCCCAACAAGCCTGAAACATTCCCCCGACCACCAGCATCCCACGCATCTAGTAGATGCCTATTGCGGGAGCGGTCTTTTTTCCATCATGTTGTGTTCACATTTCCAAACAGTCGCGGGTATCGAACTATCTGCTGACTCGATCAAATTTGCTACTCATAACGCGCATCTCAATGATATTCCTGAAGGGCGATGCACGTTCCGCGCCGGCGATGCTGCCAACATTTTTTCTGTCGTATCCGAATTTCCGCGGGAGAAGACTGCGTTGATCATCGACCCGCCACGGAAGGGATGCGATGAGAACTTTATCGATCAGCTCGTTGCGTTCCGTTGCAAAACTGTCGTCTATGTCAGTTGTAACGTTCATACACAAGCGAGGGACGTTGGGATGATTCTTGACAAGATGGGGAAAAGTGCAGACGAGAAGGCAAGGTATGTAGTGGAGAGTCTGAGGGGATTTGATTTGTTCCCCCAGACAGCACATGTAGAGTCTGTCGCTGTGCTTCGACTGATTTAGATGCGATTCTGCTTCGTGTCCTAAATGGATTGTGCGATAAAGAGCTCGCAGCGCTCGCGTTTGATTGGTCGGGCTAGCGATGAAATTTAACTCATAGCAAATTAACGTGACATGCCAAGTTCATATGGCAGACTTGGTCGCAAGAAGCTTCCGCAGCACTGCAACTTAACGTACACAGAGACAATCAAGTTCATGAATCATCATCCCGCTGTACGGCGCAAAGCTCGGGCCGGCGGTTTGTGCACTGGAATCTATTGGAATTTTGGAGGGCTATGGCAATGTTGTGATCCAATGCGGGAAATACCTACGATAGGCAACCAATCTGCACTCACCCGGCGTCCTGATAAATCTACCCCACACTTCTTCACGCAACTGAAACCCCCTGTATTGATGTGGGGGTGTATTAACAAACCATTATACCCGAGAAAATCGAAGTTCATAGAGGCACATACATTTGTCCGAAGAGAAGTGTACACCAGTAGAAAGGATATTACATTGGAAGACAGGAAGACAGGGAAGTATACAATAATATACATCTGCAGGATAGATAGCAGGCTCGAGTCCAGTCTCACATCTTTCTTGTCCCAAGACCACGTAAAGAGCGACCCTACACCATTGGAATGGGAGGACGCGACTGTGCGCCACTCGTATTATATGAAGTGGTATCCCTTCCGGGGGTAAAACTCGTCAGCGGGAGAGACGAGTGTATTGACGGAACCGTTTGCGAGCCAGCACCAGTATAGTACGTCATGGGAGACACAGTTCTCGGTTGCAAACCGGTCGTCGTAGACTGATCAGATAGTTGGCGATTGTGGGTCTGCCAAATCGGGTTCTGCCCTCCATTTACTTCTGCCACCGGAGGAGTTCGGACGCGGCGATATCGCCGGCGTTTACATAGGATGTAGGTCCCAAAACCTAGGAGAAGAAGGAATGCAGCACCACCCACAGTGCCTCCAACGATGGCACCTAGGTTACTGGATTGAGATCCAGTGGATCCAGTGGATGAAGTAGGCGCATTCGGGTTCAGGTCCGTCTTGTCTGATTACATTCACCTAAATGACAGAAGACGAAGGTGATATGGATATCTCACTTTCTTGGTAGTATTGATAAGCTTGCTGCTCATTCCAGATTTGCGCTTCCCAAGTCGTTGCTTTCGAGAGTGTGGGTGAGCAGGTCTGCGTTGTGAAGTATCCACGTACGATCGATCGAGGCCCAGTAAGGAATAGTTTCGTTTCCCTCTATAGAATAACTGGAAGGGAAGTACCTAGTGAATTGTGTATCAGAAGCAAGATAGCACATAGATGAAATACCAAAACTGACACATCCGTCTCGCTGGACGTGCAATTCTGGACAAATGTTGGCCATCTGAATTAGCGGAATTAGGCTCGGAAGAACGTATTAAAGGTACTGCGAAATTGCTCACGTCTGCAAACTGTCCGTATTGTTGGCGCCCTGGCAAAACGTGCACGCCATCATCAGGTTATAGCAGGACCAAGAACTTGAAAGCTCGATAAGTCGGTGGTTATGATGTTAGGCGACCAAGTCAAATCATACCAATAGCAGGGCGTGACTGTTTGTCCAGAGGGTCCGTCGTAATGAGATCCTGGAGGTAAAGCAGGTTGCGTCCAAGCTACAAAGAACTTATCAACGCAACACCTCAGCAGTGGCAAGGGGGGAACCTACTGTTTCCGACACAGGCCGCTATAACATAGGCAACGAGCAGACAAGGAGGCATGGTTTCCTGGTTGTCCATCCATTCATACCCGCTCTCACATTGAGCTAAGGAGGTGATGCTGCGCAGATACGGGTGGAGTAGCATCGTTGACGCTGTAGTATGCGGGTACGACGCTACAATAAGAAACAACAACTGGAAGATAATTGTCGCCACTCTGCCCAGGGTGGAGGTTGGCCACGGCAGCCTCATGACGGACCTCACTGCCTTCAAAACATGAGGTAACGCCGAAGTAGCTCAGATCACAGTACCCACGCCATGTACTTTGATATCTGCCACAAGACATAGTGCAGTGCCGGCTATCGCCGCGGCCGGGGCGATGATGAGAAGCCGCTAAGGTTTACTTGGCTGGCCATCCAAGTAAGTTCCAAGTATGTGTGAGAAAAGACATAGAAACTTGCAGGTTTCCAACTTCCCTAGTTGCTTACATAATGGGAGGCCTTCCAGTCATGTGGCACTACCACAATGGAGGACTTTCATCAAGTCCAGCAATAAAGTTTCACAGAGCATTACAATTTATATAAAGCATTTACAATGGTGAACCCAAGCATGACCAATGGTAAATTAAGGAATATCAAGGTGTAAGGCTAGTAGTGATGTTACATAGATGGGCAATTGAATTGTCACTAAAGTCCAGTGACCAGTCTATTAGCCACTTGGCCAGCTGGACACCTGTCCCAGGTTTTGCTGATATGGCATGCCAAGTCCATCCAGCAAACTTGAGTATAAGAAGCTTCTGCAGCACTACAGCTTACCATGCACAAAGATAATCAAGTTTCATGAATCATCCGCTGTATGACACAAAGCTCGGGCCTGCAGTTTATGCACTGGAATCTATTGGAATTCTGGAGGGTTATGGCAATGCTGTGATCCAATGTGGGAAATACCTACAATAGACAGCCAATCTGCACTCGCCGATGACAAGGACGCATATACAAATAATCTACATCCGCAGGACAGATAGCGAGCTCGAGTGTAATCTTACATCTTTCTTGTCCAAAGACCACGTAAAGAATGACACTACACCATTGGAGCGGGAGGACGCAGCTGTGTGCCACTCGTATTATATGAAGCGGTATCCGCTCCGAGGGTGAAACTCGTCAGCGGGAGAGACGAGCGCAACGACGGAACCGTTTGCGAGCCAGTACCAGTATGGTACGTCATGGAAGACACAGTCATCGGTTGCAAACCGGTCGCCGTAGACTGGTCGGATAGTTGGCAAATGTGCATCTGCTAGTTCGGGTTCTGCCCTCCATTTACTTCTGCCACCGGAGGAGTTCGGACGCGGCGATACTGCTGGCGTTTACACAGGATGTAGGTCCCAGAACCTAGGAGAAGAACAAATGCAGCACTGCCCACAGTGCCTCCAACGATGGCACCTAGGTTCCTGGATTGAGATCCAGTGGACGCAGTAGACACATTTGGGTTTAGATCCGTCTTGTCTGATTGCATTCACCTAAATGAGAGAAGCCAAAGGTGATGTGGATGTCTCACTTTCTTGGTAGTACTGATAAGCTTCTTGTTCATTCCAGATTTGCCCTTCCCAATTCGTTGCTTTTGAGAGTGTGGGTTAGCAAGTCTTTGTTGTGATGTATCGACGCACGATTGATGGCGGCCCAGTAGGGAATAGTTTGGTTTCCCGCTATAGAATAGCCGGAGGGGAAGTACCTAGTGAATCACGTATCAGACGCAAGATAGCATAAAGACTGAAAAACCGAAACTAACACATTCGTCTCACCGGACGTGCAATTCTCGACGAATGTTGGCCACCTGAATTAGCGGGGTTAGGCTTGGAAGAACGTATTAAGGGTAATGTAAGGTTACTCACGTCTGCAAGTTATAACCGTCTGAACTGTTGGTGCTCTGGCAAAGCGTGCACGCCATCATCAGGTTATAGCAGGACCAAGAACTTAAAAGCTCGATAAGTCGGTGGTTATGATGTTAGGCGACCAAGTCAACTCATACCAAGAGCAGGGCGTGACCGTTTGTCCAGCGGGGCCGTCGTATTGAGATCCCGGTAGTAAGACAGGCAGCGTCCAATCTACAAAGAACTTATCAACGCAATGTCTGAGCGGTAGCAAAGGGAGAACCTACTGGTTCCGGCACAGGTCGATATAACGTAGGCAACGAGCAGACAAGGACTGGTGGTTTCCTGGTTCTGCATCCATTCATAGTCGCTCGAGCAATGAGCTTGGGAGCTGATGTCGGCGCGCGGATACGGGTGGAGTAGAATCGTTGACGCTGTAGAATGCGGGTACGGCGCTACAATAAGAAGCAAAAACTGGAGGATAATGGTCACCCGTCTGCTCAAGGCGGACGTTGGCCATGGCAGCCTCATGGTAGACCTCACTGCCTTCAAAACGTGAGGTGACGTTGAAGTTGCTAGCCCAGATCATAGTACCCACGCCATGCATTTTGATATCTATCACAAGACACAGTCTAGTGGCTATCACCGCTGCGGGGGCGATGATGAAAATCCACTAGGGTTTACTTGGTTGGCCATTCAGGTAAGTCCCAAGTAATGTGTGAGCAAAGGTGGAAACTTGCAGCTAGCTGCTTATATAACAGGAGGTCTCCCAGTCTTGCCACTACTTCAACTTGTGGCCCTAGTTAATCCTATCATAAGTGGGACCACTGCGACGGAGGACGCTTTACATAGATGGGAAATTGAATTGTCACTCATCGAAACCTTCCGATGGCGGTTTAGTGCATTTGAAACTTCCCTACACGTCCACGGTGGCTGCACACTATCTCAACGTGGCAAGCGTCAAGATAGCCGAATCGATAGCTCTTTCCAAAGCTGGGTGCCATTTGAACCTGGCCATCCATACCCGTGTTCCGCTGCGTTCCTGAGCGAAGACGCATTTTGGGACGATGACGCGAAAAACTGGGTTTTTTTGTTCTTGAGTTATTAAGGCCATAACATCCGCTGATATTCCAATTCTCCGGCCCAGGCTTCGCGACATACACGCAGTGACTTCGAGCCACGTTCACGGGGTTCTTCTACCCGGACTGTTCCAGAGAGCGCCGCCATCGACTGTCAAAGGAGGTATAGTCAGTGCCTCAGGCCAACGTCCCGTGTGACATATTTGCGCCTCCACACCTTACTTTTGCCGCGCGGGCCTTCCTTCCTCCCATCCTTGGTCTGTTCCGCTCCGGTCAAAGCAAGCTTCAGGGTCGAGCCGTCGAGGCTTTTGTCTTGGACGCTATGGCTTACAGCTGCCCTTCGGTTTCTGTACAATGTGCCTCGTACTTCACAAGCCAGTCCGGACTAGATCCATGTTGTGCCGCCCAGATGGTCGACCAATCCTGTGGGCTGAGCTGTTGGTCGTGGTTCAGACGTCCCTTGTAGACAGTTTCTGACATCTCATTCTGACAGACACGATATCGGCGAAGTCAAACTCAACCTTCAAAGAGAGTTTGTACATTCCTAATGCAACGACGGCTAGCTACACCACCTGGTCAATGCGCACAAGCCAACTGTATTCTATCCTCAATACTGACGATCGATATACACAGTTCATGGGCAAGCTACAACCTCCTCAGTGCTTGCGCTATTTGCACGCAGCAGTCTACCTGGGCAAGGTGCGCCTCTCGACCGCTCTGAAACCGCCGCTTTCGCTGACTCTGGCACAGCTGGGCCACATACAGCGCAAGTTGCGGAAACTACGTGTCTTCGACTACGTACGGCGTCCTTAGTACCTAATCGTAGGATTCTCACGGGGGAGCTAACAAGAAGTCTGTAGGTACTATCCTTGGGATCAAGGCTGCAGACTTCCGGAAAATGAAAAAATCCCATTCTTCGCGGCTACTAATCGTACGCACCGGAGTTAGCGCTGCAATTATGTCAATTATCAAACTAATGCACCTCCCACAGCAATATATTGGACAAATGGTACATTCAACGAGAATGAAGCAGCTGTGAATGGATCATCAGGTATGTATGACCGGTACGTAAACGCATGACGGAATCTCACCTTGCGCTAGGGACGCCTGATGTCACCGGACAACCACTTGCAAGCTCTTCACCAAGTGCGACGTCCACTTCATCTAGTTCTTCATCTGGTGCGATCATTGGTGGGATCGTCGGGGCCCTTGCCGTAGTTCGGTTTGGCAGGTTTCATACTCTGGTACATCGTTCGCCGGCGTCGACACCAAGCTCGACTTCAACCAGCCTCCCAGCAATCTTCATCTTCCCCGCCGCTGCCGCACCCTTCAATGGCCCAGACGGTAACTTCCCCATTACAAAGTGACCTCAACCCTGTCTTCGCAGGAGTTTCCTAATGCCAGCCAACACTTTGCTTCCCCCATGTCACCCATGATCACCTCACCACTCTCCGCCCCCATCACAGACGCCGCCGATATGATCTCTCCATTCTTCTCACCTATACGTTCAGTACCCACCTACGACCAAATCTGCAGAGGCACTCGTAGGAAGGAACGAATCTCCGCCACCACGGCGAGGGCGTATGAACCCCCCACCTTACTCACCTACTGCTCCGGCCGGATCATCATCATCATCATCCCCCTCACCACCACCTCCCAGGCATCCCTATCACTCGGAAAAGCGCATCAAACGTGTTGCAAACTGCTCCGTTGACACGGCGACCACAACCGCTGAGGCTGATTCGGCACCGCTGCAGGGGCCGCCATCAGCCAAGCCAATCTGTCATGCGGAAGCGAGGCCACAAGCCACGAGGATGCGCTCCGGAGAGAGTGAAGACAGCACTAGGAGTGCTGGCACAGTACTCACGAGTGTGGGAGTTGGTTCTGCTCACCAGCGCGATGCAAGGACGGATCCGAGAACTTCACGAAAGCGCCCACCCGTTGTCTGATTGGTTAGGTTCCTTTTGTCTGGGCTATGTATGAGGAAGATGGGTCGTTTCACTGTTACCGTAGCCAAAACGACGACCGTTTATGTTCTAGTTCGTTTGATCATCTCTAGGTAGAGATGGACGGATTGTAGTAATATACTAAACTTTATTCATGTGTATCACGAGGTGTTCGAGTGTCATCCGGGCTCGGGCTGTGGCAAGGGGTCACAAGATTAGTGGGTACGTAAATGCCGACTGGATCGGAATCAGAGATAAGATGAGATTAGTGTACATGCAATATGCATGTCCGGTTTGAGGACCGTGAAGAAAAATCAAAGGAAATGTTCCGATGAAAGCTTTGTGTATGGTTTAATGTTCCAAGGTTTATGAATGGCAAGAAAGGGAACTCACTGACCTCCCTTCTTCTCTCTAATCTCGGCGACCTTCATTTTCCCCTCATCAAGGACGTTTGTTTGCGTAGATGATTGTGTTTGATAGCACGGCAAACAAGTTTTGGTGCATAGTTTAATGCTTTGGAATTATGAAAGTGGCAAAGAAGATAACTCGCTAACCTCATTTCCTTTCTCTGATTCCGACTAATTTAACTTTCCGTTCTTCAGGACGTTTCATTCTCTCTGCGGCAGTCTGCGCCTGAACGATCTCGCCCTCTCTCCTCCACTCTTTTTTCTCATACGCATCGTATTCCTCTCTAGCATCTATCCAGCGCTCCTGAACATCTTGCACGTCTCCAGGAAGTAGTCTTGCTGCAGTCGAGAAGAGGGAGAATGCATTGGGCCGAGCGGACGCAGGAATCCGCAGAACTATCGATAGTGCCCTCTGGTGCGGGAGCTTCCCTTTGGAGGAACGAATATATATCCAGTTGCACGATCAATGGCTCGCGCGAGGTGGAGCATGGAAGCTTTGTCCTTTTTGACCCAACGTATGTCAACCTTACACAGCGAACGGCGACGAAAAAAGCAGGAAGCTGCTGCATACCTCAACAGCCAGCGTCTCGAATCCTACGAGACCAAAATCTTCGATGACGGATATCAATGCCATGTTAAGTGCTGTGAACCGTGGGGAGATTGTGGTGAGGACATTCTCAAGGTGTGACAGATCCTGGACTTCAGTGTAGAAGTCAAGGTTAAAGTCTATACGATTTCAAGAGGGCTGGTCAAACTTGTGTGGGGGTGGTATCACAATCTATCATATACCTAGATCACCATAGTGCGACAGGAGGTCGATCTTTGACAAAACGTTGATGTGAGGTAGTTCCAGCTGAAGCATCGTTCGAAGGGACAGTAGAAGAACGGATACATACTTGGCGGCGTCGGTGACGTAGTGTGCGTCACACAAGTGCACGGCGGCTAGCTGATTACGATGGCGAGTGAGCTCCGCCCCATGGATATACGGTTCGATTAGCAGAAGAACGCACTCGGAACCCAATCTTCAATAGCCGTTGTATGATACGCTTTAGCGATTCGTGGTTCGTCCCGACCTCCACCTGACCCGGAATATCGAACAGCACATAGGCATCTTTGCCGAGCTCGTTAAGATGAGACTCGAGCCAATCAAAGTTCGCCTCTAGATATTCCATGCAGTAGAGCATCCCGCCGTTCGGACCAAGACCATGTGCATCCATCGCATCCTGGAGGGTGATGAGAGAGGATATATCGATCGCACATGGATATGGAATGTTCTCGTTGGCGGGGTCGAGGTTGACAATGGAAATGGGGCGTTGGAGTGCTGAGAAGAGCTGGTGTTTTCCATAGCAATACGTGGATTTTCCACTCCCAGGTGCACCACAGACCACCTCACCAAACGGCATCCTTGCAGTAGTTGAAGACAAAAGAACTCGATGATGTAATGCGTTGTTTCCAACACACGGTTACCTGTCTTGGATGTTGGCCCCTGTCGCGTGGTATATTACTTCTTTCTTTCCTCTCTTTTTCTCGCATTTCTTGTATCGCTTCTCGCGTATTCGCTTGATATCACACGCCGATCTACGCTCTGAGGTCGGATCTTGAGCGTTTCTCACCTACAAGTGAGTATTTCAGTCACATCCGCCAGTAACTAGTGACTAAGGATTCAGAGAACAGATAGACAGAATAAGCGCCATAGAGCCCCGTCAGTTTCACCGACCCTCGTGGGTGCCTCCGCCGCAGGTTCGCAGGTTGCGCAGGGCTCAACAGGACCTGCAACTGGCAAGGGCCGTAGGGGGGCTTTGGAAGCAGTTACCAGGTCGTAAGGTGGCTTTCCGTCCACCAATAGGGGTGACTGCGGATGGCAGCGATACAGACAGCGATGCAAGCAGACGGATACCGGCTGTTATCACCCAGTGTATTGATCAGGACAAGAATTGGTACACCAAACCTCTTGGCACGCATCAGCAAAACTACAGCCATCTTAATTTTACTTGATTACAACCGGCGTAAACACCTGTTTTTGCTCGCAGGTATGAAGTCCAGGAAGACAGACAACCTGGCTAACCAGTAAGAAGTATCTCTACTCTTGCGTACCATTGCTCACGCTACATAAGTGAAGGCGTTATATTACCACACTATGAGCGTTCATTCCAATTCCGGACCCTAGCGTTCCGCCAAACAGCCCAGCCCATCCAAACGCCTATGAAGAATCCCCAGCAGGGTCAACAGTGATGGCTCTATATCCAGACACCAGTTTCTTTTACCCTGAAAAAGTGATAGCAGCTTCCAGTAACTCTCACCCCCCCCCTTGTCAGGTGAGTTTTCTCCGTGGAGAGACACTTCCGAATTTCACGGGATTTGTGTGCTAGAGTGTTTCGTCCAAATATTAGTATGACGATGTATAGGCTCAAGTTCGAGGAGGACGATGATCAAGAACATTCTGTATCAGCACGGTCTCGTTTTAGGGTATCTAATATCTGGCCCTTAACTGCTATGTAAGACTCCAACTTCACTGGCTTCAGGAATGCACCACTGCGAACGCGACCCACGAAATGAACGTTGTCCGTATACAGGCCAATGGAATATAGTATATCATACGGATGTATTATGCACCACTGGCCAGAGTATTGTGACGCCTACTCATCGCATTGCCCAATTGAAATCCATCGCGTCCTGGAGGGTAGGATACATCAATCACACATGTTCATGGAATGTTCTTGATGGCGGGGGGTCGAGGTTGACGATGGAGATCGGGCGTTGGAGTGCTGTAAAGAGCCAATGCCCTCCATAGCAATACGGCGCCCGGATGCACTGGCACAGACTACTTCACTAACCAATGGCGTATTCGATCAATGGAAGCACTTACATGGATGGTGGTGCCAACGCGTTGTCTCCAGCCAATCAGAACGCGTCAGTGGAATACTCCGACTATCGACTCAGCTTCAGCGAATGCATCACAACTGCCAGTGCGATCCATGTTGTCCACAGACAGGACAGTGGAACATAGTAATACATCATTCAGATGGACTCTTAATATGCTCCATTGGCACCACTGTGACGCCTAGTACTCACGCTCATAGATCACACTGCCCAAACTAAACAGAAACAGAAACAGAAATGCAACACCAACGGCCGCAGGCCCAGTAGATAAGGTCTCTTTAGTCTTACCAACTACTACTTTCCATCGATCGTTTTCACTCGCCACATTGCGGCTGCGCGATCGCCTCGACACATAGCATTCCAACATTCCGTTGAACCACGGGCGTAGATTCAACATTGAAGCTCAGGCTTGTAGCCCTACCTCAATTTTCAGCGCCACCTCTCTTGCCATCTCACATGGGTCATTTACACACTGACCTACCAACCCCTCGCCCAATAATTACCGGATATTTCGGAAGGCCAACACTTCGCAGCCCCCAGAACTTGAGCAATATACGAGCCACTTACTTTTTTTGTGGAAGGAGTGAGATAGGGATAACGTACCACTGGACCATGGACTCCGACGCTGCACTTGTTCAATTGCGCATATCCATCGGTCCTAGGCCATCGAGATCCCCAAAATTCCGCGTTAAACCGGGACCCGCCAGCTTTCACCGCGGAGCCGTCTTCTTCTCCACGGTGTGGTTGAAGAACCATACCCCATGGACGGACTGACGACGCACATATATATATGATCGACGACATGCACAATAAAGGCGATTCCGACTCGGTGGAAGCGCTCGGCGTCTAGTACGTACTACCCAGCGCCACCACCAGCTGTCCAACGTCCGACCCCCGTGTATACGTATATGCATATGCTCAACATACTACGCAATACACGGCATCGTGTACACGCTCATCTCCCACGCACGTACTTCGCAGACGCGTGTCTTGCAGTGTATAGGTGTGGGCGGTGCAACGGAGTTTGCGCCGCGGAGATATATCTGCCGCTATGATGTACCAACCTTTGAAAGCGAACTGGCAAAGTCGAGCTCATTAAATTATTAGTAAGTGAATTAAGCAAGCGACGCGTCCGGCCAACCGATACATACACGCAGGTGAGGCCATGATATCTACACGTTTCGTTCGTGCACCGGCCGAACCAGTTTGTGACAAATAAGGGCTAAGAGAATTCGAAGGTTCGCTATCTTCAGTATTGTGGTATTGTAAGGCCTTCGGAAGCAAACTTTGAATAAATAGTCTTCCGCTTCTCTCCTCGTTATAGTTTGAGGACTGATGGACGAAGGAATAGTACTTATCCACCAAATTCGAGCTGCTGCATTAATCAATTACTGCTCACACAGACAAACTGGCTTATTAGATAGAGAGGAACGGGACTTCCTTCTGTCTTGGAAACGTCGATAGAATTAATTCTTCTACAATATGGAAATAAGTAGAGGAAGAGTCAACCTGGGCATGGGGGATAACACAACAGCAGGAACCGGATCAGGAGAGAGAGGGAGACCTTCGAATAACACGACTAGGGCGAAAAGGCTTCATTGTTCAAGCTGTCCCGATACAGCATCCAAAGCCGTCTTCATCATCTCCGTCACTGTGGGCGGCACAGTCCCACGCAGTCTCTTCGCCGTCGCTCGGTGGGGACCACCACGACTACTACCCTCTGCCCCATTATTGTCACTATGGTCCACATCCATTATAGCATTGTCCGCAGCATCCGTATCCGCGCTCGACTCCGATTTATCCATTTCTTTTCGTTTCCGGGCTAAGAAATGTAGGTAGGTCAGGCTGTGTTTGACCGCCGGCGGCCGTGCCACGTTCAGAGGCGGGGCGCCGAACCAAAGTAGCTCATTTGTCTCGGGTGACCGATCGAAGTATTTCGCTGTTGAATCGGGTAGTCTTATCATGGCATTTAGAACTCGAATACGACTCACTGGTTTCTGGAGGGAGCTTATCCACCACAGGCGGCACGGTCAAGTTGCCAGCGGCCGTCAACATAGTGCGATCTTTGGCATCTGTGCCCGTAGCGGCTCCATGAGCTTTCTGTGCTTGTCCGGCCTGCTGCGAGTAATACGATGGAAGAGCACTAGACGTGCCTGCAAGAGTGGCAGCGGGCCTTATCAAAGTTGCGCTTGAACTGGTACCCGCAACCGCAGTGCCCTCTGCCGTAGTAGCGTTGTTCCGTTTCGCCCGCTTCCTCCCGGTTCCCCCACCCTCGATCTTCTCCCCTTCTGCCCTCTCAACTGGTTCACCGATACCTCCAGGACCCTTCACAGCATTCTTACCACCCACAAACGGACTGCCGACTTTCGGAGGGTACACTAACCGCTCGAAGGCATAGATAGGCATAAATTCTTCCTTCTTGCGCACTTCTTCGGGGATACATGAGCTCCAGTTTTTGATCTTGACGAAGAGGCGTTCCCGATCGTTGTATCGCGAGTGGCAGACGTACAACGGCCAGCCAGGATACCAGAACGGAGGCCGGGGTCGGCCGCGGATGTGTCGGGCCGTGAATTGGCATGCGATCTTCTCGATTACGTCTTCGACGGGGTGGTCTGCGAAGTGGCCTATTGGGAATATCGGAATATGGTAGATACCATAAAAGAGAGGAACCCAGGGCCAAGAAGAAAAGAAGAGAGTCAATAAATCAATACATGCGTACTCGAGCAGGGCTTGACGTACTTGTCTTGAAGACTTCCTTCTCCATGAACATGGTGTGCGCCGGGTGAAACGTCTGAGGGAGGGGTTCTTCGTAAGCCAGATGCGCGCGGGTACGAGCGCTTGAAAAGTAGTCAAGTTGGGAAATTTACCTGTTCGGGTCGATAATACCAGCAAACAGTCACACCAGGCTGTCCTTTTTTTGCGCTTTTGGCCGTACCAACCAGGGATAAGAACAACAATGAATAAAGTAAAAATGTACAGATACGAACGGGTCTTCAGAGAGCCAAGGCTTGAAAACCTGACCAACGATGGGCCGGCTCGGGTCGTCCGGATTGCTGAGGTGGAGCCAGTCCGCGAGACGGATGCTCCATCCCTTGTAATGGACCTCCTCCACGAACGTCCTGTCTTTGTTTGACACCCGGAAGGTAGTCACACCAGGGACACCTTCGGAATCTGTGGAGTGGAGAGGACGAGCGGTCCCCGGGCCAGCACGGATGGAAGCAAAATTGGTCGTGGTGGTGTAGGGTGGACCAGAAGGTGGAGAAGACGACGTGAGTGCATGGTATAACCGCTTTAATCGATCATTTCCGACGAACGAGCATCAGTCATGACAAGCGAGTCATTAGACGGATATATATCTACCTGTAAGAGTAAAACATGCCCGTATGGTTCTGTACAAGGCTCGTGCCAACGTCGTGCCTTTTCGAACAGACGGGCCATGTCCAAATCAAATGCCTTCGCAGATTCATAACTTCCAGATCGGACACGTCCCTAAGGCAAGGTCTGGGTGAGAATGTGGCACGGTGCGAAGACGAAGATGGGCTGACCTCTATGATCTTAAGGGACAGATGTGACTTTTTGGAATAATATGAGCCAGTTAGGGATGGGATCATATGGCTACGTTACCTGATAGGACAAAAGTGGAGATGTTGGTTCCTCGGGAACGGCCTCAAGAGCAACAGCCAAACGATTTCCGCTGCAGTGAAGTATTCATCTTACGGCTCACGTAATGGAAGAGGGGGAGGATCGGGTACGCACACGACGTCTTTATGGCTCTTGATCGCCACCACAAGGTCCAACAAACGGTCCTGTACAACGCAACAATATTACTCGTCCAATATACATGGGATTGAGGGACGCCAATTAAAGGCGGCGAGGGTGGTGGTGTCGACAATCACAATGGCGATTATGATACGCGCGGCGCCCACACTGCCAGAACGAACGTAGGAGGACCTGCTTACCTTGTTGATCTCGGACATCCAACCCGAATCACCGAATCCGTCCCAACGGGGTAGACTCTGTTCGAGCTGACGAATGATTGTTTCGCTATCACCGTCGCCGTCTCCAGCTACGGAGCCCATGCCAGCCTCCTCGGACTGACCTTCTGGTTCTGGGGACATGCCGTTGACGTCGACATCCATTTCTGGGGAGGACGCCAATTGCGAGGGGGCCAATTTCGAATTGGAGGGATCTGGTTTGATGGCAGCAGCAGCAGGCTGGCCTAGCTGTGGCTGAGCAGAAGCGAGTGCTTTGTGAACTTTTTGAGGCGATGCCGGTGGAGGGGAGAGGCGTGGAGAGGGAAGCACGGTCCGTTTTTGCCATTCGGTCACGAGAATGTTCTGGAGGACGCGTCGGCAAACTGAACTGATTCGTGCATTATAGATAATATAATATAATATATATTTTTCCCTTCCTTGCGCCGCGGATGAAAGGGGAGTCGAGACCATCGTCACATGGGGGAGGAGAACGTGCGAGAAGGACAAGCGAAGGGGGACGGAGAGAACGGAGGTGATCGTATTCAAGAGGAACATCAGTGACTCACCTTGAGAGTTTCTGCGTCCGTTGCAATTTGACTGCCTGGTTCGTTGTAGAACAACGCGTTCCAAAACACGAGTGACAAGTCAGTGTACGCGTTGAGAGGGTCCTTGTATCTGTTTTTCTCCACGTTTGCGCGTATGCCGTTGATACAGCGTGGTTCTGGGATGACCTGTACACGATTGGATCGTATTTTGGTATCATACCTCGCGATGATCACATCTGGTGAATAGGGGAATGAATGGATACCTCGTAATATTCTGGCCAATCACTTCTGTCGACTAATTCCAAGAACATGTCAGCCATTTTGCGTTTTCCACGGGAAGGCGTTGCTGCGACGAGAATGTTGATGATGTCTTCAATGGCAGACTTCTGTGTGGACGTGATGGCCATCTTGCAAAGTCTGATGCCAGTCTCGATGACGCGCTACCGTCGAAGGGAACCTCCAGGGCGTCTGTTTGTTGGTGTTTGGTCAACACAATAAACACTACATAATAATAAAAATAAAAACTACACGCATGACAACGCACCAGCAGCCCCGTCGTGAGGTGAGGAGGGGCTGGGTCGAGGATCGTCGGGCCCACACTCCGTCGCGGTGCACGCAGCAGAGAAAAAGAAGGACAGCGTGTTAGAACGGAAAGGGCATTGTCAACGGTGGCAAACGGGGTTTGCAACGAGGCCATATTGTGTGACATTTGTACCCAATCCCGAGGGCATAATGAATAATGGAACACAGCTTGGTATTCCCCGATCTGCCGTCGATGATCTCGAAATACTTTTCGGGCGTACGACCCCCATCACCACCATCAATAGTATATTATCAGTTTTCGACGGATGGCACTCGGGATGGTAGTGGGACCACCCTGAACGCGTTATCAGAAGAGGATGTCCGCGTAGACGAGGACGATGGACAGAGCCGCTGAAGTTAAATGTTAAATTCGCTGTCGTAACAAGGAACCCAGCCTCTCATAGATGCCGTCCACGTTGTGGGTATGTATGGATATTGTATCTGGACAAATTCGATCTGGCTGCTGCTGGGTGACAGACACAGGAACGGCCAGTTGCCAGTAGTCGTCCGATGATGTCGATTTTAACAGTTCCACGAGTTTGATCTCGCTGTCGGTGGTGCCAAGCTGCTGCTGCTGCTGGCGTGTCCCCTCCCCCCGGTCTGATACATATATATACAATAGCCCAGCACCCTCCTCGTCCATCCCGTCGTCGATTAACTAGTGTATCCATCCTACAGAGATGCAGCCCATCCAGTTGCCTGCCCTCCGGCCATCACAGGTCTATCAGGGCTCTCCCCTCCACAGCGGCTCGATGCCACGCTTCATGGGCAACTCGTCCCCGCCCACCTACGCCAATTTCGATACCCCCTCTGGCACTACCAGTTGTACCAGTTACCTTCCGGCGTGTAACTACGGCAATAACACTACCAGCGCTCGGAGGGCCACCATTAATAGCGGACCGTCTTCATCGACATCTTCCATCATCGCCACTCCGCCAGCGCTCCGTTCAATAACCACGGGAAGCACCTATTTCCGTCACGGACATCCCCCCCTCCTTGTCCAGTTTCAAAACCATCACCGGCGGCTCCAGCATCCACGCGCCACCGCCATGTGAATGGACCTGCGACACTACTGCCATCCCCTTCTTATCTGGGCTGCACTACGACTACTATCCGCTCGCCGATAAAAGCGCAAGCGGTTCTACCGCGTCTTCCCCTTCATTGCCGACTCTCCCGTCCACTTCATTCTGTCCCGATCTGTTTGACCCGTCGTCCACCATGTCGTACCCCCAATTAAACTCGGGAGCTGTCGACATCCTTTCCTGGCATGATGACCCTGTCAGGATCATCCCAATTCGCACCAGCGGACATCACGCAATCACTTCGAAGCGCCCGCAGTGCTAATCCTCCTGCCCGAGAAATAATGACGAGGACGACCCCGGCGACGACGGCAAGCATCACCACACGTGCCTCAAAGTCTGAGAGCCAGTCGCGTGCCCGCGAGAAAAGACACGGTTGTTGGATGTGTGAAAAGTCATTTGATAGACCATCTACCCTCAGAAAGGTCAATATCCTTTTTCTCTCATTTTCTCGTCCCTATTATGAGGCATTCATGAACTCGTGACTTACGGCCGCTTCCAGCACCTTCTCGTTCATACAGGTGTAAAAGGTGTGTACCGCCGGTCTTGCTGCTTTTCATTTGTATCGCTTTTCACATACACGTTGCACTCATTTTTCTCCGCTAAAATACAGCATTTGTCTGCGAGACATGTGGCCGTCGCTTTGGCGTGGCATCTAATCTCAATCGTCACATCAAACGATGCGTGCTTAAACCCGTCAATCTTGCTAACAGAGCCAGTCAGTCCAACGTCGTTGACCGCCACCCGTCATCCAACGGCGGATCTTCCGTCGAGTCGCCTTCCACTTCCGCGGGTGGCACAAATGTCCCAGAATCGTCGACCTCCCCTGCCCCTTTGCAACAATCTATCAAGCGCGCCCGCGTCCTCGAGCCCGAGGCTCCCGAGGCATCCGAGGCATCTACTCACTCCTCTACGCCCTCTTCGTCTGCCGCAGGCACTGCCCCCCAAAAACCCCCCACCAAACGTCGTCGTCGAGCGCCTTCTCCGTCCCTATGGGTCCCTCAGTCCCTTGCCCGATACAACATCCTTCCAATCGATTATCCACCGACCTCCGTTCCCCTACCTCCTGTGAGCCCTGCCAGAGACCCACTATCCAACGACTGGATCGAGGAGCGCAACTCATGGGACGAAGACGTTGCTGCTGCGCCATATCATCCTTGCGGGTGGAAAGGTGTGCTTCCCGGTCCCAGATTTGCGAGTGGAGTCAAGGATAGCAGCGATGGTGGGCTCGTCAACAACGGTGCCTATGTCATGGGGAGGCTCGTGATGGTCTGATGATTACATCCGACGGCAGCGACAACGCGATTTGGCGAAGTAGCGCCGATCGGATGGTGTTTAAACCCACGTTGTGGTTCTTGTTCGTGAGTTTGTGGAGACGCTATCCGGCCCTTTTTTTTTTTTCATTCTTGCTGGGCGCTTCTGCAGTGTTCTTCTCCGGCGTCGCGGCAGGGCCTCCGAAAGTTCTTGTTTGTCTTGGTATTTCATACTTGTTCCCTTCGCTGTTGCCGTGACGAGTCGTCAGCTCGACAAGACCGCGAGGGGGCGTTCCGATCTGAATCGTATCACACATATTATAATTGGTTTCGCATCGTAGTCTTTCGTCTTCTTCTTGGACACGCACTTTTTCTTCAGTCGGTTCATACACTACATACGACCCACGCATCCACATCTTTCTCTGCATACCTTACAGACTCAGTCGACTCGCACAGGACGTGTGATAGGGCCCATCCCTTATCCCGCGTGGTTTATCATAGACTCGCATTGGTGACAGACATACACGATAGCACACCCGCCAGCATGTACACTAATTATGTACCGTACGGTTAGCACAACCTGTAGTATTCTTTTGCATCTCTCCGGAGGTACTTTATACTATTTTCTGACTAGTCGTTCCGTGTTTTGGGACTGCCCTAGCAAATAAGTAATATTGCGTTGTTTCTTTCTTTCTTTGTGGGTATGCCGTGTCTTCGTGCGGAGGGAGAGGGAAAGAACAGCGGAGCGGAGGAGAAGATACTTCGATCGATCCGATCCGGTGCGGGACTTGCCGTTATACGCTGCCGTCACAGACTTGGAGACCGATGCAGAGGCAACTTTCCACCCTGCAGGAGAGCGTCTGTTTCGAGTGAGTCTTTCTTAACTGTAACTTCATAGCAGGCCCCAGGATCACCCGTGTGATGACATCACTTGCACGACACAGAATAGTCAGTCAAGGTGCCATCGAGGAGTTCCATGCATTCCACCGCCCTTCGATCGCTTTGTGCACATATTATACGTACTCCCACGCTAGCTCCTCTACCTCGGGTTCCGTCGCTGTGTATCGTAACAGGTCATTACGGAGAACGTGTTTTCATGGTTTGAGAATGGCTGAGCATCGGACAAGTAATGATGCGGCCCTTGCTATATTAGCGTGAGATACCATAGGCGCGCGATGTGGAGTCCTATCTTCTGTTTTGTACACTTATTTTTAGTACATAGTAAGAACCTCATCCGGCCTAAAAATTAGCACGTTTATATGTGGTTAGGACACAAAATTGAACAAGGATAGTCGTGTTTTTCGATCGAGGCGATACGCAGCTTCTTTAAAGGGGGAGGAAAGCTTGCCCTATTCAGCGTGGTTCAAATCAGTAGTGACTGGAACACCGACACCTGAAGGCCGTCTTCACTGCTGAAACTTGGACTATGCGGGCTTTGAATCAGTGCTGAGCATCTCCATCCCGAAGTTCGATCGCCGGTGGCACTGAGAGCAATTCTTCACTAGTCAGTTGTTACCAGATGTGTGGTAGCTGAGTGCGCCGGTTGCACGCAAGCCAGCAGTCAAAGGTGAAGGCTTCGCAAAAATTATCTGATATCCAGTGAGGTCGTACCGGGGAGTCGGAAAGCCGTCATGCCCAATTGTCCCTGCTGGTTCCGAGGTCCATTAAGAACCCCGCCTCCGGGATTCTTAAGAAGGCTTCTGAAGGTGTTATCGCATGAAATTATACCCGAAACTTTGAGGCTTGAACATGGGGATTCGGAAGGACTGGCTTTACGTGAATCGAATACCTATCCACTGGCACTAAACATTCTCTATTAGGTTCGCGCCTATCACGAAGGAAGAAGTGGTGACGGCTCCTCGTCTGTTCTGACTCGTCAGCGCCTTTTTGTGTGTGTTGTAGAGTGCAATTACTTAACCTAATCTTCCGCTATAGAGTTTACGTGCAGATGCTTCATCCGGAGGCAGAACTGCCAGAGGATGTAGACAGTAGGCGCTTCGGTCACTAAATGTTACGAGGAAGTGTATGATCCCCTATAACGCTCCGCAGTATGATCGAGTACCGCGAGCGGCGTGCGTACAAGTTTCAGCACATTTTACGGCATCAGTGCGAACGCGCTATCGTATGCATATCGACGTGTGTAGCTTGAACAGAGGTTTGCAGGACACGGAGCCGGGATGATATTGCAGAGTCACGAGCTCCAGATGATGATCATTGATCGATCATCTATGTAAGATGACGGCGCAGAAGTATGCCATCCACCCTACGCTGAACTCATGCTGTGACACATTGACATCAGTACTCCTATCGGACTAGTTGGACAGAATGTGCGCGCTCGCCAACCTTCAGGTCCCAAACTCGTCCAGTCCTAGTTGAGATCTATCAGGCTACGCCACCCAGAATGTGTCCACCTGAAAGTCAAGGTTAAGTGTCCCCAAACAGCTTTTGGTTAATAGTGCGATGCACAAGAGGACTAGTGTATAGTCACATCCTACGTCGATACGTTTGTCCGTAAGTTTTGAATAACAGGTTTGTATGGAACACACGAATATTGCAGCCATCTATCATTCAGTCCTGGTACACATGATGGTTTTCAAAGTTCTCTCGGGAGCGTTTCCCCTCACTTCAGCTTGTTCAATATCGAGGATCCCTCTGGAAAGGTTGTTGAGTGTTACAGTTTGTTACCATAGTTTTAGGTTCAAATACAAACGAGGAATACTCACTGTTCGCTATTGTTTTTACCCCTCTTTCAACTTGGGCTCTCGCATCCCTGCCTGCGACATTCTCAACGACGCTCAGAGCTCTTCCTGCAAGAGTCCCTCCTCTCATGTTTCCGTCGTTCTGATCGTTCGGATTGTAGTTGTAGTTGCCATACGTGGTGCCACCATAGGAAGAGTCCTGCGCATAAGGCGCATAGTACCCCGACGACTGAGGACGGGCCGCTGGGCCTTGATATAAAGGAAGTGAGAATGGCATGTCAGCACCAGGAAGAAAGGGACAGATACAGACACAGTGGACAAATACCCACGAGGTGGAATTGGTGGTGGTGGTGAGCTAGGCTCTGGTAGATTTGTATAGCAAGAATACCGATGGGGATGAATCGGTGGGGCTGGCGAGCTCCCATAGCGATGAGGCAAGTGCGGCCCCATCGGAGGTGGACTGCTTTGGTTCGGATAATAGTGTTCAGGGACGGGCATCGGTGCAGAAAAGTCTACGTGGCTTTGACCATGTCCACTACTCCATCCACCTGACGGTGAGTAGGGTACAAAGTAGGGGTCTTGTGGTGGTCCAGTTGTAGGGTTGTACGGAAGTCCAGCTGGCGGGGAGACGGGTCTTCCCACTATTTGGGAAGATGCGGTGGACGGACGGGGTGAGTGCGCCTGTGACTGTGAGACAGGCGGTACCGTAGAGCTAGGCATAGGCATCCTCAGTGGGCCACCATCAGGAGAGTGATGCAAGTGAGGCTTTGTCGAAGGTGGCGGGGGTGCAGGTGGGCGCGAAGACAAATCCACAGAAGGTAAACGTGCAGACGCGGTAGAAGGTGTGGGTCGACTGGATACATTGGGAGGAGGCTGCGGTGAAACTATCGGACGAGTGGACATGTTGACCGGAACCGGATGTGCAGAGATTGACTGGGGTGATGGAAGGCTGCCACTCACAGCCATTGACATTGAGGCAGGGATGGACGATACGGAAATAGAAGGATTCCTGGCTGGGACAGGGGGTGGCGGACCAGATGGAAGCGGTGCGTTCATGCCACTCCTGCCAGTAGCGAGTGACATATGTTGCGTCTGTTGAACGACGTCCTCAATTGAGTAAGGAGGAGGTGCATCCTCGATAGCACCGCTCGTTTCTGCGCCCTGCCACTTGTGATACGCTTGGCCAGCTTCTAATGTTGTATGCATTTGAACGCCGAGGTCTTCATAGTGTGGTCTTGTCGACCAATAATCTTGCAATTCCTTGACAGGGAAGGTCTCCATGAGGACCCTATCTCCGTGAAAACCCTCGGCAGCGAACCCAGCAATGCGCATGTACCAATCCGAGGGAAGGTCACGTCCATCTACATCGAGCGCTATGAAGTTGAAATTGGGGTGCACGGGCAGCTGTGAAGATTTGGACACGACGGGCATAAACACTGTGCCTTCATCATACCTGCAAATAAGGCAAGGCAAAGGCACCGGCTCGTCATGCAGACGTTGGTAGCACCAAGCGAGAAGAACGTACTCATCCCACATGGCTCCATAGATCGTGCGCACTCCTGCACGACGAGCATTGTAAATTTGCTTCCATAGGAATCTGCCACCATTACGCTTAATGCCATTTAGGCCCCATTTTCCCTGGGAGAGGTTGTATCCCTGCACGAATGAGCTTCATACTTGGAAAATACACCAGCAAGGAAAGGACACGTACACTTCCTCCAGGCAAGACGACAGGGACGTAGTCTACTTTCTTACCTGTCTCCTCCGAGAACTTTCTGAGGTAATCCGCATCCGCCTTGACGCGCTCTTCTCCCCATCGGTCTGCATCTTGCTCGTTGCCATACCTTCCGACGGTCCACGGACTGATAGCATCAAAAACATCTGTCCACATACTCACGAAGTCGGGATTGCGATCGGCGTCGGATGTTGATGTCCTCCAATGCCCTGGAACGCCAGCCATAAGGTATATCCCACCAGGAGTATTGGAGCGGAAGAATGTCCCTATCGAGCGTACGAGCTCAGGAGTGTGGTTACGGTCGTTGAAACCGAAGCCTATATAGCGCAACAGCTGTTTACCACAATTCAACAAGTCCGAGAGAGGAACCAACCCCATAAAGCGACCAGCAGGTCGTCCATTTTCGCGTAAGTAGTTTGGACTGTCAAGAATGCGCTGATCGCGAAGAAGGTGGATCCAATCTTGTTCCAGAACATGTTGGATGCGGTCAGGGGATACGCCTGAGACATCATACCTGCAACAGGCCACGCCCAGCACAAGTCAAGTGAGAAGTAAATGGGCGCATAGATTGTCCAAACGGACATGATAGCAAAGACTCTCCCCTCCGCTTCAGCGGCTTCCCTGACGCGTTCCCCAACTTCATCCCTGACACGCCGTATTCCCTGACTCCCCCTCTCTACTATCACATTCGCCGGCGAAGCGCTGCAGAAACGCGCCATCGACACCATGAAGAGCCATCCAATGGAAATGACGCCTGACTGTCTTTGGGTGACGCGATGAGAACACGAAGGCCGGTTGGCCATCTGCCATGTTGAGCCCTTGGAGAGGAAACAGCTCCGAGGGGGAGTATTCGGACGTGTCTGGCCATAGGTCGACATTGGGGCGGCCGCCTTGGGAGATGATGCCGCTTGTCCAATGAAGCCATCCGTGGTGCCCTGTTTGAACGGGCGATAAGGTGCATCAGCACGGAACTGGAAACCAACTGGATGAATGTATACCTGGATAGATGGGTTCTCCATCACCTGCACAAGTGAACCTAGCGAAATAGCGATCAGTGATTGGTGAAATACTGCGTTTTGGCACCTGGGTGCGATGGGTTTTGGACCGCCACCTCAACCAGACTCCAATGTACCATCAGTTGGATTGAGGTGTAAACACTTACCACCCCTGATATCCAACGAGGACCTTGTCCTGTATAGTTTTTGGGTTCGCTCTGCCCGATAACGAAGTGAAGTCAGTTACCCTCTGTCGAGCCTGGCGTCGTGGCCAAGTTACCTTCTCAATGTTCGCCTTTGGTGCTCACTTCCGTGCATGATTGGGTTGTTCGAGTGGCCGTAGTCACACCACGGCTGAACTGGTTGCGGAGGCTGGCATAGCCATGGAGTCGGACTCAGTAACAAAAGCTTACACAACGTCACCAACTAGGCACGTCGCAGCCCTGATGGCCTGATGATTGTCAAGCAATTGATTCCCCTGGTTGTGCAGTTCGTGGGGTGTGGGCTGGTGTAGGCACCAGTTTGATCCGGAAGGATACGTATATCGCTGGCATCTGCCCTTCTCCCAACGGACACTCTCAGTGCAGACTCTTGCCAGCCAAGGCGGACGAATAATGGGACAAGAAACACCTACAGAGAAGCATCATTTTTTCGGTTTTCGAAAACATGGGGCATGCCGATCGTCTCGATCGCTTTCCAGTCGCTCATATTTCTTCGCAGAAAGACAGTGCCGATTCGCACGAAGCTCAGTCCAATCAGGCTCCTCACGATAAGGAAAGGTCTCCAGCGTGGCCAAGTTGGCTTGGAGGGGTACGTGTCCTGTTCATTGGGGAATGCATTATGCTGATGTAGTTAAAGCATTCGCGATCTTCCACTAGTCATTCAAAGGACGGTCAGAAGGCGAGAGCTGAGGTGAAAGAAAGTGAGGGTGGTCGTGTGGCTTTAACAACTGTTCAGGTGTCCATACAAAAGGATGAACATAAAACAGAATCTCAAGGCAGTCAGCCGCCAGCGCCTGTACTTCGTGAGGACCCGAAGGCACGTTCCAGCCCCAAGAAGAGGTATCGCGATCGTTGACTATGTGTACTATCAGGATGAATCTGCGAACACCTCAAAACGTGCGGATGCCGTGACCATGGACCAAGCGATCGGCAACGCTCAGAAGGGCGTGGACAAGTTGAATCTTATCCCGGGTCTTGCACAAGGCGCCGCCAACACCGTCGGGATGGCAAGCACCGCGATGAATAAGATAGATTCCGTCGACTCCTACCTAGCGCCCTTGAAAATCTTCAACTCGGTCATTACCACCATCGCTGGGGTGAGCTGGGTTCAAAACATGTTAACTGTCCAGATTTGTCTGAAGTGTCTATAGCTCCATCCGTATGCTGCTATTGCGTTGGCAGCTTTGACGACCGCCTCCAATGTAGGTGCTAGTTCATGGTCTCTTCTGCATACCGATTCTGGGTCTTATATCTTGGTAGCTGATACTTGCACAAGCAAATCTCGATGCTGCCATACATGACCTTCTTGCCAAAGTCTCAAATGTTTATCAGTTCCTCTTGGGAGATGGAGTGCTTGCTAGAGTGACCTCAATGAAGGATACGTTAGCACAGACTGCGCAGATAATGCACGAGTGCTCTCAGTTCATTAGCAACTATTCAGAGACGAAGAATTTTTGTATGTTGATCGCTCGCACCTGTTCCCGATCTCCATCTCTGACAGCGCTGTAACAGGGATCAGACTAGGAAAGAATGTTCTTACCGAAACGACAACTGCAGTCACCCGTTATAACGATGCGCTGGATGGCGTGATGCAGCGATTTCGCGATGTTGCTGTACGGGATATTCTTGAAGACGTTGGTCCGCATCGGTAAGCTTTCAATTCGTCCATTTCCGTTGCGCTCTGAACTCGCTATGCCTGTTTTCTAGGAGACGATTTACAACTGGATGGTCTGGCCTACGCAGCAGGCGCCGGGCTAAACACCACTAAGAAATGCCTCGAAGGCACGAGAACGGAAATTCTTTCGGAGATCGTAGACTGGATCAATAGTCCTGAAGTTGACTCTCCCCGCGTGTTTTGGCTTTTTGGCCAAGCGGGCACAGGCAAATCAAGCATCGCTCATACCGTTGCCATGAGATTCAAGGACTTGGGGAGACTCGGCTCGTGCTTCTGCTTCGCTCGCGATCGCCAGACGGAAGCGCCGCCACGAGAAGATGTTCACCACTATTGCACGCGACATGGCCGGTCGCGATTTACTGTTTAGAGCAGCACTGGCCGGAGCGATTGTCAGTGACCCCTCGCTCAGGACTACCCCTGACGTCACCCAACAGTGGGAGAAGTTGATTCGAGAGCCTCTGTCGAAAGTTACAGACACTGCGTTAGGAAATGTCTTGATCGTCATCGATGGGTTAGATGAGAGTGGTGGGGAGGCAAGCCGGGAGTACATTCTTAAGATTCTTGCGTCAGCGCAGGCTGAAGGGTTCCCTTCAAGTATCCGCATTTTCATCTCATCTCGCCCGCTGCCTGACATCCAAACCGCGCTCTCTGGTTCTTCGCATGTGAAACTCAGGCCTATGGATACTATTCCTCCCGAGTCAACAGAACGCGACATACGCATGTATATCTCGGAAAAGCTACGCAACTTGGGCGATGACTTTCAACGACGAGGACGTCACTCACCTTGCGCAGAAATCCGATGGCTTATTTGAATGGTCTCGTCTCGCTTGCGAGTTCATCAGATCCTACAAAGCAGGTGTCACTCCCAAGGAGAGGTTTGAGGACCTCATCTCGCTCACACCCGGAGCTGGTAAACCTCTTCTGGATGAGATGTACCGTGTTATTCTGGCAGATATCATGGACGACTCTCCGAAAGCATTGGCTCGCTTCCACTCCGTCATGCGACAAATCATGTGGACGTTGGAACCCCTTTCTCTGGCGTCCCTTAATACAATGCGTCGCGCTTTCATCGATCGCACAGACCGCTTCAAGGTGGAAGTCATTCTTACTTCCATGGCGTCCCTGTTCAGCGGCATCGCTGACACGTCGATTCCTGTTCGGCCCCTGCACTCATCTTTCTATGACTTCCTGACAGATGAGAAGCGAAGTGAGAAATTCCATGTTGATGCTTCGAATGTGCACGCAAACCTAGCGACCGGGTCGCTTCACGTCATGCAGGAAGGCTTGCGGTTCAATATCTGCAAGTTGGAAAGTTCGTACAAGCGCAACTCTGAGATCAGTCATCTGGCCGAGCGCATAAAAGAGTGCATCCCAGACCATTTGTCGTATTCCTGTCGATTCTGGCACACCCACGTTAAGGAAACGAAGTTCGATGCACACCTAGCCGCAGAGGTGAAGGCGTTACTCGCTAACGAGCGAATACTGTTTTGGCTGGAGGCACTAGGTCTTCTCGACGCGCTTAGCAACGTCCCTGAAGCTCTAACCGCTGTGCTTGGTTGGCTAGATGTGAGTGACCGATTTCTCTGCAAAACGCGTGCTAACTTCAACCTCGCTAGGGTCACGATGGCTACGAAGACGCCGTAGCAGTTGCGAGAGACACCATTAAATTTGTGAGGCGCTTCAGCAGCACCATTGTGCAGAGCACTCCACATCTGTACCTATCTGCACTTCCGTTCTCGCCTGCCAATTCTGTTTTGGCCACACGATTTGCCAAGAAGTTTACCCGACTTCCTCATCTCGCCCGAGGGCGTGACCTAGACTGGTCAAATGTTCAGATCGTTATGGAAGGACACACATCCTATGTGTGGTGCGTCGCGTTCTCGCCTGATGGGAAGCGGATTGTATCGGGCTCGGATGACCTCACTGTCCGGATATGGGATGCTGAGACTGGACTACAAGTAGGGAAGGACTTAGACGGGCATACCGATACTGTCCTCTGTGTCGCTTTTTCACCCGATGGCAAACTCCTTGCCTCATCTTCTGACGACAAAACGATCCGTCTTTGGGATGCAGCCACAGGCGACCAGCGTGGTAAACCCTTCGAGGGACACAAGGGTGGTGTCATGTGGGTTTCGTTTTCTCCTGACGGTCGCTTGTTGGCATCCGCGTCATCGGATAAGACTGTCTGCGTCTGGGATTTGGAAGCCGGCACCCGACTCGGTCCTCCCTATGAGGGACACACGGAAGATATATACTCAGCCATTTTCTCTCCCGATGGAAAACGGATTTTATCGGGCTCAGATGATAGCACCATCCGTATATGGGACGTGGAAAATGGTTCACATGTCGCAACGCTTGAAGGACATACCGGCGGTGTCTATGGCGTGGCATTCTCCCTCGACGGGAAGCTCATTGCATCGGCTTCTGAGGATGAGACCATACGCTTGTGGAATGGAGAGACGTATGCACAAGTGGGTGAACCTTTGGAAGGTCACACTGACGCAGTCCAGTGTATCACTTTCTCACCGGGCAACAGACGGATAGCTTCAGGGTTCCGAAGACGGAACTATTCGTCTTTGGGATACAGAAACCGGGAAACAGGTCGGCAATTCCTTTGTGGGACATACAGACGCCGTTCAATCGGTTGCGTTCTCGCCCGATGGCAAACGCATTGTGTCTGGTTCGGACGATTTCACGATACGTGTGTGGGACGTGGAAAGCGGACTGCAAGTCGGAAGCTTCACTGAAGGACATTCTGGTGTTTCTTTCCCGGTCACTGTTTCCCCGGATGGTCTGCAAATTCTATCAACGCCAGGCGACGACACGATATGCCTGTGGGACTCGAAGACAGGTGTTCAAATTGGCAGTGCTTTCCGAGGGCACACCGAACCGGTCAACGCCATCGCCTTCTCACCAGACGGAAATCCAGATTGCCTCAGGTTCAGCAGATGGAACTGTCCGTTTATGGAATGTGAAGGATGGAACGTCGATTGGTGCGCCCTTCGAAGGGCACACCGATGGAGTGCGTTGTGTTGTCTTTTCGCCTGACGGGACTCGCCTTGCTTCCAGCTCGTTTGACTCCACCATTCGTATGTGGGATGTAGCAACAGGCAAAGCGATAGGTACACCGTTCAAGGGCCACACTGAATGCGTGTGCGGGGTTGCTTTCTCACCAGACGGAAAGCGACTGGTTTCATGTGCCCATGATTCCACTCTCCGTATATGGGATGTAGAAACTGGTTCACAAGTAGGCAGCCCACTCAAATCTGATGGATGGAACTGTGGGGTTGCATTCGCTCCGGACGGCAAGACGATCGCGTCAGGCAGTGACGACGATTATGTCTTTATATGGGATGCAGAAACGCAAACGAAACTTCGGGCTCTCGAAGGGCATATCCACTGGGTGAAGACGGTTGCCTTCTCACCTGACGGCACTCAAATCGCGTCAGGCTCCGATGATCACACCATTCGCCTTTGGGACTCCCAAACGGGTGCGTCTATTGGGGATCCTCTGAAGGGACATACCAGTGGGGTCGAGTCAGTTGTCTTCTCTCCGGACGGCAAGCACATCATATCTAGTGCCCGGGACTGTACGGTACGCGTATGGGACTTGGAAGACTGTCCCGTCCACGGACCCACGGAACTCATATCTTTCCCTCCAGAAAGTGAGTATACTGTGTCGTTCTCATTCAAGCTTTTCTTGATATGCAACTCAGACATGGACACGACTCATAAACTTCACCCCGATCCTTTGAACGCAATTTCCCCCGACAATTCATGCAATGATACCAAGCACGTTAAAAAATACCCAGTATACTTCTCCTTTACCCCAGATCATGCATTGCGCGATGCCGAGAAACTTTTTGACGGTGTCGGTGACGTCAAGGACTGGCGAGATATGATTCGAGTAGAGCCCGATGGGTGGATTGTGGGGCCTCAGAAACGTTTGCTGTTATGGGTACCCCTGACATACCGGTCATCACTTCGGTTGTTGCGGAACACGCTGATGATCCCAAAAGGTGGAATGGAGTTGGATCTAAGTGATATGGCTCACGGGGATGTATGGCAGGAATGCTTCGTGGAGTGATACCAGACTCAGCATTACCGCGGTTTTGATACCCTCTGTGTAGTACTTCTATCAAATGTATAATTAGTTCGAAGTTTCACTGGAACTAACCTGAGTTCTGTTACTGTAATACAATCTTGGGGCGTACCGACCATGGACGAGACGGCCAGGGAACTTGCAGCAGTTGTCGTCAGCAAGCTAGATTCGTAAGTCAAAAGCTTCCAAACTTTCACCGTGCGATATCGATGGCATTTCACCCCGACCTCCAGAATACCGCCAAACGCCCGACTACTCATTGCAATCGCTGGGTTCCCTGCGTCTGGGAAATCTACGCTAGCTGTCTTGGTTGTCGACCACGTCAATGCGCTGTTAGCAAACGCAAACACCGAGCACCGAAGTGATGCGACTCCACTCCCCCAGGCTATCATGATCGGTCTCGACGGCTGGCATCTGACCCGCGCACAGCTCGATACCATGGAAAATCCGAAATTAGCCTACGATCGTCGTGGAGCACATTGGACGTTTGATGGTCAATCCTACGTCTCGTTCGTTCACCTCTTGCGTGCCCCTGTCTGTGAGAGCACTATAGTTATCACCGCTCCCTCGTTCGATCATGCACTCAAAGACCCAACGCCCGATGCAGTGGTTATTTATCCTCATCACCGCATCGTAATCATCGAAGGTCTGTACACGATGCTTGACGTTGACGTGTGGAGAGTGGCTGCTGAGGCGATGGATGAGCGGTGGTGGGTTGACGTTGATTGGGAAATCGCAAGAGAAAGATTGGTCAAGAGACATGTCCTCACTGGTGTCGCAAAGGACATGCAAGATGCCAATTGGCGAGCTGATGAGAATGATGGACCAAGTGAGTGACGTCACGATGACATTGGCATTCGATCTTCTTCCATCTCTACACAGTTGCAAGTTTGCTGACCTCTTGAATAGATGGAAAGTTTATAGTTGACAATTTGTACAAGCCAACACGGAATGTTAGAAGCATTGATGACCCTTTGTATACCCTTCCGTGAAAGTGGTCGTGTGAGCTACGTTGATCGCACTCGGTTTTCCTACTCGATTGAACGTAGATACAATCCGTATGATGCCGTCCCTAAGTATCTTGCTGCCTCCGATTATTGGAACGAGCCATGCTTCTCTAATTTCAACAACTACGTATCGATGTATATTATATCTCGTGACACATACAGAACGAAAAAGGAGCCAAGTTTAACAAACGAGTGGGAATCAGACTACCTAACCCTCGGTTCGATCGTAAAAATTCAAGAAAAAAAAAAAACCAATACTCTGAATATCAACTGATCACCAGCGAGTCCAAGCGGCGAACGACTGCTGGAATCCAGTCGGGTTGCTAGCCTCGTCAATGATACCCTTCTGATCAATGCTCAATTGATAATCTGTGCCGACCGTCGAGAACCCGTAGACTTGGATCGTAGAGGCATCGTCCACATTGAAAATCTGGGCTTGACAACTCACGTTTGTAAGGCAAGCGGTGGAGTAATTCTGAAACGCAGAAAAAAGTTACATCGTCAATCGAAATAAGGGTGGCAAGGCTGGGGAGTACATACCTGGAAGAAGCTGTAGAATCCGCCACCTAAGATGATGTTAGAAACAGTGCGGGAAAAACCGTACTGCCAACTCACCGAACAGAGTTATGCTCCAAGACCTCTGGACATACATAGCCCACGCCGTACCGACTGTTCCCTCAAAGGTTGGGTCGGCATACTTTTTGTTGATGGTGTAAGGTGCAGGGGCTTGTGGAACCGGTTGGTAGTAAGGCTAACACAGGAATGACTCAGACGATTTTTGGGAAACCAGTCAAAGGGTCTCACCGTCTCTGTCTGTGCGAGCCCGATCCAGTGACTTTCGGCACCGTTCAAATTATACTGATAGAGTGCAGCGTGTTCCGCTGTTGTACACATGAGACATCACCAAGCGCATAAAATGACCAAACTCACAAGCTAGAAATAATCGTTCAGTATTCCATGGGGGCATTGGTAAAAATAACGAGCATACCTGTTCCAATTAACCACACAGGGCCAAGCGACTCGGAAAGGACACCTCGTCCGGTGAACACGTTGATTTGACGGAGCTGGGGATCCTCCATGTCGTGGTCGGCGGTCCATGCCCACGTACCCTATCAAAGACTCAGTATTCATAATTGGTGAACAGAGCGGTCGATTACCTCGAGATAGGCGCTAGAACCTTGCGTGAGGTGCAACGACATGAACGCTGCCATGCAATTGGGACTTTGGGACCCCGCAGGGCACTCGGCGAGTTGTAAGTCAGTCCCCGCAGCTAGGACGAGGATCATGTCAGTAAAAGGAGGACCCCGGCCAAGTATACATACCTCCTCCAATCCTGGTTTCGTATGTAGGTGATCAGTTTGTGCTGGGTATTTCAGATGGCATAACATACCGGATATAACTGTCCCACATTCCTGCGCCACCTTGAACGCCCACAGGCTCGTGCACGTTCCACTCCACAACAATGGCACCGGGAGCTTCGAGACTCAGTAAAACAGAGTGTGTACAAAAAGCAAAAAGATATCTCACCGGGTCCACGAGTGGTGAAGACGATGTCAGTGATCTCAAGGATCCCGCTTGGTGTAAAGATACTATTCGCACCGAACAGGCAGTCAGGTCCTCCTACGCCATTGACTCCGAGGAAGTTGCTAGGACAAGCCTCGCCAACTTGTACCACAGCCTTTGGTTTGCTCTCGTCTTGGAACTTCGAGCCTCCACCCATGATGACGGACCAAGCCTCGCCTGCGACCTGAGAGCCGGCGGGAATAATAAGTGTATCGGTGATGTAGTAGGTTCCAGCATCGAAGAATATGAGCTTGCAACCCGCAGTACTGCAAGTGACTCAGCTTCGAGTGAATATAAGCAGCAGAAGTCCTAGTATATACCTCGTCGAACACCTTTTGAAGGGCAGTGGTATCATCCGTGACACCGTCACCAGTTGCACCCATGGATCTAACGCTCACTATTTGATCAAGAGCGTAATCTGCGTACTGGGGATGAGATTTGCCGAAGATTCTGCCCTCAGAGTCAAGGAGGTTTCCTGGTTTCACCGGGCCTGGTATCGACCCCTGGGTGAAAACTGGCTGGCCATCAGTGCCGTGGTAAACGTTGCCTTGGGCCCAAGACTGGATGCAAGTAGTATCGTTGGTACCCTTGAGCACTACCTCGCCAGTCTTGGACGCCGACCGCGACGGGGACATTGTGGAGCACGATGTTATTCAATATAAGGGAACCTCCGAGGGAGCTGTTGACAGGGGTCGTTGTTGAGACGAATATTTCGGTGTCCATAACTACGGCAGTCAATGATTGCTTCCGAACCGACACCCTAGTCCTAACATTGAGCGCAAAGAAATCCATAGAAACTGCTAACTTACCCCAGTGCCAGAGGTAATGTTGAAGCCAACCTTTTGATTGCAAGTGAGCGGGTCCTGGTAAGGCGAGAGGGATACGTACCGTGCAGTTGTTGATTGAAACCCCTTGCCATGTCCAACCTGCTCCGCAGTAAGGAACTGTCACTCGGTCATATGGCGTGTGCGGAAACTTACCCCAATTCCACGGGACAGCAATAGCTTTTAAGGCTCAAAGTCAGAGCGCCCCAGCGAAAAAAATTCAAAAGCATACTTACCGACTACCGCATCATTTACGGTGATGTTCCGGACAGTAAACTGTTGATTGCCAACGTAAATGCCGTTCATGCCTAAGTTGCATTATGTTGACTAAGAGCTGAAACTCTGGTCCTTCCGACTTACCTCCATTGAATATGATATCTAATAATTCATCAGGCACAACACTCGCGTGTCTACGAACAACTTACCACCCATAAAGCCACCACTGCGGGAAGTATGTAATCAGCTGACTTGCATGTTGCCCAGGCGTGTAACTTACCTGCCATTTTCCATGTAAAGACCTGACGACAAGCAGTTAGCCACTACTACACTGCCGAAGGAATGGTATCAAACCTTGGTGCTGCGTGCCATTTTCTTTTGACATTTCTACGACGACATTGATTAATGAGGTGGCTTGGGAAACTTGCCAGTGAAGACCGATGGCAGGGGCTGTGGTAGGCATTTGGCGGAGGTCGATGATCAAGTTACGCACTGATCGATAGCTGTACACATCGAGAGGGCGCGTTGAGATCAGCTGTTGGTCATCCCCTAAACTCACAAGTTGTTCTGGTTGATAAACCACTGCGAGCCATTGGACATGTACGGATCCGCATCTAGCTAGGCGTCAGAAAAGATTTTAACGCGTATTTTGCTTCTTACCAATAACAGCTTTTCCTTCGAAACTGGAGTCTGCAAGGAGCGTAGGGGGACGCTTCGCGTCTCCAATCATTTGTGTGTAGTAATACGTGTTGATTGGAGCGGAAACGAGATATGTACTATAAGTATGGAATTAACACCGCAGAACGCGTCTTGATCGGCTATTGCTTACCCAGGCGGGAAATAGACGATAGCAGGCGTAATACTGAAGTTTCCTAAACTGTCATCGACTGGTAGCTAAGGGGAAATGCACGACGTACGTCGAAGAGCCGCAGGTACCTCCACCGCAGCGATCACCGGTCGACATGGCGGCGCTGAAAAACAAAGCTCAGTTGAGGCACGAACGCGAATGATGCATAAGAAAATTACTTGATTGCATCTGTGTCGTCTGTTACACCGTCGCCCGTTGCCCCAAAGTCTTTTACATTCCGGAAAACTTGGTAGGTAGAGGGATCGGGGTTGAACGCGGATATTCCTTGGTGTTTTATGGTCTCCAGCCAGTAGGGGTCCTGCGGAGCTGCTGTGCCCGTGGTCAGAGGGGCGGTACAAGAGGTACCAAGTGCGCTAGTGAATGATGGCGCCGCTAGTAGCAAAATGTGGATGGACGAAACAAGTAAAGACAGACGGCTAAACATGCTGGCAAGCACGAAAGCCTAGATAACGAACGACAGGGGGTCGGACGGGGGAAAGGAGATTATGTATGGGGAATGAGAAACAAAAAAACGGGACCAAGCTGCACTGGGCCGTCCCAAAGCGTCAGCCAGCTTTGGCCCAGCGCCGGCCTTGTTCGGTTCGCCAGTAGAACCACCCACCTCATCCAATCACGTCCCCCCGATCGCATCACAGTTCGTCCAGGTTACGCACCGTTGATTGGTAGGTGTCTATAGAAATGCTGCGTTTTGCGCGCTGGGCTTTCACGGACGTATGTAGTCTAATTAATTTAGGAGTTCGGCGTACTTTAAAGCTAATTAGGCTACTGTAGGGTTCACAGCTGTTGGATAACCCTAGTTGGTTCAAGTCCAGCACTTACACTGGTATGTCTTCGGACAAATATTGCTTCTGTTCGATGTGAGTCCGCCAAAATAGGGTGCCACTACCGAGACCAATGCAGTTCGTTCCGTTGAAGTCCAGGTGTATGTATTAGCTTTCATCTGATTTGGTATTTGTCCTACAGGATTGAGGTCCGCCGTGGAATTCATGATCGAAACTTGTCTTCAACCCCAAATTTCCTGAGGAGTTTCTCGACTATCGTGTCTGCGACACACAGTATCGGGCGTGGGCGACCTACTGCAGCGCAGATGCACTGAGGCACGGGGCTTTATAATGCTGAAGCTGTACTAGCATTATGTGAACTGAACGGTCCACCTGGGACAATGGTGCAGGTGAGTTGTGTCCCCATGCGTACTAGAAACTCCTTCCACCATTTCAATTGACATCGTTTATTTCAAGTCTTTCGCCACGAGTAGAGTCGCGGCAATACTCCATTGTCCACCGTGTCAACTTGCCATTATCTAGTCCACACCATGATCTCCTTGCGGTGGACGTCTGACCCGCTATGCACATATAAACCACAGCCCCGGGCTCCTCCCATCAACATCACCCCCTTACTTCTTCCCAGGCTTAGTCTCAGACCAATTTCTCCAGGTGCGACACCATCTTAATCGACGTCGACATCGGTGTTCCCTTACATAAATTTCGAAAGATATCATGGCGTCGTACGACATGGCTCCAGTCTTTCACGGTGACTACGTGATGAGGTTCCCAGCGCCGGTCACGCTGCGTCCTCCCTCTGAACACGCTGTGGCACCGGCGAAAGTCCTCCCTGCCCCTAACAACGCTAATTGCGCCATTCAACGCCTGCCATCTGATATCCTGTACTATATCTTCAAGTTGGGACTACACAACGAGAAAGCTGGCGGAAAGTTCCCCGTCGTGGTTTCGCAAGTGTGCACGTTTTGGCGGATGGTCGCTATTCAATGTCCCCTCTTGTGGACAAACATTCATATCTCCTCGACCTGTGCCTCCGCGCTTATGCGATCCGGTGGCGAAGTTCTGCCGTGGGCATCAGTTTTCGGCGCGCGTTCCGCTTCGTGTCCATTGGACATCAAGCTTGACCTCAGGAAGCCAAATACTATGTTGATCGAGACCCAGGAAATTCTCCTCATGCATGTCCACTTGGTCATCTCTTCCGCCGTTGATTTTCTTGCTTCCGTTCGCGACCGCGTTAGATCGCTCGACGTCGAAACGGACTTTAAAGAGGTCCCGTTTTTAATGTCCTACAAATTGGTTCCCCGGGGTATGCCACTCCTAGAGAGTTGGAATATTAAGTTTGGCAACAATTCGTTTTGGGGCTTGACGGGTCATACATTCTTTCACGTCTACCCGGATTTTGACGCTGCGGGCCAGCGAGGCCGATCCGCCCACGATATTGAACAACGATCGATCACCGACCTGTTACCGCGTCTGCGCAATCTTCGGATGTCTCAGGTCATCGCTAATTGGAGCACCTGGCACATTGGGGGGTTGACTTCCCTGACCATCGGTCATGTCCACCAAACCCAGCGCCCTACTGTGGTCGAGTTGAGGAACATGCTAAGGGCGAACAGCTCCTCGTTGGAGTCACTCGAACTCCAAGGATGCCTTCCGGTTCAGCAAGGTCTTGGCCTCCTTCAACCTATAACCCTGCCGAAGCTTAGTGCGCTTCGAATCGGTTACTTCGGACAAGAAGAAGCTATATGTTTCCTGCCTCACACCGATGCGCCCGCCCTGAAATCGCTGGGGTTGTGCGACATTTCTACTGCGATATATCGACACGACCGTAGAACGGCCTGCTGCATGACCGATGCAACGTTGTTTCCCTCGCGTTCCGTTTACCTTGAAATCGATTCTTCCAGGCTCTTGCATGCACTCTACACAACTCGTTTGTCCCTGTTGGCTCAGCTGGAATCCCTCGAGCTAATCCATGTTCACGTTTACGACACCCCTGATGACGTTTCTGAGGATTGGCTATGCGATCAAGTACGGCCGCACCGAGTTTGTGCTGTCCGATTCCTGCTTAGTATGGCTTCCTTGAAGTCATTGACTCTAATCGGACCGGATATCGGGTTCCTGGATGGCTTGAATGAGCCTCTTTTCTCAACCGACCTGCAGTCGGGAAAGTCGGCCTATTTCTTTCCTGGTTGCCGGCTTGCGACGCTGCGTATCATCGACGCCGAATATGACGACCTCGTTGATTTCCTTGTAAATCGCGCAGACCGGACGCACAATCCAGGAGATGCGGTCGCGGAGTTACCGATCTTCGAAACACTGGAGTTCACACTGGAGGCCGGCGTGATACCATTGTTCAGGGCAGAATGTTACGAGCGGGACTCTGGAAGGGACAAGATCGACATACATGGGTTTGCCAAGAAGATGGCGTGCAGTATCTATCGGGACAACTTCAATCCTTTCATGTCTTCTGTGGAACGACTTGGAAACGTGCTGTGAGCACTGAGGTAGTTTACCTATCGTTTTTGCGGTTCAGATTTCAGGGGGCATCAGCATTTCCTATCATTCTCAATACACCGGTGCTGTCCGGACATGCTAAACACACTCCTTCACGACGCATATCAGTTGTATAGATACCAGTATTAGCATGACATCGCAGTTATGTACATATATATGTTGTGTAGTGCCAGCAGTCAGCGGGGCAGTGTCTTCAATATTATTATTGTTTCCCACGAATGGCAACGCTTGTTCCGATTTCCTAATTGGACATAATTGAGTCCGCATAAATGAGGGAAGTTGAACTTCCGGGAATGCTGCACACATCATCCTATTGTTCTCTTCACTCCAGGTGGACACCGCGTGTCCAGGTTTTATTATATCTACATATCTCGAGAAGTCGATACCCCTTCCTCGTCCCACCCACCACAGACAAGTACTGGTTACTTAGTCCTACTTCTCCGTCTGTCGCTGCGCAGCTTTCTTCCTCACCACATTCTTCGCTTTACAATGTCCTCGGCGGCGGTTTCTATCTTCACATACCCCTTCCCTCCGCCAACTACCAATACCCTTGATTCCCATCAGCGTGCTCGCCTTATTCGCTCGACACGCAAACTTGGGTCACTTCTGGGCACAACGCCGTTCCTCCTCGAGGGCGACGCCACTACGGTGCTTCCTGCCGCGGGAAACACGAGACACACCTCGAAGGCACTTAAGCGCCAAGGCTCTATTTTCAACTCTCGTCGAGCAGACCTGGCATACGTGGCTTCCCACAGCCCGACGTCATCTGCGGCATCTTCGGTATCTTCGCTCGTTTCCTGTGCTCCGGACAGCGCATCAGGAAGACAGAGCTTGGAGCTACCGTCGTCTGGTGTATCTAAAAAACTCACTCGTCAATTATCTACCAAGTCCCGTCCGCTATACTTGCGCTTAAACGTTGTCCCTGTCTCACCGTCAGACACGCGCTCCGTTCCCCCTTCTCCCATCACTTGTCCATCAACTGGTGACTCCCCACTTTCACCATGCTCACCTGCTGCCTCCGTTCCCGACCCCGCGGAGATGCGGCGGAAACGTGTGGCTAAGCTCTCTCGCCACCTTGGCGAGAATATCCCCCCGGAATTGGTCCCTGCTCCTGAGGCGCACCCGATACCCAGGTCTTCTCACACCCAGTCACCACCTAAAAAAAGCGCGTCTACTAGCTGTGTTATCCCAAAGGACGTACCGTTTGCACCCGTTGAGGTGTTGCCCTCTCAACACGTGTGGAACCAAGATTGGGTTGGCCAGTGGAACCGTTCGGATATGCAAGAAGTGCAGAGGGAGCTTCGCAATCTGAAGGCGCAGTAAAGGTTATCTGGCTTAAACGTTTTAGTTGCTTCACTTGGTTCCGACATTTTCAACTTTCGTGATGATTTTATGACTTGCCGATTTTGCGCAAGACCTCGCACTCACTAGACCCCTGTAACATGTGTACTTTTACAATAGGTTTCTGAGTTGATACATGCCTACATACATATGCGATACCATGCTAATCTGTTCAATACGACTCTTCTGGACTACGAATACCGTACATATATCGTGGTATATAATGGATGTGCGAGGCAATGCCAGCACTGCCTCACTTCCGCACATAAACTATTCAAGCGGTTGCGAGCAACGGTATTACACGGAATAGACCCGTATACAATGCTGCTACTTCAATTCTTGATCCACTGCCTACCTCATCTCGTTTGCTATCACGACGCCAGCCCTGGCACCGGCGGCCCCTGACATTAATTCCAATTAACACGAGTCTGAACCGAATATAATTCCACTACTTCAGTTCTCACGGCGATCCACTTTCTATGCTGATCTTCGTTTGCCATTACAACGCCAGGGACCTTGTTATGACACCGACATTAATTCAAAGGTTTGTCCCATCACAGCTGGTATTCTCCGCGGTACTCTGCAAAGGTGTAGGTTCGATGACCCAAATCATTGACAGACGGAGTCGACAGGAGTCGACCTGTATCATTTTCTCTTCGGTCCGCGTTGCTGAACTGGCGTTCAGACTTAATTTGTGTCGTCGTGAATCGGTCAAGCATGTATAAGCTTCGTTTGACTCTACAAGGCCTAATGAGTTGGTGAGGGCGCGACACATTCCCCCTACGCGAAGCGTGCTGGTGTTGTACATGCTATCTGGTTATTCATACTTACATTGTGCCTTGTCTCACAGCTCGAGTGCCCTAGCTCATTAGACCGAGGTAGCAGAAGGTATCATAGCCTATCGTAGCACGACCCAAACAATAAGATATGGCCAATAACCCAAGGAAAAGGCCAGATGCCTACGGGGCATACAGGAATCGGATCGTGCCGGTGAGTCGTTTTACAAGTCGAGCCCGGCCCTGACTTGGATGATATCATCTATAATTCCGACTCCAGGCCATTTGCATGGACCCACTGTCAATAAATCCAAGTGACCTGGGTGATTATTTGCCCCGAGTACGTCATCTCTGTATGTATGTACATACACAAGGGACTAACTAATTTTCTTCCACTATTTTATGTCCCTCCACTTCAGTTCGAATCGCCATGCTAACACGGGCGGGAACCTAGCTGCCACGTCAACGCAAATGTTGATCTTATATACTCCATTCCGAAGGACGGTGATCAGAGTCAATGAATACATATTGTCATGGAGACCGATTGCGGAAAGAGGTTATCTTTGCGTTCTGGGTATACGGTGCTAGCGTTCCACTCGGCCCCACCAGATAAGCCCACTCCTCAATGTGACAATAACAGCTTTTCCTCGCTTCGTGCATTTACCCTCGACTTCCTTGAAGCTCAGAAACCATGTTGCCTCGCGTATGCGTCCCGGTCCACTTCAATATATGGGACGCGCACATGCCAGCAGCCTTCAGAGGCTGGACCCATCATCTATTCACTCTACCACGCGCTCGACCGTCTCGAGACAAGAAGTGTTCTGATGATCGGCCACTCGCCCCAGTCATCCAGGAGTTCCAGCAACTCATAGAGGATGATCCAGAACTCTTCATGTACTTCCACACGATGTTTGATGAAGTGCGCCGACCAAACGGTGACATAGGTTATGTAAGTGGCCATTTACTTGGTATCCAAAAGCTTTCGCTAACGGTGATACAGGTTGGCGATTACAAGGAGTTAATGAAAGGCGCTCGACCGCATTATCACTCAGGCACCCAGATTCGGTGGTGTCAATAACCTTGTCACGGGTGTTCCCTATGTACGCCGTGCTCGCTCCGTTTTGCAACACCCCATCTGGTTACAGTATCTTCACCAATCCGAAAGTGAACGCCCAACTCCACAAGATTTTCGACGTCTGGGCTGCATTTCTCGTCTCCCCCGAGTCGCGTTATGTTCTTACTACGAACGAGAAATGCTGGTTTAGCCCCGTAGCCATAGACGTCATGTCTCAAAGACTTGGGACGAGCTTCTATGATGCATGGGTTTGCAGAGACAGCGACCCCGACAAACACTACGGCTTCACGTCCTGGGACGATTTTTTTACCAGGCGTTTCCGGCCTCACCTCCGCGAAGTCATCGATCCTGATAATCCGGATTTAATTACTGCGCCTTGCGAGGCATACTTTCACACAATCCGGTCTAACGTCCGCGCTGTGGACAAGTTTTGGATCAAGGGGAATTCGTATTCGCTCTCCCACGTGTTTAACCACGACCCCTTTACACCCCTGTTCGTAGGCGGCACGGTTTATCAGGGAATTTTAAGCTCTCTCGATTATCACCGTTGGCACAGTCCCGTGGATGGAGTGGTTCGAAAAACTCGCCTCATCCCGGGCACGTATTACGCCGCACGTTTGGACAATAACCGTGATCCAGACATCGTCTCTCGCTCCCAAGACTTCGTGACAGCCATTGCTGCCCGTGCATTGATCTTTATTGAATCGGACAATCCAATGATTGGTCTGATGTGCTTCGTCGCAGTTGGGCTTGGGGAGGTATCGACGTGCGAGATTACGGTGAAGGAGGGGGACAGACTGAAGAAGGGGGATGAGCTTGGGTCATTCCATTTTGGTGGCTCCACCCACTGTCTCGTCTTTCGTCCACAGGTGTCTTTGAAACCGTTTCCCTCATGTCCAGCTGGGGACACTGCAGAACGTCAATAGCAATATTTTCTATATTGAGAACGGAACTGACAGTAACTAACTACTCCATTCCAATGTGGTCACCTTCTAATTTGAATTTCTCTTGGACTCGCGCTAATTGAGATTATACCGTATAATATCTCTTTCCAGTATATTCAATTCACAATCATTAGCACGGATTACAGACCCACTTCGAGAACGCGTCCTGCCTGCACCCAACCCGGAAACGGGCTAAAGATTCTTCAAGCTTCAACCGCGAACTTCTATTGCAACACATACAAAGTGACGACTGCCTAGTGACAAGCAAACATAGTAGTATAATATGTAAATGATGGGATCCAACCCATTCTCGTATGGAAGCCACTAGCTGAAGCCCGCAGCTTCGCTGCTCATCAATGAATGCTAGAGCACATTGTGACCTCTGTCACAAAAAAAAGAATCCCTTAAGCCGGCTGAAGGATCGTAGTTGGGGCTCACTATGCTTGTCCCTACTTCCCTCCCCCTCCTGGTTCGAGTGGACTAGTGTGCAAAAGACGGTCTGAACCGTTGATAGAATTCTCTTCGGTGCTTTTCATTTTTCGAATCAGGTGCCCCGAAGGATTTCGGTCATAGCACCGTTGCTGAGGTGGCGTTCGAATCTAATCTGTATTGCAGTGAATCGGAGCAAGGGAAACAAAAGGTAGACCGCAGCAGGGTTGCTACGATAATATATAACCAATATCACCCACCATTTCCAGGAGAAAACCAGGATCAGTGCCTCGGTAATGGCAGCATACGGAAACTGGATCATACTGGTGAACCGTTTCGAACCCAGTAGTCTGGTCGAGGCTGGATGATATCGTCTACGAGCTATCACCTCCGAGGCCTACCTTGAGTTGTAGCCACGCATGATAGAACTTGCCTCGTTGGAGGTCTCACTAAGACATTCTTATTCCAGTGCATCGGCCAAAGCACGGCAAAAAGAACGTATTATGCAGACCATGCACCTATATCCCGCGTTCCGAATATGAACATTTGACTCAAGAAACTGATCCTACCTGTCTTGGATAAGCTGAACTACGTCACTGACATCACGCACAATGGTCATTACCTCGAGCATGGCGGTAGCGAAAGCATCCCTACATATACTTACGGGGGCCTTCGGATTCGGTCTGGCCCGTCGTACCTATACAGGGCAAGACAGTAGAGGTGCCAGTGTTCTGAGCTCGACGTTATCGATGACTATGGATAGCCCTGGCTTTGGAAGAAAGCTGGATGGTCAATATGCTTGTCCACCGCTATTTAGAGTAATGAGGTCGTAACGATTCGGAGGAGTCCCGCTCATGTATTTCTGATTCAACGACTACCCAACCATGGTCTGTAAAGCTCTACGTAGTCTGCTTGTAACTCACCTGAGGAAGCTGCTTGCCTTTGTATACAACAACTGATTCCCAGACGTGCGGATAATAGGTCTTTCCCTGTGCATGCCAAAAAGAATGTAGTCAGAAACGAGGGTGTCTATTTCAGTGAAATCAACATTTCGAGTGGGTGAGGATTGTACCATGTATTGATGCATTCAATAACTCAGCCTCATTCCAAACTTGAATGAAGACAAGTTGATGAACGGATGGCCTTGCTGCCAGGGCATTTCAGCAGGGCAAGGTACAGGAGTCACATGTCACACCGTGTCAGTCACAAGATTAGTGCTATTTTAACCCTTTGTCCCCCCGTACCGTATGCACGATATCCATGAAGTACCCAAAGGTCCTAGGTATGGTGTGACTTGTGTTCCTCGCTGTATGTCTTCTTACTGTCCATTAGGGTATGAGCTTATCCAGCAGATTGGTGGCGGGGGATACTCAAGGCGAGATGCCACTCATGCCTACAATGACTCTACATTTCCTAATTCATGTACAGAGTGTTCCGCGCAGTCAACGTTGAACAGCACTCTGTAGCCGCGTGCAAATTAATGCACATAGACGAAAATACCACGGAGAAAGAACGGAAGACCATGGACAAGGAAATGCAGATTCACTTAGCTTTGAAACATAAGAACGTACTCGAGTTTTTGAATGCCGTTGTGGTCGAACCAAAATTCAAAGCTCACTATGTGCCTGGAGTTTACATGCTTTTGGAGTTTGCAGCGGGAGGCGATTTGTTTGATAAGATCGGTGCGTGCATCCTCTAGCAATGCTTGGTGAAAACAGTGGATCCAACAATCATTCCAGTCCCCGACGTTGGCGTAGGCGATGAGGTGGCACATCTGTACTTTAAGCAGCTCCTTGCAGGCATGGCAAGTTCTACGATCGCGTCAGTGTCCGTTTTTGACGCCGACGTCACGTAGAGCTACATCCATGGTCAAGGTGTCTGTCACCGCGATTTGAAACCGGAAAATTTACTTCTGGATGCGGCCGGAACGCTCAAAATTTCCGATTTCGGGTTATCTGCAGTTTACAAGTTGACAGGGACAGGAAAAACTCGCCTTCTCAGCGAACGTTGCGGCAGTATGCCGTACATCGCTCCAGAGGTATGCACATTCCCTATTCCCATACACTGCTGTTTGACTGTGTCAGGTGAACGCCAACCAACCATATCAAGCTGAGCCCATTGATGCGTGGGGGATTGGCGTCATCCTATTCACCCTCCTTGCGGGAAGTGAGTGATCTCGCGTACTTCCAGGGTGATTATTTTGATGTCTCTGATAGATACACCATGGGATGAGCCAACGGAACGCAGTCCAGAATTTTGCAGGTATCTTTCTGGGGAAATATTCAACGAGGATCCATGGAACCGTCTCGGGGAGAGCGCTCTTTGTAGGTTTGCTCCCGTCGCTCTGAATCTGAGCCCTTACATGCATCCAGCCCTTATATGTGGCCTCTTAACAATTGAGCCTTCAAACCGCATGTCACTCCCTGACGTTCACGCCCATCCGTGGTGTATGCGGTGAGCTGCAACACTCTCACCTTTGTCATTTATGGCTAAGCAGCAGTGTAGACCAAGTCAACTTGCTTCCCGAGGTGTCCAGGCACTAGCTGAGCAACTCACACAAGCCCTACGTGATAGTGGTGACCTGACATTCGTGGAGCCTACTGTTCCGGATTCAGGGTGAGTGTGCCAACTACACGAAGGAGAGACGCCACTCAAAGGCACGGAAGAAGCGCAGATGAGGATGCAATAATGCTATCCGCCCAATCTCAGTTCACACAGACTCTGTTGCTCTTCGTACGTCCAGGCGAATCCTTTTGCCAGTCACACCTGCTGACAACAATGCGTAGTCACAAACACAGAGGGGAAGGCGGTATACTCCACATCTCACGCGTTTTTATGCGCGGAAGAGTCCCGATGTTTTATTGGAGCGCATTAAAACCGGTTTGGATTCGATGAGGGTTCAACACAAGCTTGCCCCTGACGCAGAAGGACAAACTCACCTTCGTGTCGCTGGAAGGGATGCGCGCAAGCAGGTGTTCAAAGGCTGGATAGACCTCGAGCATTATACATATGACGGGTGCTCTGCGTCCTTCTGCATCATGCGAAGAGATGTCGTAAGTCCTTTTTTCGTGGCGACCGCAGTCACATATTGATTTTTTGACACAGGGTTGTCCGATCTCTTGGCGAAGGTTTTGGAAGGAGCTGATTAAGTCCCCCGCTGTTTGGGACTATGTTCTAAAGAAGGAAAATGCCGACAGCTACCGGATGTCTATCACCTGAGATGTACAAGAAGAGCGCACCCATGCTTCCCGAATTCTTAGGCGCTGAGTAGCATTGGCTTGGATTCCAGCATGTATCTTCGGATATTTCATACCTGCATTTATTTCATTCACCTGTTCATGATATTTTCAATTGGAAGGTTCGCTCATTTACGCACCTCTTGATACCTGTGACGTGCCAAGTTTACTGGTAGTTCAATAGTCCGTGATGTAATTCTATCCTAGTGGTATGCGTATGGCTTGCTCATAAGTTATCAGTTTAATGTGAGCGAGGACGGAAGTATCTTCCGAATGCCTTGTTTGCGCCATGTTGGGAAGACTGAGTTGGATTCTGAGGCGTGCCGCCAGATTAAGCTCATGGCGAAGATGCCCGGCCTAAAGTTCAACATCCTGCTCTTGCTCCGGCCTCCCTTCCAAAACGTCTGGTCGGGACTAGCAAGACTCCTACACACCAGATCTGGTGTTGCTTACTCACACCAATGACAAGCAGCGCATTTCGCTGGGAAAACGCAGGGGAATTCACTAGCCTTGCGAACCTGCTCTCTCTACGCAAGGGAGCTTGTGTGGGGCCGGCGGAAAGGGGAGATGATATGAACAGTGCACATGTCTGTGCTGGAGATGATCTTAAGCGGCGTTTCTTAGACAGATTCGCCAAAGTGATGTCACGAAGCAGGGGCGGAGAATGTGTCGCTTGCGTCGCACTCCGCGAGTCCAGAAACATCACCCTGGAAGAGCCAGATGGCGTCAAAGTTATCTTACTGGTCGCTCGTAACGAAACGTTCGGGAATGTCGATTTTAGTTTCTGCGACAAAGTTGAGAGGCTGCTAGCGGCCCTCGGTGCCTCAGCACGCAAAAACGCCGAAAGTAAATATGGCTTGGTGGCTTCCTGTCTAATATTTCCACTGCACGAAAGGAGACTTACATTAACGTTCGCAGATCCTACGGTGGAAAAGGCGCTCTGGGAAGCGATGCTCGACTATAATGAGCCTCGGATTGAGCAGTATATATCAAATTTCGAAGAGAGCTTGCGTGCTTTTGCGGACAACGGGTATCTGGACAGCATTCCATCTTTTTCTCTGGAGCAGGCTTTAAGGGTTGGGACCTTCTGTGACAGTAACGATATCGGTTTATACTCTAAGGCAACCCACGATGCTTACATGCAGATTGCTCAAACCCAATTACGAAAGCTTCTTGGCATCCTCTCCCTCGGTGACAGAGTGATGCAGAAGGATCTTCTCGCTGAGAAAGCCTATTCCGTCCGCCATATGGATTCCGTACGAATATTCATCAATGCATCACGCAGCAATTTGGGCTCAAAACTACTTTCCGACATTGATTTCCTGGGAAGACTTAGGTCTTGCTATTATACTCTCGTCGAGGCTGCGGAAACCATCCCCGGATTTGCTGATCTTTCCATAATGCTTGTCGACAAACCTGCGTCCCATAACCTCCTGCCAGCCTTGCCCTCCATGGACGACCTATTCAAACGGCTGGAGTTGCCTTTGAATCTGGACACAGTTCAGAAGTTTGTGGGAGATACGACAATCGCGACGGTATGGCAAGACTTTTTGAAGCTTCAAGAAAAAACATATTCCCAGACTCTCGCTACCCATGCCGAGATCCAGCTCGTTTTCTACATCGCCCAGAGAATGGACCTGGAAACCATGACCAAGGAACTTTACCCGTACATTGGCTGCAGCAAACTATGCTGCTTCCTATGTTTTACGTTCCTTCGATTCTTTGGGCAACGTGATCCCTTTTTCAACATTCGGGGATGCCACGGGAGGGTTTATCCGCTATGGTCCTTGCCTGACGCTAGTGGGCTTCATGTAGATATGTGCATGGAACTCTCTTTAGCGTTGCAGAGGACCCTCGACCACATGTTCCGAGAGATGACTAGGGCTGTTGCAACAAGTCCCCATCACAAGGTGGAGTCCTCTGTTGGGATTACCGACGACTACCCCGACCCACCATCAAACATCCGCGATTACCACCCGCAGCTTACGATCCAGTCCGAATTCCATCCTCCGCGTGCATCATGGGCCACAGTGTTTTTAAAGTGAGCACTTGTCCTTTTGCAGTGCCTATCTATTGATTGCTCGGCTCAGTAGCAAAGCTCGCGAGGTCGTTGCCAATTTCGAAACAAAAGACGATAAGGCCGAACTTACACGATCCCCACCGAGGTCGGGTAAATGTGCTCGTTGTGACAGAAAAACTTCGAGGAAATGTTCCAAGTGCACTGGTCCGTGGTTGTGCAGTAGAACATGCGAAGGAGCATATAACTTCCGTGATCATAACTCCAAATGCGCCATCCCTCAACCTTTCGATTCCGCAGATTACCTAGAAAGGGCTTGCTGGAAGAACGAGATTCCCGACAACGTAGAGACCCTGGAAGAATTTGGCTTCACCAAATTCCCATCAACGTTTGACCAGCGGAATTTGCTCGGCGTATTCATTGGCCTAACACGTATGGGGATTGGAAGTCGAGAGCTGCGAAAGTGGCAAGAGGATGGGATGCTACTAGCCAACATTATATTCACCTATGAGGGAAAGCCCGAGTACAGTTGCGGAGGATACTATAGATGGTTCCGGGAGAAGCTCTACATCCTCAGCCACACTCGAGCTAAATCCCAAACTCTAGATATGTTCACCGTAGCAAGACCTTACCTTGATGCCGGTGACCAGTCCAAGGATCTCCATGAACTTGTCCTCGACACCAAACGAAAGTCCTTCCTGCTATATGCGATCCTATTTAATGGCCAGCATCCCGATCCAGCCACTCGGAGAAATCCATTCAGGATCTCTACTACACGTTTGGCTTTTGCCTTTGCTGCGATGTCCGTGGTGAAGAAGTATTGGCCAGACTCTACATGATGCTCATCTGCAGGTGCTCCTTTCAAGACTTTTGGTTAGCATATCAAAACCACAGCCTCATAGCCTTGATGGACGCTAAGGGGCTTGCGAAAGCCCGCCAGGACATTCAACATCCTGGAAACTTTTTTGAAGATCAAGCCTAACGACTGGTGTCCAACCGTATGGCACCTTCGGCTATTCACTCGGTGCCAGGTCGTGCTTCCTGGCCCCTGTGTCGCAAGGGACTACGGATTTTTCAACTGTGAAACAGTTGAAGAGCACCTTGCTCTGAAAGCATACCTATACACGTCTCCTGGGGATTCCAGGAGGTTGACCCGATGAAATTACATGTCGCTTGCATCAAAGGAGAGCTATACGGCTTCGCAAGGAAGTATCTGCCAAACCTCCAGCGGAGGTTCAGAAAACTAATGAAGAATTCATACCCGGGTCACACAAACGTCGACAAGGCGGGAAAATGGCGGTGGACGTCTCCGGTACACTGCCAGTCAGGATGAACATCCGAAAATGAGGTCAATGCCCGAATTCCGTGGACTGCCACATGGGAGCTCACTATGTATATAGTACCGGCAGCAATTTGTTCTGGACTACATAGCTCCTGCGAGCGAATACCAGAAGTACCATCTTCTCTTAGAAGAGTTTGTCCATGCCTCTTTCTCACCCTGAATCAAAGAAGTCACCTGTATTCTGTAACTGCACAACCAAGCTAGAGGAGACATACCGCTATTGATGTAGCCCACATCATTCATGTACTTGTGTCGAGCAGTACTTGTAACCGGTTGCCTGATAATCTGGCTGGATGCGACCACAGAAGAATGAGTACCCAGAGAATCCTGGTTGCGTACTCAAGTACGACGTCCTTGGGACCTTCGGACTGCATTCGCCGACACTGGCTTGATACTATCAGTAAATATTGGACTATCTAGTACATAGTCCAATATTCAATGACCAATATAATTCTATTCCAGTGGGTTTATTCATAAGTCGACGGTTCAACGTGAACAAGGATAAACTTACTCTCAGGCGCTGTCACAGGGAAAACTTATTTTCCATTGCCTCGTTTGCGCCAAGATCCTGGGGCGTGCTGCCAGTTAAAGCTCGTGTACAAGGCGAGTCGGACGCGCGGCACAAAGACTACAAAGTTCAACGTCCTGCAAGATTCCTCCATTTTCGAACCCAACAGATCCGACTCCGCTCGCTCACACCAAGTGGCATGGCGAGTAGCACATTTCGCTGGGAAAATGCGGAAGTATTCACCAGCCTTGCGAACTTGCTATCGCTGCGCAAGGGGGCTTGCCTTGGACCAATGGAAAGGCGAGACGACGATACCGAGGACAACATGAACAGTGCACATGCCTGTGCTGGAGACGACCTCGAGCGGCGTTTCTTAGACGGATTTGCCAAGGTGATGTCGCGAAACAAGGGCGGAGAATGTGTCGCTTGCGTCGCACTCCGCGAGTCCAGAAACATCACCCTGGAAGAGCCAGATGGCGTCAAAGTTACCTTACTGGTCGCTCGTAACGAAGCGTTCGGGAATGAGGACTGTAATTTCTGTAACAAGGTTGAGAGGCTGCTGGCGGCCCTCGGTGCCTCAGCTCGCATAAACACCGAAAGTAAATATGGCCTAGTGGCTTCTTGTTCGATATCTCCGCCCCACTCAGGGTGCTTACAGCAACTTTCGCAGATCCTACAGTGGAACAGGCGCTCTGGGAAGCGATGCTCGACTACAATGAGCCCCGGATTGAGCAGTATACGACAAATTTCCAAAAGAATCTGCATGCCTTCGCACGTAGCGGATACCTGGACAGCATTCCGCTTTACTGTCTCGCGCAAGGCTCTGGACAGCTGCCAGGGAGCTGGAACTGCCTTTTGTGACAGCAACGAAATCGGTCCGTACTCCAAGGCAACCCATAACGCTTACATGCAGTTTGCTCAAGCTCACCTACGAGAACTTCTTGACGTCTTCTCCTTCGGTGACAGAGCAGTGCAGAGGTGTCTCCTCGCCGAGAGAGCCTACTTCATCCGCCATATGTATTCTGTACGAATTTTCATCAATGCATCTTGCAATGATTTGGGCTCGAGGCTGCTTTCCGACATTGATTTCCTGGGAAGACTTAGGTCTTGCTATTATACTCTCGTCGAGGCTGCGGAAACCATCCCTGGATTTGCTAATCTTTCCATAATGCTCGTCGACAAGCCTGCGTCCCATAACCTCCCGCCAGCCTTGCCCTCCTTGGACGACCTATTCAAATGGCTGGGGTTGCCTTTGAATCCGGCCACAGTTCAGAAGTTTGTGGGAGATATGACAATCGCGACGGTACGGCAAGACTTTTTGAAGCTCCAACGCAAGGCGTTTTTTCAGACTCTCGCTACCCATGCCGAGATCCAGCTCGTTTTCTACATTGCCCAGAGAATGCACCCGGAAACCGTGACCAAGGAATTCCATCCATACATCGGATGCAGCAAACTATGCTGCTTCCTATGTTTTACGTTCCTTCGATTCTTTGGGCAATATGGTCCCTTTTTCAAGGTTAGGGGATGCCACGGGAGGGTTTATCCGCTGTGGTCCTTGCCTGACGCTGATGGGCTTCATGTGGATATGTGCATGGAGCTCTATTTAGCGTTGCGGAAGACGCTCGGCCACATGTCCCGTGAAATGACTAGGGCTGTTGCAACAAGCCCCCATCACAAGGTGGAGTCCTCTGCTGGTATTACAGACGACTACTCCGTCCCATCATCATACATCCACGATTACCATGCGGAGCTTACTATCCAGTCCAAATTCCACGCTTTGCGCGCGGCGCTAGCTGCAAAGTCATCAAGGTAAGGACTTGTCATTTTACAGTGTTTATATGCTGATTGCTCGATTCAGTGACAAGGCTCACGAGGTCGTCGCAAATTCCGACTTAGAAGACGATAGGGCTGAACTTACACGATACACCTCCTTCCCGTTGAGGTCTGGTAAATGCGCTCATTGTGACAAGAAAACCTCAAGGAAATGCTCCAAGTGCACTGGCCCGTGGCTTTGCAGCAAAATGTGCGAGGGAATATATGACTTCTATGACCACAACTTCAAATGCGCCATTCGCCGACCTCTTGATTCTGCGGACTACCTAGAAAGGGCTTGCTGGGAGAATGAGATTCCGGACGACATAGACACCTTGGAAGAATATGGCTTCATCAAATTCCCATCAGCGTTTGACCGAAGGAATCTGCTTGGCGTATTCATTGGTCTAACGCATATGGGAATTGGAAGCCGGGAGTTGCGAAAGTGGCAAGAAGACGGGATGTTACTAGCCAATATTACATCCACCTATGAGGGCAAGCCCGAGTACGGTCGCGGAGAATGCTACGAATGGTTCCGGGAGAACATCTACATCCTCAACCGCACTGATGCTCAAACCTATATTCGAGATCAGTTCGCCATAGTACGACCCTACCTTGACGTCGGTGACCAGTCCAAGGATCCCCATGAACTTGTACCCAACGCCAAGCGAAAGTCCTTCTTGCTATATGCGATCCTATTCAATGGCTGGCATCCGGACCCAAGTCATTCGGAGAAATCCATTCAGGATCTCTACTACACATTTGGCTTTTGCCTTTGTTGCGACATCGGCAGTGAACAGGTATTAGCCAGACTCTACATGATGCTCATCTGCAGGTGTTCTTTTCAAGAATTCTGGTTAGCATATCAAAACCACAGTCTCGTAGCGTTGATGGACGCCAAGGGGCTTGAAAAAGCCCGCCAGAACATCCAACATCTGGAAGGCTTTCTGAAGATCAAGCCCAACGACTGGTGCCCGACCGTATGGCACCTCCGGCTATTCACTCAGTCCCGTGCTGCGCTTCCTGGACGCTACGTCGCAAGGGACTACGGATTTTTCAACTGCGAAACGGTTGAAGAGCAGTTCGCACTGAAGGAGACCTATAAACGTCTCCTTGAGATTCCGAAGGTTGACCCGATGGAATTACATGTCGCATGCATCCAAGGGGAGCTGTACGGCTTCGCGAGGACGCATCTCCCAGACCTCCAGTGGAGGTTCGGAAAGATAATGAAGAATTCATACCCGACTCACGCCGATGTCGAAGGAGCGGGAGAATGGAGGTGGGCATCTCCAGTACATTGCCAGTCAGGATGGTCATGTGAAAATAGCGTGGTAATGTTCGAACCCGTGTGATGTTATACGAGAACTCACCATACAATGCCGGCAGTAAATCATTCTGCGCTGCGGGCGCATACCAGAAGTATTATCTTCCCTTAGAAGAGTCGGGGAGATTGACCATCCTCGATTACTCCAGATCAAGAGGTCACCTGTATTCTGTAATTATACGACCAGTGGAAACATACCATCATTGATGTCGCTCACATCATCCGTGTATTTGTATTGAGTACATCCAGCTGCCGCCCCATGATAACATACATGATTCGTTAAGAATGGCTCTCTGTCATGATTACCTCGAAAACATGAGAGAATGTCGACACGTCCGCGTGCATTAAGCAGCACCTCTGCAAAAGGCTGTTGGTGCTCCATCTGGCTTCATCGCACCGACATTGGCTAAACACCGGTTAGATAACCTGACAAACATCGCGTCAAAAAACGTACCAGGTCGTCTCTCCCATCCCTTTTTTTTCGCCTTCAACATAGCAGTCTTACCTCCCCCGAGCGCCAGATTACTGTCGGCAAACTTCCGAACACGCGCGGACGGCAGCGTGCGTACAGTAGCTTTACTCTTTGGATCCGATAATTTGGTTAGTGTTCGAAATGTGCGACCCCTACGAGATATGAGTGCTCGGAGGACACTGCGAGATATCGACTTCTGATTGCTTACCCCAATATAATGTCCTTAGGACCTTCGGGCAGCTTTCGTCGACGATTTCTGGAGGAAGGCTCGCTTTTGGTTGAGCGCTCTGCCTCAATGGAAACTGGATTCGATTTTTGTGATGCGAATGCGGCGGCGAACAACTCATCGGACAGGTACTGAGGCTCTTGAGCCCGAGGTCGGCGGCTCGATCTATCCAATCGTTCAGACCGCATCTCTTCGAAAATAGGTTCCTCCTCGTCTTCCTCCAGGTCAGCGATGCTCGTATCACTGCTCTCCTCCTCTAGATGCATGGCTGTATCTGGGTCATCTTCTACTTCGGAGTCCCCCGACATGGGTTCTCCAATACCTCCCTCGAGTTCTTCATCAGAATCCTCGGAATCGCCCTCTTCAGCAGCATCCTGCATTGCACGAAGCATCCTGTCCCTGACGTGTCCGTCGTCACGATTCCCACCCACGGGACTCGACCTGCCATCCCCCTCGCTCTCACTAGGTTCACCATCCGCAGTCTCCTGCAATTTGGTCGCAGGCCGTATTTTCTTTTTTGTAGAAATTTGCGCCTGTTCCTTTAATTTCCTGTCCCTCTCGCGATTCTGCGCTTTCTTTCGTGCGTTTTGCTCCGCCGTAAAATTTTGCAGCGTCTTTTGGTCGCGTCTGGCATTTGCCCTTGACGTCGATTTCGAAACGACTTCAGGAGCGTCGTCGTCGCTGGACAGTTCTGTGATTTTGGCCATACTAGTCGCCCCGTACAAGTGGAAAGTTTTGGACGAAGGTAGTTCGATCACGTGATTGAGAAGTCTGCTTGTACGAAGCCGTCGAAAGCTTTGATCCTACTAGTGATCCGACTTCTTAGTACTTAGAGGCTAACTACATACTTTTTGATTCCCAATCATTCAATCAACGGGTCCGTTTAGTGGTTGTTTTTAAAGTGGTTGGTGCGGCGACCAAGCGGCGTAATCACGAACGTATGAAGCCAACCTGCCTATTCGAGCTTAAGGCATTCCTTTGTTTTCTATTAAACTTTGCAACGTTGCAAGTCACGATTTCCGGCGTTCGAGAACAATGGAAGGGCGTAAAGGAAATCATGGTTGTCCAGGGAATTACTCAAGCACTGCAACCCCTTATCTCTTTTAACCGTCCCTGTGTCCAGGTCGACCTCGTGCCCGTACATTTTCCATGCGCCACTACTGACTCCCCCCTCCTTGAGCTGGTTCTCTTTCACGACCACTCCCTTCAGGTTTCTAGCTTCTCTTACCCGCTCTTTCGTCGTCGGGTTTAGCCTATCTATCGTCATTCTCTGCCTCTAGCTGGCTCGTCATCACTCGGACGCAGGTTCGTTGGCAGAAGCCTTTGCAAGCAAAGCAGCAGTATCCAAGTCATGAAGACTTCCCCGACTTCCGCTTGTGAGTAGACGTCTTGTTGGTTAGTACCAATGTCAGCTCACTCTCGGGTAGTCCTTTTTGTCGCTCTCAATATTGTGCGCGCATTAAGCATCGTTGCACTTCTTCTTGTGTTTTCCAGCAGTATCGTCGTCCTGGTTGACGACATTGAAGCTGTCAATCAGTTCGTGAATGGTTCAACGAATACAACCTCGTTTGACTCTGGTAATGTCGACTATATTCCGTACGCCATTTCGCCTATGTGGTTGTACCGGGTTTCTTTGTTGAAGGACAACCCTAATGTAGGAGTAGCACCGTGCCGAATCAATCTGCAGGAGTGTTCTGGGCGGTGCTCAACAGGCTCTTAATTATTGCACAAACTGTTATACTCGTTCTGTCTGAGATCGGTACGTCTCAGCATTGTTTTGGCTGGTGTCGTTTACGATGTAAGTTTTCGCAGGATGGCCTGCCGCGTTCTTCGATCGCTTCTTCCCAGTTCTTGGGAGAGAATTTGGAGTCGGTGCCCTTGGTGTGATGCAGTGTCTGTAAGTAAGACGTTGTGCAGGACACCAGCAAAGCTGTGTTCACGCGGCTCCTTCCATAACACGTTTTGATCGGTACTCACCACATCTGCTTAGAATTGGTGCATCAGTGCTCTCCCACTATGTTAGAATGTTCCCTCTGGTCACTGCCTTCTTCCTGTTCTCTGTCGGCTGTCTTAACATTCTCGTCGGACTCATGTTCCGTGAAAAGGTGAAGGATAAGCGAAACATCCTGGGCTGGCGCGAGCGTCGCAAGGATGTTCTTCCAACGGTTGCGCCGGGAGGACTCACGAGTCGTGATCGAGAGGATAAAGGCACCGTATGTACGTCGCCGGTTCCATCACATTCCGCCTCTAGCAGGCCTGGGATGGGGTTCGGGCGGCAAGCTGAGAAGGCAGCGGAAATGAAAGGTACGCCGGACTCATTGCGTTGTTTTAAGTACGGCGGTAACGGAATATGCATGGATAGGGTTTCTACTTACTAAACCAGTTGCATCCCTACCTAAACGTCAGGGAGGTGACCAAAACGGCGTGCTACCCCCAGGCCTCGTGCAACCCTGGGTTACCACGGATTCACCGAGTGGCTCAGCTGTATCAATGCCAGCGCCATTGCCCGTCTGATGGTGTACCGGATACACTCTCTTTGTACTATCACCGGCCTTCTCACAGTTTTCTTGAGGATTTACTCACATTCCCTATCTGGATATATACTTGTCTATGTATCAGTCATCGTGCTGTTGTATGTGTAAAAAATGTATTTGTTACGGTCCACATACCAATACTTTTTTCGCAGGTATCTGGAACGACTGCCAGTCTTTGGTGGTGCACAGTGCTCTCTCAGGCTTTGGCCGTTCTTCGCTCATACTCACGTTCTTTCCCCTTACGCAAAATGATGATCGAGATTAAATCTAATACGAAAGATAATAGGCGTGTTAGCACTATCAAGGAATAAGAGAAGATGTGACGAAAACTAAGATGTCGATGTACATAACTGCAGCCTTTCTCGTTCTCAGGACAAACTGATTCTGCGTGCAAAGACGGGTCCTTGCAGAAACTACTAAATATCGCAGTTGAGGTCAAACGTGCTGCGAATTTTTACGGCTCCGGCCCCGTGACGTAGAAAAAGTTGGCAGCAACTGGTTTGAGGCCGTACTCTTCCGCGAAGACTGCTGCGTCCCACCTGGCACGGTCGTCTGGCGAATTCCTCCGTTCGGGAGCATCAGGTGGAATCGTGAGTCCTGAAGCGGGTTCTCGGTAGAGCAGGCAGTACTGCCATGCACAACGGGCGTCGATCAATTGCCACAGAAAAGACCACGGAAAAGGACAAACCATAACGATGTGGACCAGTTCCAGGGGGTGGAGTGGGGCCATGATAGGGGGTGACTGGAAGTTCGGTGAAACGACCATTCAGGTGTCCCGTCATGGCCTCGCTTGGATGAGGTGCTTTAATACCAGTGACCTGTGGAGAAAGTAAAGAGTACTGTAACTGTAACACATTAACACTGACCACCCAGTGCCTCCATTGCGCTAACTTGGGATTCTTCCTCGATGGTGCGTCCGGATCGGTCATGACCAGCGTGTAGGACACCTCATCATACGGAGCCTGAGTGACCATGGGGGTGAATGATATAGTAGGAGCAAGTGCCGTGTCATAGGCCGTCAGGGTGTTCCCTAAGGTAGCTTCTTCTCCAGTGGGCCAGGAGACAACCAACAGCGCCTCCGGACCAAAGCGCGATGGTACGACTTCAGGAATGATGTCGGCTTCGATCAGAGCGTGCTCTACCTCGCCAAAGGAATCTACCATCAGTGCGAAGTTTCCGAAGGACAAGTGTTTCAATGGTGGTTGCGGTTCAAATCACTGAATTCTGTCAACAACGATGTCATACCACCTCTACGTCATAACTCGACACCGGTTTAGGCATCTCCACAGCGCCGAAAAAATTGGCAGTCACGGTACGTACTAGCTGCACTACCCGTAAGTAGAGTTGAGGAATTGAAGTAAATCCTGTCGATTAGCATCCATCTCCAAATCCTTTGAATCCTTGTGCACCTTCAATTTAATCTGTTCACATAGTGAGTTATCCAGTCGGATGAAGATGGCCACAGGTATAATGTACCTTTTTCCCAGTAAGGACACTGCGCCTTTCCTCTTTCTCCTTCCTCTTCTCCTTTTCTTTGCGCCGCCTCTCCTTGTCACGCTCCTTTTCCTTGCGCTTCGATTTATGTCGCTTCTTTCGACGGCTCGGCGACCTAGAACGGGAACGAGATCGTGACCTGGACCTGGAAGTACGACGGCTGCGTTTTGCGGAGCGCCTAGCACTCCCATGATCCGAATCAATAGAGGAAACGGATGAATCAGAGGACGGTGAACGACGGCGCCCGCTGGGAGTCTGATAAACATCATATATGCACCTTCGAATGTCAGTGTGGGGCAACAGACGTAAGCTCTTCGACGTACCATGCTGCGACTTCTGCCCCTGCCTCGCGCCTGGTGGTGACGTCGTTGATACTCAGTTCGATCCTATAGGTCTTCAAATTACAGTCCTACGAACCAAGATTGAAAACAAACCCTTTCAGGCTTCTCTACCCATTCATCGCCATTTCTGCGTGAACGAGGGCTTCGCGACCTGGAGTGCCTCTCGTGGCGCCTACCACGGTCGCCGTCTCTCTCACGGCGGCTACGCCACTCTGGCGAGCACGACCTACTGTAGCCCCGCTCGCGCCCTGCAAATCCGAAGGCGAGTTTTATATATTTGAGTTTACAAATTATCAAAGATGTGGGTCGTCCCCCAAGGTTGCCATGATTCATGCGTGGCAACCAGGAGAAAGAGATGGCAAGTCAGTTAGGAGATAGGAACTGTGCCAAAAGCCCTCACCATTTCGTCTATGATGATGCCGGCCGGATCGTTCTTCGCGCTCTTCAACAGCGGACTCAGTCATGGTGTGGAAGTGGGTAGCAGGCAATCCGAGTGCCGAAGGCTTCGCACGTCACAAACAATACAATACAATAGTGATTATGTCAGCGCCCCGATCCACCCGCTTCCGCCTGGAACCAATGTGCACCCAGGAACTGCGAGGGGTCTTGCAGTTGCTGGGTGTACACTGTCTATGTGTGTCGTGGGCCGGGGTGTACATTGTCTATATGTTTCGTGGGCCGAAACTAGCTGCAGTTGTGAGGTCGATAATTGAGTGCAGGTTAATTTTGCATATGTATAAGACACTAAAACAAGGGCTATGTACCATGTGTCCGCACTGCGAAGCATGGCCCTAGGCGCTCAGCTGCTTGCAACCGTCCTCTTCCTCGTCGAATTGAACAGCGTACAATCGAACTCACATACCATCTATATTTCTTTCTGAATGGCCCGCCAGCATTCAAAGAAGCACCATCTCTTCGAGTGTTGGAAGTCCCGTTCCACATCCTAACCTTTCTTCGGTACGCCAATTCGTTCTTTTCGACCGAAGGTGTTTGTCCATAGCAAAAAAATGGTTCCAGGCACCCGCTCAGGCCCCCACAGAGGGTAGTGTCTCCACGACTGAAACATCTGGCAATGGTTTTCGGGGGACGCTCGCCAGGATGAGGCGCCTCCATCAATCGAACCACAGTCAGTTGAGCTCCGTCACTCCAGCGGTAGTTGGCGCAAGCACGAGTGGGGAAACACAGGAGCAACAGGGAAAGTCCCAGGCAGTTCCATCTAAGGACATATGTGACTTGCTATGTCTGACGGCAAGTGCGCTAACCAGGCCCATCGGACAGAATCAAAAAGCAACCAATAGGACGGAACTAGAACCTGCCCCAGAAAAGGACATCAATGATGCTGTACGAGCGTTCGACAATATGGATCCCATGTCGCGTCTCGGGGAAGGAGCTGGAAACATCGTTACCGACGCCAACATTGCTTTCACTGATATCCAAAACTTCACGGCTACATATCTTCAACCCTTCCAAGTTTTCAATGAAGTCGTCACGACTCTCTCCAAGGTAATCATATCCATTTTTCGGCTCATTCAATTCGCTGATGGAATGTATGCCCTAGGTCCACCCTTATGCCCAGATTGCACTGGGGATTTTGACGGCCGCTTCTCAGGTACGTTCCAGGTCTTACATTTGTCGCCCATCTCACGCGGGGTGGATTGTAGTTGCTCATGAAACAAGCGAATCTAGACAAAGCGGTGTCTGGTCTCCTGCAAACGATCCGAAGCGTTTACGAATTCCTTACCGAAGAAGATACCATCAACAATATTGACAACATGAAAGATACCCTTGCGAAGATTGCGCGGGTAATAAGCGACTCCGCACAGTTCATCAAAGACTATTCTGAAACAAAGAGTTTCTGTGAGTCTTAATGTGTCTCTCTTGGCACTACAAATTGATGCAATTCATTCTCAGGGAAAAGGACAGGGAAGAACATCGGCTCCAAAACGCAGGCCATCATTGACGACTACACCACAGCGCTGAATGATCTAATGCAGCAGTACCGCGACCGTGCGGTCCGGGATATTCAGATCAATGTGCACCGCGTATTGGAGGACCTGAACCTCGAAGGGATGACCTATGCTGGTGGCGCAGGCCTCGACATGGCTAAGATATGCCTCGATGGCACGCGGACAGAGATTTTGCGGGAGATCATTAGCTGGATCGCTGATCCTCGCATCGACGCCCCCCGTATCATGTGGCTCCAGGGGCAGGCTGGAAGAGGGAAGTCGGCCATTGCACATACGATTGCTGCATGGATCAAGGACGCGGGCGGACTCGGGTCCTGCTTTTGCTTCGCACGTGACAGGCTGGCGGAACACCGCGAGGAGAAGATTTTAACGACCATCGCTCGTGACCTGGCAGATCGTGACTCGGCGTTTCGGCGAGCACTGGCTGATGTCGTTTCAAAGGACCATTCTCTCAAAGCGACGAGCGACGCGACGTAGCAGTGGCAACGACTCATCTTGGAACCGCTGTCCAAGGTTAATAGAGAAATCGTTGGGAATGTAGTCGTGGTGATTGACGCATTAGATGAAAGCGGGACGGACGCGTCAAGGAGTCGTATCCTGTCCCTTCTCGCGTCTGAGGAAGCCGCACATCTGCCCGCTAATTTCCGTATTCTTCTAACATCCAGGCTGTTGCCGGATATCGAGGAGGCCTTCAACGATTGCCAACATGTAACAGTAACTTCTCTCGATGGGGTCCCTCTGGCGTCTGCTAAGCGTGATATCCATCTATTCGTTTCTAACGAACTCTGTCACCCCCGCTTCAAGGATACTATTGGGCCCGAGGAGATAGATCAGATTACTCAGAAGTCCGATGGCCTGTTTCAATGGGCAAGGTTGGCTTGTGAGTTCATCAAGCGGAAAAGCGCCGGACGAACTCTGAGGGAGCGCTTCGACGATATAATTGCTCTTCGGTCTGGAGAGGGGGGAACACTTTTGGACAAAACTTATACCACGATATTGGAGAGTGCTATACCACCGACGAACCGGATATCCCTGGCTCGGTTCCGTTCCGTGATGCGACAAATACTGACTACATTGGTGCCGCTGCCTATGTCGACTTTGCAATTCATGCGCAAGCACTTTCCCAACGAGGAGGATCACTATAATGTTGTCATCCTGGAGTTCATGGCGCCAGTGTTGAGTGGCATCACTGACTCTTCCCCCGTTCGCCCTCTCCATGCATCTTTTCCTGATTTCCTGATGGATCAGTCACGGAGTGGGGACTACTTCATCGACACCTCTGGGGCATATGACCTAGCCCTTGCCTCCCTGCAGATTCTGTGTAAGGAGCTGCAATTCAACATTTGCAGATTAGAAAGCTCCTACTTCGGCAACTCTGAAGTCCCTGATCTACAACAAAAAATAGACAAATTTATCACACCCCATCTATCCTATTCATGTCAATTCTGGGCCCAACATCTGCAGAGGACTACCTTTGACTTGGATCTTGCAAAGTTAGTGGCAATTATTATGGGGAGTGAAAAAATTCTGTTCTGGTTTGAGACACTGAGTATTATTGGGGAGTTGGGAAAAGCAGTTGATGCTCTGATCTGCACTGCAACATGGCTACTGGTGAGTAATCTACACTTGGATTTGCATATCATGCCCTAACATCAAATCAAAAGGACCAGCCAGGGTTTGAAGATACATTAGAAATGGTACAAGATGGGATCAAGTTGATTCAGAGCTTTGGTGCTGCAATCTCACACAGTGCTCCACATCTCTACATTTCTGCATTGCCATTCACTCCTTTAAACACAAGACTATCAAAAATTCTCTTGCCAAAATTCTGCCAACTGCTTGGAGTTTCTGTGGGAGGGCTAAAGGTGTGGCCAGCTGCCCAGCTAGCCTTGGAGCATGCTGGTGTAGTTAATTCAGTTGCATTCTCCCCTGATGGCAAGAGGGTTGTCTCAGGGTCAGATGACCAGACTGTGAGGATCTGGGATGCTGAGAGGGGTGTGCAGATTGGCAGCCCACTTCAGGGGCATACTGATTGGGTCCAGTCAGTTGCATTCTCCCCTGATGGCAAGATGATTGTCTCAGGGTCAGATGACAAGACTGTGAGGATCTGGGATGCTGAGGGAGGTGTGCAGATTGGTGGCCCTTTGCATGGACATACCAACATTGTCAAGTCTGCTGCATTCTCCCCTGATGGCAAGATGATTGTCTCAGGGTCATATGATGAAACTGTGAGGATCTGGGATGCTGAGAGGGGTGTGCAGATTGGCAGCCCTTCTCAATGGCATGCTGGTCATGTTGAATCAGTTGCATTTTCCCCTGATGGGCAGAAGATTGTCTCAGGGTCAGATGATATGACTGTGAGGATCTGGGATGCTGAGAGGGGTGTGCAGATTGGAAGCCCACTTCAGGGGCATACTGAATTGGTAGTGTCAGTTGCATTTTCCCCTGATGGTGAGAGGATTGTTTCAGGGTCAAATGATAGGAGGGTGAGGATTTGGGATGCTGTCAGAGGGGTTCAGATCTACTGTCTTCCCCAGGGGCATACTGGTTTAGTGACCACAGTTGCATTCTTTCCTGATGGAAAGAGGGTTATCTCAGCATCATCAGATCATACCATGAGGATATGGGATAGCCAGATATATGAGGATATGATCACTGGCCATGAAAAGATGAAGTTGTCTGCATACAATCCAGAGGGTGTGAACTACACAACTGTTATGTACTGTGCTGTTACTCACATAATTTCAAGGCTTTAAACCCCAGTCCATTTGCTTTTCATCAGTACCTTTACATGCACTGCATGACAGTGAACAGCTCCTTGATGGGTTCCAGCCAGAAGATGCTGATAGCTGGATTGAGCCAGTCAAGCTTCATCCTGATGGATGGTTCAGGGGTCCAAAGGGAAGGTTGCTGCTTTGGTTACCACCAACATTGTGGAGGCCATTTTATTCAAGTTGCAGCAAAGCTGTGATCCCAAGTGATTGTTGCACAGAGATGGACTTGAGTCACATGGTTCATGGAGATAAGTGGACAAGTGTTGGAAAGTGGTTGCCTGGATCTATGATGAACATATTGTAGTCTAGCCACATATTGTATCATATTGTTAAAACTTTTTCCCATGAAGGTTGCAAATTCATTGTTTCAATAGCCTTTCCTCTTAAAAAACAGTCCTCTGATCATCAGGTGCTGAATGTCTTGTGCAACAAAAATGGATTTTAAAAGGAATTCAGTTGTATATCATTCAAGGCAATGGCAGGCAGCATAGAGAATACCTGGAATACAACTCTACACATTTCAGGGGGGCCAGCCATTCACTGTTACTCCACAACATAGTTGATGATGTTCATAGCCAAGTCATAGGAATTAGCCCAATGAATACAAGCAACAATGATTGGGAGTAAGTCTAAGGTCATACCCAGCTGCTCAAAAATGTCAACTACATGGCCACAGCTGAGATCTAAATGGGCCTATGGGAAATAAGATGTAACATGGGTTTGGCACATTCCAGATTAGGCTGGGCAGCATTTACACTATTGGTTGTGGTAGACACAGTCCTAGGGTCCCATTTTTTTGGAAACTGCTCTGGATGTGAACAAAAATATGTCTGGATGTTTGGAAGCAGTGCTCAAATTTTACAGAGTTGAATGTTCAACATTGTCAACTCTTGCTGCTGTATTGCAATGATTGAAGAGCTTGGGAATCCCCAGTGTAAGTCTTGGATCTGATCCCTATCTCCATGTCATGTTACACTCAACTTTGCTGCATTCACATTGCCAAAATGTTCAATTCACAAAATACAAAGTCTGGGAAGTGGGCTCTGGTCACAATGACTACAAGTGGACTTGCCTGGCCTGCAGGGACAACAAATGGTGAGATGGGCACAGTGCTCAATGATATGAGAAGACAACCATGCATGAAGAGAACATCCAGAACCTCCTCTCCCCCCAACTTTGACCTCAAGCTCCCCAGTCAGACCTGATGTGACTCCTCCATTACTGGAAGTGTTAACAGAACTCACAGAACTGGCATCTCCTTCACTCAACCTGCAAAGCACACCACTTCCCCATGAGGACTCAGAACAATTTTAGCTTGACTGGGATGCAATCAACCATAATAAACTGTATTTTCCATCTTTACATGATGAGATGCTGACTATGATGGCCAGCACATTGGCTGTGTAGTTAGCATGCAGCAATGATCTGATTTCCTCAGGTGAAGACAGATCAAGCAGCTTTGATGTTCCAGACAAGAGTGTTGAACCAGGTGAATGGTCTCATGCAGTATACCTTGAGATCATACTGATCATATCTAGTGGTTTCCCAGAGCCACTTCAGCCTGGTACAGCATGCCTGTCCCAGCATAATGGTACCATGCCACCAAACCCTATATAGTTTCCATGGCCAGACAAGCAGGTGTGTAGACATGTTTTAACAACTTGAACACTGGCAGCCTCATACATACATATTAGACATGCATACTCAACATTCTGTGGCACCTCCCTCAATTGTTATTTTCAGATTTGCAGCTACAGGTCATCCTCTGGGGACTTTCTGTCCTTGGTGTTGACAATATTCCACTCACCAGGACACTCAAGGATCTCAACAACTTCCTCCAGTCCCAATATGGGATTCCATCTGTCTGTTATCAAGGGTTGCTGAGGCAGGTTTACTATGTAAATAATTTCCCATCCATTATCACACAACTACATTCTAAAAGCTCACATTTGACAGTCAGAGAATGCTGACCCATACAGGAAATGGCTAATCCATGGATCCACCCACACATATGCCATTATCCTGAAGATGCAGGGGGCCAGCTTGAACAAGCATGGCAAGCATCAAGATGGTTGCATGAGATTGATCCCAACATTGCCATGCCCATGATTCACAAGGGCTGGCAAGACTTCTATGTTTTTGAGCTGACAAAGTGGACAGATGGCATGATGGCCATTCCAGAGCATTGGTATACAAAACCCTTGGTCTCACAAACATCTTTTGAGGTTGAGTATTGGGCTCTTGCATGGCAAGCTCATGCTGTTATGAATGGCTGCATGAGTGGATACATAGTTCATGCATACAATACTATCAAGGTTCCAGCAAGTGAACTTCTGCTCTCATTCCCCCACCTCCTCCAAACCTATGAAATCAACCATCAAGCAGATCCATGCAATATCATAGGTGAGTATATGTTTAATCTATTCTTTCTGGTGCTTATTACAATCCCATGTCACAGGTTTGATAGAAACAAGGGGCCATGGTGTCCTACCATGGAGATTGACTGACTCTACTGTTGGTGACAGGTGGCATGCACAGGTGCAGGGATGCCATGTCCTCAACTATATGATGTGGTGTTATTGTGACAACACATCTGGCAACATTTCAAAGAAATGGAACAAGCACAACTCATTTCTTATCACCACAGCCATACTCCCCCATGTTATAGTCCACAAGGAGGGCAACATTCATTTCCTTGTGACATGCAATATTGCACCCCCTTTGGAAATGTTTGATGGCATTGTGGATCAACTTGAGTAAGTGATCTATCATCTACTTGCACTCAGAAGTTCATATTGCATAAGCATAGATGTGCCAAAATGCATGGTGTTTGGGCTTGGGATGTACTGGTGGCTCACAAAATTGTCCCAATGTGTGCATGTTTGTCATTCAATCATGGTGTAGTGAGTGAACTATCATTATTGAGTCAAGGTGTTTGTGGATGGATCAAAGCAGCTGGTCATGGCTCTCTGATGAGCCATATTACATAATGTTTGGATAGAAACTGATGACAGAATACCCAAATGAAAATGAGAGCTCATCGGGACAATTATGTAACTTTGTGATATACTGGAGATGTAGTCCTTGGGAACACGTATAAAACATGGTGAGATGCTTACCAATGCTTAAATAATGTATTACATGGTCTACTGAATGATTTGTCAACAAAGAAACAATGCCAAACAGTGATTTTGCACCCCTAAGCCTCCTTGCTCTAACACAAGTCAAGAAATCACCATTCTGGCTCATCAGGGACATACTCTCAGGGCAACCTCAGCAAATGCTGGTGTACACTATAGTATAATCAATAGAATATGCTATCAGCACCATTGGTCTCTTCAGAAACCTGCTGGAAGTCATTTCCTGCACTGTTTCCCCACCAAAGCCCCATGTATCCTGGAATTAATCAGTACTGTGAGAGCTGAGAATAATGTGGAGGTCCAATCTGGCATTCATCCTATCATAAAGAAACCAATCACCCATTAACTAGTGCATTTATGTGAAGGGGAAACTGGTATGGAGGTCAGGGTGAAGCTAAACCCTCTCTCACTCCAGGTACCATGGGAGGGATATGCTACTGAGCTACCAGGTTGCACATTCCTGGCCTTCTATCTGGCACTGGATATTTCCTTTAGTCATATATCATCAAATAACTCCTTCCCAGTGATCCCCAATTCAGCTCAGAGTACAGTCTGGCCATCCTTCCTGTGATACTGGGGGAGTGCCCAGGAGGGTTGTGCTTCACCTGAGCATTCAGGCAGGCTTTTCTTCAGCTGTGATGTAGTAGTTAGTAGGTGATTGGTTTGTTCATGATAGGATGAATGCCAGATTGGACCTCCACATTATTCTCAGCTCTCACAGTACTGATTAATTCCAGGATACATGGGGCTTTGGTGGGGAAACAGTGCAGGAAATGACTTCCAGCAGGTTTCTGAAGAGACCAATGGTGCTGATAGCATATTCTATTGATTATACTATAGTGTACACCAGCATTTGCTGAGGTTGCCCTGAGAGTATGTCCCTGATGAGCCAGAATGGTGATTTCTTGACTTGTGTTAGAGCAAGGAGGCTTAGGGGTGCAAAATCACTGTTTGGCATTGTTTCTTTGTTGACAAATCATTCAGTAGACCATGTAATACATTATTTAAGCATTGGTAAGCATCTCACCATGTTTTATACGTGTTCCCAAGGACTACATCTCCAGTATATCACAAAGTTACATAATTGTCCCGATGAGCTCTCATTTTCATTTGGGTATTCTGTCATCAGTTTCTATCCAAACATTATGTAATATGGCTCATCAGAGAGCCATGACCAGCTGCTTTGATCCATCCACAAACACCTTGACTCAATAATGATAGTTCACTCACTACACCATGATTAATGACAAACATGCACACATTGGGACAATTTTGTGAGCCACTGTAGAAGCAAGGGAGGTGGTCCTTCTTATACTTGCTGTTCTGGAAATGCTCAATGACAATCCCATGCAGAGTGAATTTGCATGCCATGTGGACTTGCAGGATAAATTTTTCTGTTGTAATTGCTGGGTCAAAGGGGCAGACTTGGGTCCAGTGATGCAAGATCTTGCAGACAAGATGGTAACAAATCCTGTAGATGCCACTCACTCAGTTGAGACCAGATTACAAATGTCCAAGTCAGAAGTCTCTGTACATGAAGATTGTCCATCAAAAAGAAATGGTCATTGTTCAGAGACAATGCAGGACCTTGTGGATTGTGCATGGTGGTTTCTTGGGGTATGTTTACCATTTGCTAGCATACATATGTATGATAATATTTGATTTCCTTCAGACCAACACACCACACATGCATGCAGATGTGATGAATAGGCTCCACAGTATGTTCCACAACATTGCTTCTGGTATGAGCAAGACATGATATGCCAAAATGAAGGCCAAGACAGGCATCAAAGACACATATGGATGTTTTCATTGAGTGCATCATCAAGTGCATGAAACATATCTGTGCTGGGATGGTCAAATATACTGAGGTTGTTGATGCAATCCTTTGGGGCCATCCCCTCAAAGAGTTCATGAGTCCAGTCTGGAGAATCAAAGGTAAGAATGCTCCACAGTACAATCTTCCAATGCTGACATCAATTACTTGTTTATGGCTTGATCCTTATCAAGATACCCCAGTGGAAATCTTGCATGTCATATTGCTTGGATTTGTGGAGTATTTCTGGAGAGACACAATTTCCAGGCTGAATGATGTACAGAAGGCAGAACTCTAGGTTCAACTCACATCATTTGATGTCTCCAGACTTGGCATCCCTGATTTGGCAGGTCAAACGTTGGTTCAATATGTGGGCTCCCTCACCAGATGTGATTTTTGCACAATTTCTCAGCCTGCACCATTCATCCTCTATGATCTTGTTCCATGTGAATGTTACAAGGCCTTCCTTGCCCTGTCTTTGCTTGTCCCTCTGGTTTGGCATATTGACAACACCAAAGAGCACTTAGTACATATGTGATGTTGTCTCTCTGCTGTGACTAAAAATTGTTTTAGGGTATTTTTCAAGCAGCAATTGATTGCATCCTCAACTGCACAGCCTGCTGGACACCCCAATGGTTCAATAAACCCAAGTTTCACATTATTTGCCACCTGCCCCACCATATCTGACATTTTGGTCCTGCAATTCTTTTTGCTACAGAAAGCTTTAAATCTTACAATGCTGTCATCCATAACCACAGTATACACAGCAATAGACAAGCACCACAATGAGACATTGTCCATGGGATGGCCTGATGTCACCATGTCTGCCATTTTTTATCTGGTGGTAGATTTCATGCTCAAGGGCCCATAACCACTGAACTTCCCTATAGTAACAATGAACATGAATGGCTTGTACCTGGCTCTGGGGTGCATCATTGCTTAACATCAATGTGCCCTCTTTCACAATGTGATTGTTGATTTCTTCAGGTTGGCTGATGACAGAGTTCCTGCTGAAGCAGGTGAGCTAACCATGATATGTAACATTGTTGTATGAATGGACTCAGTGTCAAACCCATGCCAGGTTCATGTATGCCTGACAAAGTATGTCTGTGGCCACTTGAAAAGACAAGTACAGCTTTTTGAGTGCCACATGCACTACATCCCATTGAGTGCTGACTTTATCAAACTTGTCATTCTGTCATGGCATGAAATGGTGATATGTGCTGTCTTGGCAATTTTATACTTGCAAGAGACACTCACACAATCAGCTTGTTACTCCCCATCATTGGATGCCTTCATGAGATTCTTCAGATATATCACTCACCAACCCAGCAGCAGGATCAAGCTTCTTCATTGTTGGTTGAAATACTCTATGTCATTGGCTCTGCAGGCACCTATCACATGCTGTGTATACAACCATCTGGTTGGGTCATGCTACCAGCCATGGACAGCAACCTCTTTCATACATGATTCACCACTTCTCATCTGTATTTTTTCCCCCTGAAGGCAATTATTGTTGTGTCAATGTCCAGCATAATTGTGCTGGACAAGGATGTACTGGTTTGTCTTCATGACTTATGTGCAGGCCATGCAGATACTTAATGTCTGTGCATCACACATGATCTCATATCCTAATAGCAACAGTATTTGCTTTTTATTAATAGGTGACACCAATGACACTGTTTGGTCCCCCAACAGAGTAAAGATACAAAAGATGTGTTGCATCAGCTTTTTTTAATTCTGTCATTTGTTGCTATCTTCACTCCAACAATGTCACAGCAGCACAATAATTCATATGGCAATCATGCCACCTTTGAAGGTCTGGGCTCAGGTTTCTCTGCACCAGAGCTCAGGGTGCATCAAGGCACAACAGGCAAGTGATGTGTTGTCAATGCACAAGGAGAAAGGGACATTTCATCTGATGCATCTAAAGGGACTCTGCATGCTGTACAAGTGAATGTGACATGCATGATGATACCTGATATATCCTATGGCTCACCCAAGGCTGCAGGTTTTGATATGTGGCATCCAGCCTTACAGGTGAACATGATGTGTGGGCTAAGGATCCAGATTCTGAGGTGTTGCATCCTCCCTCAGCCTCATGTGCATTTTATGGCACTGGAGGTGATGAAGAGATAACATGCTTTGCTCCTGATTCGCAAGTCCTAGAATCCCTTGGGATATGTGTATGATGTTGTGGATGGTGCAGCAGCCACTGGGTACACCCTTATGTTCACCTTCTTCAAGGTGACACCCAGGGGGACTGAGGTCTCCAAAGATCTGAACAAGCACTTGAAGTTATGGGCTCAGAAGGTTGCAACCCAATTTGAACTCAAGACCCCTCAATGCTTGGAGCTTGGCATGCTCATGGATGTAAGTCACCCATGCCACACAACTCAGCTGTCCTTTTGACACTTCTCCACATGCACACATCAGCAACTTGACAAAATTTCTGAAGGGCTGATTTCCTTCTGACATGCTGAGGATCTGAGAAACTGAAGTTCTGAAATTCTGATTTCACATCTGATGTTCTTATGACCTGAGAAAATCTGATATCAGAAATTATCTGGAGTTCTCAGATTTTTCAGACCATCAAACCAAAATTCAGAACATCAGAAATAAAATCAGAACATTAGAGTTTCAGATATTTTGTCAAGTTGCTGATGGCTAGATAGGGAAAAATTTGGAGACTGAAGATCTTCATTTGCAAATCTGGTAGCAGGTAACCAGCTACAAGCTCTTAAATAGAGTAGACAAGATCAAGGCAGAGTCAATGACTATGATGGCTGTGGTGGATATGGCCACTGAAGGGCTCAGAAGGGCATGCCAGCTAACTGCAGACCAGATGGTAAGTTTTGTATGCATGATCATGTCTTACATGCTAAACATGACCACCAGATGCAAAACTGATTATGTCCAAAGACATGCTTGTGCAAGCAGGTCAAACAAAATACAAGTTGCTTCATGTAGATGTCAAGGCATGTTACTATTAACTCTGTTGGTTACATGTTCTTACACACCACTACCAGTGAAACAGGAACAACTTGAATTGTGCACAGATACATCAGGATTCCTGGATGTGTTTGGAAACCTTGCAAAGGAACAGCTACTGCATGCAGCCATTAGAAAGGAATGCAGCAACATTCAAAGTAAGTTCAAGTTCCACACACTGGTGAGTCCTAGGTGGCATTAATTCTTTGTGTATGCAGTAACTCTTTTGATATATATAGTTGCTTGACAGCATTGGGACAGATGGAAAGCAGCCCATGACACTGGAAGAATTGACATGGACAGCACTTGGACAATAGGTGGGTTTAGGTTCAAACTGAATATCAATTGCACAATGCATGTCTAGTATGGTCTGTAATATTTATCTGGTCACCAATATTGATAGAGCTCTCAGCAAATGTATGGGACAGCACATTGATACATCTGGGGGTGAGGCATAAATGATGAAAGTGGGGGCAAGAGTGGTGAAGAGGTAGGCACAGATGCTTCTACAAGTGAACTGCCTGCAAAACATGCTAAGTCAGTAAGTAACAAGCCTCCCCCTGGAAGAGTGGAGATGGGCCAGGACTTCTGGAGTGCAATGGACTATCTGTTGGCAAAGGATCTTGAATGGAATGGAAAAGACCTGAAGAACAAGAAATGGCATGAGTGAGTGGCCATGGGACAGTTCCATGCTGATCACTGATATGCATGGATGTACAGGTTTTTCAACAAAATTATCACTCAGGATCAAGAACAGTATGGCAAGAATGCTGGAACACTTTTGCCACCTCTCCTCAGCATGTACACTGAGTCATTTTGGGCCACACCCACTACCCCATTGCCTGTGCCCCACACATTCCATACCTTGTATCATGCCCCTTTGTGTGTGGTGTTGTACAGTAGCTTGGACCATCTGTCTGGCCCAGACAGTACTGGGAACCTTCTGGGCAAGGATTTTTAGAAGTTGTTCATCTATACTACACTGTGCTATGGTAACCTATGCATTGTCATATGTTCATATGTATGCATTCCATGTTTTTCAGATGAGGAGTACAAATGTGAATGAGCAGAAGAAATTAGAAGTCAGCAGGAAGTCCAAAATGATATAGATCCCAGATTTGTGTCTGTATCAAGTGGTGTTTGTGGCTGCCACAATTCCCATCAAATTCTGTCAGATACAAACTGCATGCCATAGTGCCTGGTCACAATCTGTCATTGCATCTGACATGCATCAGCATCATTGCTGTGTCTATGGGGTGGCCATGTACTGTTGAGGGAGAAACACTTGGTCTTTGACCTACAATGGCATTTGAAGGAATTGGAGCCACTGCAAAAGAGACTAATCAAAAAAGGTTCCTTGGTAATGGCAGATATGTGAATGGTTGTGCACTGTTGATGTGCTGCATTTGCATTTGATTGGCATTCTCCCCTTAAGATGATATCCTGAGAAACAACCACATGTATTCAAGGTAGGTGACAAATGAGTTGTATCCTCCAAGGGCACCAGAGAAGAAGAAAAACCATGTGCCATCATGATAAGAGTATATGTACAGACTGTGGATGAGCAATCAAACTCTAGGATTTGCACCTCCTGATATTGGATTCAAAGGGAGCCAGTACATAAGCCATGACAGAGACACAGCAATACTGCTCAGATTCCATACCTTCATGGATGCTGAAGTTGAATGTAAAATGAATGCCACCAGTCAGGCATTCTCTGGTCAAGGTTTGGTGTGGCACGGAATTGCCATTTCATAAGTGTTGGGGACAGCCCAAAATGCATCAGCAATTTGTTTCCCTGACTGTGACAACTGCATGGACTGTCAACAGATCCAACAGACTAACAGACATCATAGTAAAGTGACTGTGAAAAGGCATGTCATTTATGTACACAGTTTGTACACAGACTGGAAAGTTCACTCACAGTTGCACACAGTAAGCACACAGACAGATTAATTCAGACATAACAGTAGGACAAAGGGTATAGCAGGGCCAGACCTCTATCTACATGATCAGGTGCCTTTCTAGCTCTCTTGCCTACTGTGAATTATTTGCTTCATCTCCTCACACTGTCCAGTGTCCAGTGATTAGAGATCAGTACATCCAAGCCAGAACATTTAAAATGCTTGCCTTCAATGTCCAACTCAGCCTTGATGTCAGAGGACACTGTGATCAATGCCTGGTCATCAATCATGTTGCCTTTGCCTGCCACTGATACACTGTAAGGTACCTGGGCTTGCCTAGAATGGATGGCAGCACTGCAGTATTCCTTAGCCCCACTGACAATTTGGTCAAATTTTTGGTCTCCTGCTTTCATGATCAATCATGTGTACAATGAAGTCTTTGTGCCCCATCCAATGTCAGAGAAGCTTGCCTTGGACTGCTTGGTGGGCACCTCTTTGGCTCCAGTAGAATACAATGTTAATGCCTGCTCGACCTGTAATGATTGCAGCTCAGATGTTCACCTGAATAATGCCACATACTGATGTAACAGCTAAGACCAGTGCACCCCTTGGCATTTCATAGTCAATTGACTCATGATAAGTCTTGTTGTTGACCACTGAAATATCCCTGATGTGGGACACAAAGGTCTGCAGAACAAGTGGTGACAGAAATGACTTGGAGACCTAAACAATTTTATAACAGACTTTGATCTGTAAATGGATACTTGAATGGGACTTACACTATACTTGTTCCCTCCTAGATGTTCCACACTACCATACATGAATGGAAGGCTCAGACTGAGCACAAAGTCAACATATGCCTTCTGTTCCTCAGGATTTTTGTATTTCAGGTCTGAAGCCCACAGCACCTCAACAGCTTCAATCCCTGCCTTGCTGATGTGTGCATGCCACTCATAAGTCTTTTGCATGCACTAGCCAAGATTGTTAGTAAAGCCATTAATGTCAAGTGAAAGTCCTTACCAGACAATAGACATGATCATCCTCATCAAACCAGTGTGGCCAATCTAACATGACCTTATCCCATATTCCTGCAATTTGTCAATGAAGTGATCAGGTACCATCCAGGGATTCTCCAATGTCCTGCAATAGAGATGGAGCAAAGGAACCAAAAGCTTCATAAATTGGGCAGCAGATCCCTTTGGCAAGTTTTGATGACTAGGTTGATTCTTTGTAGCTGTTGCATTTGCGATAGGAGCACTGTGCTGTAAGCACTGTTGAGGAGTGTTAGCAATGATCTTGGTAACAGCAAGGGGACCCTTAAAATGTGTTAGCATCTGTATAGAAATTAGGGATGCTGTAACTACTTACCATGGTATCCTGTGCCCCAGCAGGTTTCTATTTCTTCTCTTGCTCATCAGGGAGGCCATTGAATTTATCCATCACACTGCCATTGACCTGGTTACCTCTATAAGTAATGTGCTCACCAGTTTGAGACTCTATGTGACATTCATGCTGGGCAGAGTCCACAGTTTTTCCTTCCTTGTGAGAGCATGAGAGGCCAGATGGGTGGTTGCATTTCTTCTTCTTCTGTGGTGGCCCCAAGGCAAAAATAACTCTAAAAGATAAACAAATATATTAGTTCAAATAGCTAGGTTATAAAAACATACTCACGCTGCATCACATTTGAGCTTGCACTTGCCTGTAGCTGCAATGACAGAAGGTTGGGAGGGAGCAGCCTTGGCCCCCAGTTTGGCCTTGGTAGTAGTGTGGGCAGCTTCAATGAGGTGGCATGTGATCTTGGCTGGCTTCCTGTGTATTCCCATGGTCTTTTCATCCTCACTCCCCTCTGCGGCAACATCAGGATTGGTGTGGTAGTCGTCCTCACCATGGATTGACTCAGACCCAGTCTCAGATCCTTACAAGCCAGGTAAGCATCATTTCCCCCATGTATTGGAGTACTTATACCTTTGGCAGTTTCAACCTCTTGGGCCTCACCATTGTCCTCATGACCTGGGGTGTGCTGCAAGGTCTGCATGCTTGAGATAGCATCATTGGATGTGGTCTTCAATGTTGGCTGTGACTTTGATGGCCTATTCACTGCTGATTTTGGATTTTGAAAGTTCATACATTGTGTTTTCATCTGTTCATGTAGCTGATCTTCAATTTCAGCCACTTGACAAATATTTGCCTGCTGCTGGAGTCTAGCAGCTGCATGCATTGCATTTTGTGTGGCATGCTCTTCTTGGATGACCTGGCTACTTCACCTTGGGGTGGGGAGGTCAGGTACTCCAGGGTGTTGGTCTTTGTTTTTTGCATGGGTGATGATGTGGTTTGGCATGACAAGGTAGTGGGTTAGGCAGGGACCTCTTACCATCTGGTCAGTCTTTTAACCTATCCCTTTTTTTGTAGAATGCTAACATTATGGTTTCCACTGATCACAGTTTTTATTTTATTTTATTTTATTTTAATAGAATGCAGAGGGCCCTGGATGTGTTGCTGTACTGACCTGAAATGACATGCTCACCTACACTGACAACGTGATATTCATCAAGTGCCTGTACTGGAACCACCAGAATGACATGGTTCCACAGCCAGTGGCTTGGGAGGCTACAGCTCTGAATTTTTGGGTGCTGAGCTCCCTGATCAACATAATCAGTGCATTAATTTCCATTCCATTCTAGATGGTACATATCATCCTCAACAATGCTGCTCATGCTGACACTGTGCAGGGTCACCTTGTGATCCATGTGGACAGGACCTCCTGCCTTCTGTGCCACCACTGCCCTTTGAACCATGCACCCAGGGTGACTGGATGCCTTTTACCAGTTGGGTGCAATTTGAACTTGCCAAATTTTTGTACAAGAGTGTACAGATGTCTGCTGGCAAGACAGATATGTTGATGGATATTTTGGCCTCACTGTATGATCACCAGGACCTGCCATTTGTGTCACATGATGAGTTATACAAGTCTATTGATGCTATACCATATGGTGACTGCCCTTGGCAGTTGTTTTCAGTGAAGTACTCAGGCCCATTGCCCAAGGACCCACCATCTTGGATGTTGGCAGACTATGATGTATGGTACCAAGATCCACTAAGTCTACTTGAACAACAATTCAGAAACCCAGAATTTGCTGATGCAATCGACTATGCTGCAAAAGTGAGTTTTACTGATGTACATTGAACAATATATTAACACTAGTATCACAGGTTGTAACAGATGAAAATGGCTGGCATGAGGTCTGTGACCTCATGTCAGGTCAGTGGGCATGGGATCAGTCTGTGAGTCTATGCATTCATGTTGTCTTCCTTCAGTGACAATATATATATTGTCCAGGAACTTATTGCCCAGGATCCAGATATGCATGGGGCCACATTTGCACCTATCATACTATGCAGTGACAAGATGATGGTCAGTGGAGGCACTGGAAACATGGAATATTACCCACTATACATATCCCTTGGAAATGTTCACAACTGTGTCCATCACTCTCACAGCAGTGCCCTGTCCATTTTGGCCTTTCTGTCCATCCCCAAAAGTAAGTGACCATCTTTTGACTAACTCTGAGGCTCATTCCAATTGCCAACACATAGCTGGTCCCACACACAAAGATGACATCAACTTCCACCACTTTTGCCACCAGTTATTCCACTCATCACTTGCTGCCATCCTTCAGCCAGTCAAGGACTCAATGAGCAAACCATGAGTGACACAATGTGTGGATGGCCACTTCTGCTGTGTCATATATGGCCTTGGCCCTGACCATATGCAGTTGCATGGCACAAAACAGCAGTCTTGATAGTGGCAGTGGACCACAGGCACATGCCCACAGCAAACAACTCCACATGACAATGGACCCATGAACCCTATGGAATGATTATGGGATTGTAGGCAGCATCAAGGTAAGCTTTATTGATATGTTTATTTGATATTAATGGCAACTTTTTAAAGCTGTTTACAGCCCATTTTCCTCATGCAGATATACATGAGTTGATTGCACCTGACCTCCTCCATCAATTAATTAAAGGGACATTCAAGGACCACCTTGTTACCTGGGTCAATGAGTATCTAGAGCAGAATTACCCCAGGCAGCAAGCCTTGGAAATTATAGCTGAGATTGACCACCAGTTTGTGTTTCACATCAGGACTTAGATCATTCACTGACTGGTAACCATTGCTCACAAAGCAGGCTTTCTGCCATACCACCATTCCCTGGACTACACTGATTCCCAGAAGGTCGAGGATTTAATAGGTGGACTGGGGACAATTCAAAGGCATTGATGAAGGTGAGTAACCTAAAATGTATTCTGATAATTGCAGGCTAAGTCAAAAACCATCATGATAGATTTATTTACCTGCCATCACCAGCTTGGTCCCAGATGCAATGGTCTGTGCTATTGCAGCCTTCCTCAAGTTTTTTTACATTGCATGAAAGTCTGTCATCACTGAAAGAGACCTTGATGCTATTGATGATGCAGTACACTGCTTCCATCTTGAATGGGAGATTTTCAAGGAGGTTGGAGTCCATGAACATTTCTCACTTCCTCGCCAACATGCCATGGTTCATTACCACACATTGATTGAAATGTTCAGCATACCCAATGGTATTTGTTCCTCAATAACTGAGTCTCAGCACATCAAAGCTGTGAAGGAACCATGGCACTGCTCAAATCAATATGAGGCACTCAGGCAAATGTTGCTCACAAATCAACAACTGGACAAACTGGCTGCAGCATGCTTAGTATACTCACAGAAGGGTATGTTGGACAGCACTTTGGTTCCAGCAGTGAGAAGAGAGGATATTGCCACAGAGGATGGCAAGGATGGAGAGGAGGAAGATGAGTCTCAGGTGGTTGAGGGAGACAAATTAGATTATGATGTCCAGTTAGCACAAAAGCCAGGTGAGTATGACTTGCAATGTCCATGTTGTGCTAGCTAACTGTCTGTGATTTCTTTTAGTGCAGAATATACCTCATGTGAGCAAGCTTGTGGCTGCACACTATGGTTATCCAGAACTTGTTGAGTGCACCCAGCACTATCTATATGACCAACTCAACCCCAATGCAGAGATGTCTGGAGACCATGTCAGTCTTTGTCAATGTCCATCCTTTGATGGTGACATCAAGGTGTTCAACTCTGTGTCAGCCACCTACTATCCACCCAGCAATCATTCAGGACATGGCAGAATGCACCACAATGTCATACACTGTACACCACAGTGGCAGGGTGGGCCAGCATGATATGATTGCATATTGGTAGACAATGGTGGTTCAGATAATGATCCACTCTGTGGTCTGCTCATCACTCATTGTTTACTCTTTTTCTCATTCAAGTTTCAGGGCCATTCACACTCCTGCATTCTGGTCAAATGGTTTCTACCATTTGGTGATGCACTGGACCCCTTGACAGGAATGTGGGTTGTAGTGCTGGAGGTAAATGCTGCTGGACACCATGTCTGAGCAGTCATTTCCATCAAATCTATTCTGCGAGGCATTCATCTAATTGGAGTGTTTGGTGCAGATTTTTTACCCATTACATTTCACTTCTCACAATCTCTCAACACATTTAATGCATACTATGTCAACAGGTATACTAGATCATCACTCATACACAATTTGTTAATTTGAATGAATACAATATCTGTCATGACATTCTGCAGACACTGAACAATTTATGGTGGTCTGTGGTAGCCTGTGTGTACTGAAGAAACTGTGGTGGTCTGCAGTGGTCTGTACAGAATATGTACACTGGCTGACAGGTCTGACAGTGTGGACAGTCAGTCAACAGTCCATGCAGATGTCACAGTCAGGGCAACAAGTTGCTGATGTGTCCACATCATGGAAAGTTCTTGCTGAAATATGCATATGAACTCGAAAAAGATGACCCACCCTTGAGTGCAGACCACAAACACAAAGATGTCACTTGATCTTTCCTGCTTTTTCCTGCAACCAATGCACACCCAGGAACTGTGAGGGGTCTTGCAGTTACTGGGTGTACATTGTCTATGTGTGCTGTGGGCCAGGGTGTGAAGAAGTTTGTGGGGTTGCAGAGGGAAACCCAGAGAGGAATCTGTAGGGAACCTCAATAGTCTGTCAAGCTACTTATATTGAGTATAGTACCTGTAGGGAACTATACAAGTTAGTAAGGATATTCTATCTATGTAGAAGTGTACTCACCCTCAGTAGTCTATCACTGAGGGACTAGGTAAATTTTACTAGTCTATGGGTGCGCTCTAACAGCTTATGTAAGCGACATGATCATGTGCCTAAGTCCAAGTAAGGACAGGGGTCATTTCACTCCTACAGGGTGTACTTTCTCTACATCAGGAAAATAACACCTTACTATTTTTGACTTTTTGTGACTAATGTGACTTTTTGGGAAGGAATCTACTATCATTACCCATGTCCTGCAGGCATGGCTGCACTGTTCTTGCTTATTTTGGTCTTGTCAAAACCACCTAATTCATAGCTTTCAGTAGATACCACATACATTCAAATTGATGGAGGTTCCAAAGAGTTATTGTGATTTTTCTCTCAGACAGTGTGCATCACACCAATGGCTCAATATCTCTGAACTTTCAGACATTTTCTAGTCTTCTTGGCTTAGATATATCATCACTTAGTTGTCTCAATAGATTCTGTTCTCTTTTTGTTCTTCAAAATGCTGTATATGGTCAAAAAAAAGTACAGATAGTAGGTTCCTTCCCAAAAAGTCACAAATAGTCACAATCACTGCAGAAATGAAATTTTAGTGGGGGGGATAATCACATTCTTTAAATGTAGATAATCCAACCTTAAATTTTTTTTGTAAGATATAACCATTAGTCTGAGCAAAATCCAACTAGACAATTTCTGAGTAACATGTCCAAATAATCCCATGTAGGTGAGATCTGAATATAGACAATACACCAATAACCTGACCTCTTGCATGACACATTTCCCGACCCCGATTATGCTCAACTCCATTGGCCATAGTCCAATGATATTGCTATCTGAAAAGTGGCCCTTGCTACCTTTCCAACCCTCAGAAAGACAGATGGACTTAGTGATTTTTTCCCTTGGTCTCCATGTTCACCATGAGCAAGCATTTTGTATGTCCATCTGCCTGTACTAATCCATTTGGTGTACTTATTCATTCAGATATTGATGCTAACAAGACAGTTTCTACTTCACAGGCTGATGAAATTGAGCTCATCAATGTGATATCCAAATCAACCA